CATAGCAGACAGCATTATACAAAGCGGATGACATTGCAAGGATATCCTCAGTTTATGAACTGATCGCATATTTCAAAGTCTAATGAATGCAACCTGGTTTGGTTTCAACTTTTGAATAGCTTTTGCAACTCGATCTAGCTGATACGATGTGTAGAAGAAGCGCATATCAATCGTGGAGAACAGAGGACCTGTTGGACCTCCAATTAGAGTGGACAATATTTCTGAATATCCGATGTCATTACCGCCAACTGACATCATCAGCAGATCTGGACCAGTGCCTCTAAAATTTCCTCACCTTTAGTCCACTTTCTTTTACTCCAAACTTTAGCATACCTTTGACTCATTTCCGCTTGTTATGTTGCAAAATTCTATTCTAAAATAAAAGACATTCAGAGAGAATGAAGCAACCAGAGATTAAACTTTATTTGAAGCAAATGTTACACTTAACTAAATTCTTTGTGAAAATTAGTGAAAAAGAAGCATTTTTCAAATTAAACAACAAAAGCAACAAAAGATATCGTAACCTTATATGTGTTATTTGCTCCAGGACATTGATTTGTGATGTACTATTAAAGAGAACAAGAATTCCATTGTCAACAGATGCTCCAGTACATGGCAAGTAGGTGAAATGTACCGCACTTTGCTCTACAATTGCACTACTCACCTGTTCGTACACTTTATAGGCCCAGGATCGAGAACTTCGATGGCATTGATCTACAACAAAAAATGAAGTCACAACATGAAATACTGTCAACATCGTTAGCCATTAGCTTCTTTCCTTTTCATGTTTAACAAAAACTTATTGAGTACTCTAATTTCAAATTTTCAAAAACCAGAAAGAAATTGAAACAAAATTGACTTCATCTTTAATTTTCATTCTAAATATCCAATACTATTTCTATCCATTCAGTCTCTCCATGGGCCCCTACAACGATTTATGGTTTTTTTTTTCCTTACTGTGACTGACAAGAGGGAGACAATGATCAATTCGAGACATGCTTTTTTCGAATTCAAACCTTTTCCCTTCCCCTCTTCTATTTCCATTTTCTTATGCAATGATGGCATTACTTAAAGCGGTACCTTTTTGTTCTTTCCCTACGAAAATTAATAATATCTAAATTTTATGCGATTCTTTGTGGTTTGCTTTTTAAGCGGTTGTTTTCACGAAATGTTTAACTCTGAAAAACCAGAACAATTGAAAATCTTCCTTCCAATATAAGAGATAATCGAAAAAAGTGACAAAATTTTCCTGTGACTCAAGGGTTTCTTCTCTATATTGATCCAATCCTTTGATGTTGCCGCAAATTACTACTCCTTTTTATCAAGTAAGCAACATTTTACTCGATTGGATATGGTCACTAAAGTTATTCTGCCAGCAACCCCAACTGTATCAAGCAATTATTATATGTAGCCTGGGAGAAGTTCAGACTTAAGCACTAACTTGGGATGCATTAAAATGAGTGGTTCAAAGGAACCGCCGCTTAATCGTCGCTTTACCATAATAATCGCGCTTAACCATAATAATGATTATTATTTTAACGTAATAATAAGTTTCCGCATGAGACAAGATGATATCCGGAGGGAATGATAAGGTGACAATAAAATTGAGTAGTTGAAGAAACTAAAGTTAGAAAGGAAACATTCAGTACACAAACGTGCATACTTTTCCAGACTATTGTTACATATATTAGGATCGTCTCAATTTCACACATTGCAAATAAACCAAGGGGAATTGAACTGTGAACCTTTTCCACTCACAACTCTCAAGATTTGCTTCTCGACAGTTCAGTTTTTTCTTTCAGCTCTGAATTTAATCGTAAAATTTTTGATATGGGATTAAAATCAATTGGAATTTTGTTGTGGTAAAGTTGCACATTATGCTAGAGTGTAATGGATTTTACAAATTTCAGAAAATGCACTAACTCGAAAGCCATTTTGCCACTGTTTTGCCGAGTGCATTGGCCGGAACATCCGGATTACCCTCTCCAGAAGCAAATGAATCACCAATTACTCCTATCCAATAGTCTCGAACTTTGATTCTTGTCTCGCCGTGGAGAATTTTATGATCCACAAATTTTGCTGATATCTTCACGACATATTTTGACTATAAAACGTGATCTTTTCAAATAAATGCTGTGATTAGGGTATAAATGAAAGAAGTGTAAACAAATGGGAACACTTTTTGAATGTTCAGTAACTGATAGAATGAAAATAGTGTGTAATTACCTGTTTTGGAGCGATCCAATATGTTTGACATTCTTGCGTGATCCAATAGAAGTGTTGTTGGTCGTACTGATCTGAGATTGTCCATTCAAAACTTTGAATCGTTCTATTCTGCCATTTTGATAATAAACTTGAACAAGCTGACAAGTGTACCAGTCCATAATGTTTCCGAAAATCGGTAGCTGAGTTTGCGAAAACACTACTTCTTCCATTAGATTTCAGCTTCCCAAGCCTATTCCATTTAATTTCAATAAGTTCTTCCACAGATGAGCTGGTCTAAAATAATTTCCAAATTCCCAATTTCAAAAAATAATAATAATAATATGGAAGTTTATGTTATTTCGAATAAAAAATTTGATATGAATGATTTTAATTAAGATTTTATTGAGAGTAAGCATGAAATAGCCAAATAACCGGGAAAGACCGTTTTATTTCATTCGGTGGTGAAGCTCTCCTAATTGCATCTAATGTTCTATCTATCTAAAAAGCAATTATACTCGATTTAGAAAGGAATTATTTAGTAAACAGAGGAGATCTAATAGAATTAAGACGCCCAAATAATCACAGAAAGAAGGTCATTCGTCTATTAAGCTAAAAATCATAACTAGCGTTGTAAACTGTGCAAAACTGACCACCATTATTTCATTACAATATTGGAGGAATTTGATGAATAATAATTGAAATAGTCAAAATATTCAAAAAGAAAAATAGGTAGGAATTTGGAATTTCTAAAAAAATTTAACAAAATTAGCAAAAATTAAAAACAAGGAGCTAAAAGCGATATTAGAAAATTAAAAAAGCTCAGAAAAGATTCAATCATTTTATGAAATACATTACTTCTAAAGTATTTAGAGACACAAAACAGAAAAGAAGAGATAATCAAATAACATAATGAGGTATTTCCAACCAAAAAAAAGGCTAAGACTTGATATTATAAAATATGAACTATTGAATATTAATTTCAAACTTGATTGTCAGCAAGAAAAAAAAAAGAAAGCTGTGAAAAGTGTAATTTACAATGAAATGTTAATCTTCCACAACAAATTGTTGACTTAAAGAAAGACCAAATGAAAAATCATACCGAATGGTTGAAAATGTAGACGGCAAATTTTGGCCAATTATTAATGAGATGAAAGAAAAATACGAAAAGTGATGGCACAAATGATGCCATAATCGCATGCAGGACATAAGCTTTTAAAGCAATCGCAAGAATAATTTTCAAATTCCTGAAGAATAACTGGAATAATCTGCAAATTCTCCACCACTGTTTTATTGCCCAGAATTTGACTTCCAGATTTTCGGTTTTTTTTTAAATTCTTAAACTGCTAGCTCCAATTCAATCAAAGCAGGTTTTCAGAAAATGTGTCTCTGGAATTCCAAAAATCGGTGTTTCTGGAGAAGTATCGTAATGAAAAGAGATAAGTTTGTATACCACAAATTATTAATCACTGTTATCTGTTCGGGACGATCTGTTGGACAACAAGCTTTTAAGGCAGGTTGACACAGCGGCGCAGCACAACCTTTTCCATGCTCCGACAGATTGACTGAGGTTTCGCTCCTCTTGTCAAATATATTTACTCTGCTTCATGATTTCTTCAGGATTTCTGAATCTGAAAGTTGGCGGCAACATCAAAGGGTTGCCATAGCAAACCCTCCCTTAAATCTTTCCTCTAAATTACCCCTTCATACGTCTGTGCCTCTCAAATTTTATACTCCCTGAGTAATCCCTTCATTCTAGACCATTGTTGAATAGACATGCACGTTTTACGGCATTTTCTTTTTTCTTTTTCAGCATACATTTTCACCGCCACTGCTAATATGTTTTACCTCGAGTTAATGTGGCGATATGCAAATTGAGCATGAAAATTAGTTAAGCCATATCCTTAGAATTTGATACCTAACTGGATAAGCTTGAAAATCGATTGCCAAGTTTCAGGAGTTCCCAGGAGAACGAAGCGGTATCATAAAGAGAAAAGGGTTATTCTCCAGATGCTGCATCACTGATCCTGAATGATAGGACAATAATGATGGTTCATGCTCATAAAATTGTCTCTTTTTCCTGATTCAGAGACCCATCAATACACATTCAACAAAACTGATTTAATTAAACCATTACTAACCAAATATCAAAGAAGTTGCCGCCATTTTGGCTATGATTTCTGAAGAAATTGGTTGGAGCATCATTTCGTAAGAGTTGGTAAAAACAAAGAAAATCCCATTTCTTTTTCCTCCTCTCCTTCCCTTTTCATCGATTAATTATCCTGATCGAAAAACATACGGAAAATAGCAACTGTTTAATATCAAAATTTGCATAATCAGTGCTGGAGTATAATAATAATGTTTAAGAAAAGCTAAAAGCATTCAAATTAAGTGTTTCTTTTCAAATGGGTGACAAAGTAGGTGATGGTGACAGTTCATCTCAGAAATTTGTTGTGGGTGGAAAAAATGTGGTGTTGAAAGTGGGTAGGGATGAAAATTTTGTGATGCCTTCGATGGTAAATCCGTGCCTGAAATACAGCATTTTTACGCTTTGCTATCTCCTTCTTCTGTTTTCTATCGGATTGCTGGCTCTCGGTATTTGGGCCCAAACAGATAAATTTGGAATATTGTTCAGTTTAAAGAAGTTTGATCCCAAGAACGCTGCTCTCTTTTTAGACCCAACTATTCTTATGTTTCTTACCAGTGTCATTATCATAATAATCAGCTTCTGCGGAACTGTTGGTTAGTTGTCTACAATAAATTCTATATCTAATCACTGGTCCAAATGAAAAGATGCTGAAAATAAGATGAGATTTTAAATTTTCTTTCTAAAATCTTTGTGTATTTGAAAAAAGCGAAGGTTGGAGCAATGAAAATTAATTCGGTTGATTTTCTCAAGAAATCGTTACAACGATACTTTGGCATTTGACAGCGACTCATTTCTCGAAAATCTAAGCATTATCGACTACTTTTATTTTGCTCTCTTAGGAGTAAATACCAATTTTAGGTGACAATAAATATCCATTTGCACCACTTAGCTAGAGAATTATGGAATTTCAGGAAGCTTACGGGATAACTGCTTCTACCTGATGCTTTATACATGCATGTTGGGCTTCATGATAATAACTTATCTTATGCTAATTATAATGGCTGTATTCATTGGTCGTGCATTACTGAATGTAGTAGAGACGACGATCGAGGACACCATTATACTGTATCGTGATGAACCAGATCTGCAGCTGTTGGTCGATTGGATACAAATTAATGCTAAATGTTGTGGTGCTTTCTCACCTCATGACTGGAATAATAACATCTATTTCAGGTAAATATACTCCTAAAACTCTTTCTAACCATAACAGTTGCTTAATCATATCACGAAATCAACGGGATGATAATATCCTTTAAGAGAGTTCTTCTTTACAAAGATACATATCTATCACTATAACTATATTCACTTTTCTGAAAGAATATTAAATTTTGAGATGGAAAACCTTTCAAAAAATATTAACGATTAACGAGATAGAATTGCATTCTCATCTTTTCTGCAATTTCATTGCTCCTTCAACAAACGTTCTGCCGCAGATTTTCACTTTCATTCAAATTTCAGTGATGCAAGCATATTGAGAACATACGGATCATTAGAGGCTGGTGGTGTACCATTTTCTTGTTGTAAAGAAACGAAGTCAACAATGGCTTCACTTTCAAATATGTACTGTGGTTTGAATGCCCGTAAGTCATCACCGCTTGCATTACATGATAAAAGTGTGTTTTTACGAGAAGATATCCATCAGGAAGGCTGTATTGAAATGATCAAAAAATTCTTGATCGATAATATGCTATACATTGCTCCAGCATTCTTCATCTTCTTTGTAATTCATCTGTTCTGCCTTTTTTCTGCATGTATCTTGCAAAATCAAATCTTCGAACAGCAAGAAGAATGGTATAGCACTGGAAAGCTAAAACTTTTTGTCTATGATCAATAGAACAATTTCCCTATGCATCATAATCTTTATTTGCTTTGTTGCAAATTCTTGTTTTTGTTGTTCCCCACTAAATTTCACATAAATTTAATAAAAATCTTGAGCGTCAAAATAGCAGAAAGCAAATGAATCAGGTGTTTTTAAATTATTTCAAATGAACTAAACTTCATTAAACCAAATTTTGTAGATTCCACTCCTCCAACTTCTCGATTATAAAATGAACTTTGAATTCACGAAATACAACAGTTGGAATTTCAAAAATTCTGACTGGCCATCTTCTTCCCTTCTGATGTTAGCTTATACCCACATGTTGAAATTTGATCACGTATTGGAAAATAAATGAATACAAAGAAATTACTGGGATGCTATAGCAATTCAATAGCAATGCATCGTTATATCCTAGATTATGTCAACCGGATTCACTTTTAGTATAAGGTTTGTGTCAATAAGTTCGTCGAGACTTTGAGATCAAGTTAACATTCGTCAAGATTGTAATTGTTTATGATATGCACAGCGTTTTAGTTTTTATCTGAATTATTTGAACAGAAAACTTGATTAGTTTTCAATGATAATTAATGAATTTTTTCATATAAACAAGACAGTCACGCAATCATTTCATTATTATTGTTCGTCTTATAATAAAATAATATATATATAAGCATAAATTTTATACATCAGTATGGCAATGTTGCCGAAAAGTAATATTAAGCAAAGAATTTGATAGGATTCCAAGAAAGTATTGAGGATAAAATAAAAAACTGCAGTCTATCATGGCTCAGTTTCCTTCATTCCTTTACAGAATTGTGAGACTATTTGAAAAAATTTGTAGAAAACGAGGAGAACAAATAGATAATTAAACATTTTAACAGGCAAAAAGCATTCCTCTCTATCGATGCAAATTATGTTCATAACAGCGTTGAAATCAAATAAGATAAGGGGACCAAAAAATTCAGCATTTATAAGTTTAACCGGAATAAACTGCTTGAAAACTGACTCCAAGCATATAACTTAAACAAGTAATTAATAGACTCTATGTAGAAAAAATTTCAAATTTTAAAGTTTAACTGTTTAAATGTAATGGAAATTTACAAACACAGTAGATAAGACATTATAACAGGTAGTAAAAAGCAATAAATGTGAGGTGGAAGAGAAAATAACTTATCCGACTCAAATTATAGAAGCGCAAAATTGCAGCTTGCGGTTACTCATTTCTAGCCTTTGTATGATCCATATGAAAGCGTATATTTAGATGATTTACAAATACATACATGGATAAGATGCTGAGATACTGACTCGATACTACGAATACCAGGAACTCTCAGACACATCCATACTCATACCATACAGTACCGACTTCCGATCCAAGAGAGATGTCATTGCGATCAACATTCTCATAAATGCTTATTGTCTTCTCGTTCCGCTCCACCTTATTACAAATGGCACTTCTTTTTTTATCTTCTGGACACAGTCCGGACTCATTGCGTTCTAGTTTAGGTGTTGATGTCTCCTTCGGCAAAAATTCAGCAGTCTGTTTTGTAGACGTCTGGAATTCCGAAAGCGAATAATAAACGAATCATTCCGATCTTACAATTGTTCCGATTTTATATATCAGGGAATGGTTAAATAAATCGTATAGTTTATTTTTCGCATAATTTTTCTGATTATACAATGAACGCTTTGGAAAGATACCATAACTCGTCCCTTATACGGCGGCGGTGGTGGTTTATTGCTAACTCCTGGTTGTTTTGAACAATTTTTCGGTTGACATATCGGAGGAGATAGTCTATTATGTGAAGATCGACCGGCTGAATTTGATCGAGATGGTGGACGTGGTGGTAAGGTATGGATTGGGGAAGGCACATCTACGCCGCGTTCAGAACCTGAAAAAAACAAGTTTTTAAATTCACTTCAAGTTATTATTCTGAAGTGTTTAGGGAGTGTAGAAGTCACTACCATCCAAATTAATGACATCAATGGATCGCTCGTTGAAGGGAACAGCACGTCTCATTGATAAATATTCGGCATGGAAGACATTTCTTATGAAGGTCCGAGAACAGTGCATCGAACCATTCTTGGAGTCTGAATTTACCTGTGATCCTGAAACAATAGGAACAACATGAAGTTTTCTCTCTTTTGGCAAATTAATTACAGGTAGGAAAGATATAAACAGTATACAACATATGTAAAATATGTATTGATATATATTTCCATTACCATTCTGTCGCAGATTGTTGCTCTTATTGATAAGCGCTAATTCGTCAGATGAACTGCAGGGTTGGTCATCGGGAACTGAACAGTATCCTAAATAAGATATATTCCTTTATTTGTTGGAAATGAGCTAGCAAATTTAGGGTACCCTGAATATTTTAAATTAAAGAATGCAGCAATTTTACCGCATATGAGCTTGCGACAAAAAATACATTGTCAACCTGCAAGTGATCGGATAATAAGCCGGCAGGATTTTGCCAGGTAAATGCTAATTTAAAGTAGCAATAATAAAAAAATATGAGACACAATGCTTGGCTGAAAGGCCAACTGATTTGAACTTTGTAAAAAGGTTGTAAAAAGGCCAACTGATTTGAACTTTGAATATCGCGTACGGACAAATACCTCAGGACATGAATAGGTGAGCAAGCAAGTCATGCGCTAACAAATCATTTTATTTCTCGTTTGTAAGGAAATCAAAGCATAAGTTTTTTCCGTACAAACATCGAACAACTAACTGCCGAACAAACAATTCGAAAAGGAAACACAACATCAATTCTCACCTCGTATTAACGAAGAGAAATTTGCCAGCTTATTATTTTAATTTCAATTTCTAAATAATTTCATTAAACCAGTCAATTCGAAATCCTTGAAATAGATTCGGCAGTGCAACAGGAATTAAACGAAAGACCTTTAAACTTAGCTCGTGGTTAAATCCAATTTAGTGCATATAAATAAATGCAAAAATATAGTGCTACGATGAATACTATCAGCATTTCCACATATTATACGTACAAGAGAGATATGGATCAGTAATCTAAGGTCAATATATTAGCTTCAATTTCCAGGTGACCCTACACATTCTTTCTTCTTCTTGACCCCAAACAATTGTTTATTTTTCGTTTAAATAGTCATACAATGTGTTGCTGTACGGGTTAAGACAATATGCTTTTGTGTTTTTGTAACGGATAAGTGCACAATTTTTGCATGCAAGAAAATGGATTTAAAAGTGCGCAGACGAAACAAAGCAAACAAATATAAACAAATGACAATGTGACAAAGAAACACGACATGATGCAACATCAAACTCCATATCGTGCAATATGAGTTGTAATTGCTGAGAATTCAGAAATTCTTCAGCTCGATTTTTCGTGATTCTAAAAATATCAGTATGATGGAAACGCTAACTTCAAATAAAAAAAAATGTAGAGTAGAATAGTACAATTTGAATATAGACACTAAACATAGAATATGCAACGAGCATGGAAGGATGAAGATATCTAAGAAGATATTTTGAAACAAAAAAAGATATCCCTCATGTTACATCACTTCTTTAAAGACTAGAAGAGTCATTGTAAAAAGAGAACAAATTTAGATAGGATAAAATAATTTGTACCGACTAGTAAAAAAAAAATGGAGTTTCTAGCAAACATTGTCATAAAAGCTTCTAGGCCTGTTTGGTCTTGCAATATGATCCTTGGATAAAGAATTCAAAGGAAGGACGATCTCGGGAGTATTAATAGGTGTTCGAGAAACTGTTGGATGGATCTTATTATAAGAATCTCCATTTAAAGCAGAACTACTACAACTTTTCGAAATAGCAAAGGTGAGGCCTTCATTTGGAGTGTTCTTGGAATTAAGATGTAAAATATTGCTGGAATTGTTGCTGCAATTATCTTGGATGGTTTTTTCCATATAGCGATCTTGATACTTCGTCGGTAACTGACCATGTGTAGAAGTTGTAAGCGGCGAATCACCTTTCGCAGCTGTTGTCATCAACGATTCCTCCGCCGGATAAGCGTTATTTTCTCCGGTAGAACTACCCTTCTTTTCAGACTTTTCAGCAATAAATATGCCGGTGTTACTGGAGTGTGATCCGAGATTCTGCAATAGAATCGATGGATTCAGGATCAGGTTGACAAAAGCAAAAGTTGGGGACGTTAGGGACTAAATTATCTTTGAAAATTCTTCCAAGTATTTTGTTAGAGACTTTGGTTTTCCCTTCCTTTGAAAGTTCTGAGTTTCCAGATACTGATTCAAAAAATGACAGTAATACGTATCCCAGTTTCTGATTGACTGCTGAAAGGTGTCAATATTTGAAAACAAGATTTGATAAAAACCGTTTCTTAATCAAAAGAGATTATGACGTAAAAAATCGTCATCATTTCATGTTTAGTACATGCCTTGGGAATGAGCGCTTTGGCGGTTTCTTCCACAAATGTCGGCTTCTCTTTGGTTGCTCCTTTTTTGTTGTCTAACGTATGACATTGTCCCATTATTTTTCCTTCTAATTGTTCTTTATAACTTCTCAATGATGACAGTTCCTCTTGTAAGGCAACTTTCTCCTTCAAAAAACACTGCAAATTTTGCTTTATAACAGATTGCCAAAAAATTCGAACATGATTGAAATTCCAAGAAGAAAGGCTGGAGAAAGATAACGGTCCGGAATTCATCGTATTCACTCTTAATCGAATGTTGATTTAACAAAGATTTTTGTTCAATTTTTGTAGCTCTTAACCACGTTAAGCCTGAGATTTCAGGAGGTGCAAGGATTTTGAGAAGCACCTGAAAATCTTTTTGTGTGTTATGATAAAGATCCTTGTCACTCAATGTTCTGGTAAGAAGGTCCTGGTTTTGTGCCAGTAGATAATTAACCTGCCGATCCAAAGTGCGACTTTCTTCCTCCAGCGTTTTATTTAGATGTGCAAACAACTGAAAATGGCAATAGCAGGTAATCTTGCTCATGTGTCTTTAATTTCTCCCTATAATAATAAATTTATTACTAATCATAAATTCCATTATCTCTTGAATCCATTGAAGTGTTGAATTCATATCATTTAAGGATTTAAAATTAAAAAAGAAGCTTGACCGTAAGTTCTATCTGTACCTCAATTTTCTGAAGTAATTCTGTAATTTCTAAATTCTGAGCCTGTAGCTTTTGCTGTAAATCATCAATTTGAGCTGTCAAACGTGCACTAATTGCGCGATGATTTTGCTCAGCAAATCGAAGCTTCCGTAACTCGTCCTCATTGAGTTGTGCATTATGCACCAAAGAAATATTATCTTTCCTGCAAAATCCGATTTTGAAATGAGCAATAAATTTAAATTTGACTTTGGAAGTTTTTTAGCTAACTGTCACCTACCGTATTTGTTCATAATTATTACGTAGCGCCATCATGTCACTTCGCATAATTTGTACTTCACGGTCGTGTCGTTCGCGTTCCTCTGCTAGTTTTAACTTCAATTCCTCGAACTGTCGACGTTCGTTCAAAACTTCCTCGGTAGTTCCCTATAATTGTAAAGGAATATTAAAAGGTAAAACAAGTTTTCCTTCAAACTTTCCTTAAGCATATTGAAAAATTAGAATTGCGAAAAACTCTCAGATTTTATCACTCAGAAGAAGTATACTTTATGATTTTTTAGTTTAATATTTAATAGCGTGTTATCATATTTGGCACGATCATAATCAGCACTAAGCATGTCGTGCAATGTTTGCAGACGATCATGATCCATCAGAAGTGCATTATGCATTGATTGCAGCGATTCCTGAAAATTGAATTTTTTTTCCGCTTCGAATGACATCTAAACACAATAACAACGAGGAATTTTCTGAAATGGTCTAATGAGGCATAATCTCAAGAAGGTATAAGGAAAAACATTCAAAGTAGAAATTGAACAGAAAATCGTAAACATGGGCAAATTTGAAGGAGTTAAAATTTACGAAATCAGTTTTCGTGGCTAATTTATCTTCCTCATAAATTTGAAGTTGTTTTTGCATTTCTGCATTGTCCTGTCTTAACAGCTCTTCCTGCAATAAATCAAATTCTGATAGTTTTAAAAATTTTAGTGATTTTTTTTTTTGGCATTTTTCTGATATTTTTGATGATTATAGTCAAAATAGCATAGACAAACCTGAAGTTGGAGATTCCGTACGGAAACTTGAAGTTTAGCAAGTTCAGTGTGAAGTTTACTTCGGCTTGTCTGGAATTTACAAGAACGAAAATAAAATTTCAATAGCGACTATTTATTTAAAAAAAAAAAAGAAAAGTAAAAACAGAAAGGTAGATGTCAATGGATGTTTAAATGTATAAGTGTTCTCGAGGTTTTATGATAAAAAAGTAAATAGTGATAAAAATAGTTGTAATTATACAATAATGACAGATATATTGATAACGTTGATAAAGCATGAACTTCTTCATAGATCATTAAAAACGATAGTAGTATACAGTAGCGATTATTCTCACCAACATTATAATGACTTGTGAAGAAGTTCAGGGAGAGAAAAGTCATTGCAGAGGCACAATCACCGCTATTACTAACTCTATCTTTTTCACACAGCTGTATTACTATTGGTTTCGTAAAGACTCTGATAAAGGTCAACCAGTCCCATTATGCATTTAATTGATCAAATGATTTAAAATGTATATGTGTATGTGAACCTTATAAGGCTCCATTCCCTTATATTTCTTAATGATTCTTTTGTTTCTTTTAACTTGCTGAAGTTTCCAACTATTAATATTTGGCAAAGAATTACAAAACACTTCTGACAATATACGAATTGTGTTGGAAAGAGAGGAAGAGATATGCTCATCTGAATAAGATTCCATGAATAAACTATAAATTAAAAAAGAACAACGTTTGGAAAATTACTTTCAAGATATTAGACGTCATCTGTCATTTCATTATGTAAATGACCGCCAAGATTTTGGATTCAGTTAATTGCAATTCTAAGTTGCACGTTATAAATTATAAATCAAATTAAAGTATAACGATATACTATATGCTACAAGTGAAAAAAAAGTTGTGTGACTGAAATATGTGTAAATAACTTACGGCGCTTTGTTGCAACTCCTCCAGTTCCCGTTTCAATGATTTTACTTCACTACACTTCAGTGAATTTTCTTGTTGCATTTCACGAATTCGTTCTTGCAGAAGAAATACCTGTAATTGCAAATTCCAAAATCCTTTTCCGATACTGAATCTATCAGTCTTTATAGTTTGACGTTATAAGTCAAAATGCATACCTGTTCTTTGATATTTCTGTTCTCTGTAGTCAGTTGGCACAAACGATCGTCGCTTTCATTCAGATTACTCTCCGATCGTCTGAAAATTTATTTACTGATAACCTTTAGTATATTTACTTGATGATAACAGTTGTAAACAATATAAAAATTGGGCTATTACAATAGCTCATGTTTAAAAGTGTCGTGGTAGAAGAAAAGTATAACTTTGAATGCTTTATAAATGAGATAAACCCATTCATTCAAGAGTTGACAGACATGACATCATAACTCTCATCTGTTTCTCCTTTGTTTCGTAAATTAGGAAGTTACCAATTAATGGGCTCGTCAAATTTCGTAGCTTCCAAATGGGAAGAATTAAGTGATAGAAGATGGCATAAATGGTCATAAGGATTGAGCCAGATGGATATTCATTTATCAATGATAGTGGAAGAAAATAGAATTTAGTCAAATCTGGATATTGAACAGCTCAAATTTAATCACTCTAATGAACAAAAATGGGAATGATAATATGTAGTGTGGTAGAGTTGCTGATGAATGCATGAGATAATGATTTACTGATTACGGTGGTTTTGTGCAGAAGGTCAAAGTAAACAGTAAATGGACGTGTGGGCGGAATAATTTGTGTTGATGTTTGAAGGACAAAGATGGAAAGTACACTGATACAAAGCACATACCTGATCATTAAATAACTATCAATTATCAATACAGCACCATTGAGTGTTATTTATACAGAAGTATACGTGAAAAGTAATCAAAGATATGTTGGTGGTTTAGAAATCTTGTCAGAGCACTAAGCGATGAAAATTCTGTTTTAGAAAGTTTGAATTTTGATTAAAAGGAAACTCACAACCACGCTAATTATGAGGTAGAGGCTGAGACAAATGATGGCCTGGGGAAAAAAAAAACAAAAACAAAAAATAAGCAGAAAGGAATGAACAAGTATACGGAGAGATGACAGCATAACTGGCATATCCAATTAGAAAGGAAAATTTTTGGCAGAGATAAAAAGCGGCCTAAGAAGAAATGAGGATAAGTAGTAAAAGTGAAGTATAGTTGAGATGATACGATTAAATCGACGAACCCATGAAGATAGTGACCAGTCAATGAGGATTTGATAACAAGATGAATAGAATTAAATAGGTATACAGTGGAGAAGCTTCCATTTGGATCATCTGCTTTAATCTTCTTCCATTTAATCCTCTTAAAACTAGTGATACCTATGTGGAGATGTTAACTGTAATAAAATTAAAAGAAATGCAGCACCAATTAATGGTGAGTTGTAGTTGAAATATAAGTGATATTGCAACGAGACCTATGTTTTCAGTTAACAACAATAGTAAACAACAACGGTCACACTATTCATTGACCTTAAGGAATTGTAAACAGTATTACTAGCCATCGGTCAGAAAACTGTGGAAGAATGGTTCCAGGAGCAACATTTTGATTTTAGAATAAATTTTACGCAGTATATCCAGTGATAATTAGTTTTGTTTTCTTTTTTTCAGCATATTTCATTTAAATAATTCAAATATGAGTTTTTTTGAATTTAATTTGCAATTTATTAATTTGCAATTTAATTTGCAAGCAGAACAATTAATATTATTCAATGAAAAAGAAATTAACCAAAAATAATTCAAGCAAACTGAGCATTGAATGGTATCACAATAATACGATAATAATTAAATTTTCAGTAAATATTAAGTATGCGTTTTGCGACCGCAAAGATTTTTGATTAGTAGATGTGAATTAAAAGAACGAAAAGTTATAGAATATATCTCTAAAACTCTTTAAAAGTGAAAAAAGGTCAAAGCAAAGGGCATAAATGAGAGAAAGTTCTGCAAAGATGAAAATGTAATTAACCTTGATTACTCTAAACCTACGGACAAACCATTATTAAATAAAAAATCACATTAGAGGGATTGACAGGAGATCTAGCTGGGAGAAATGCATTCAGTCAAGAAAAATTGAGGTTGATCAGCATCTGTCTTCAGTATCTAACACAAATGTGAGTCCTTAAGTAAACTGCTGAATCCTCCGAAGAAGTTTGCGTGGTGTACATCGAAAGTATTTTGCTGCAAAGTTTGATAATGATTTCTAAATCTCGGACAAAAGCACTTCACTACAAACCTCAATCGCTCGATATCCTCCTTAAGATCATTTAACTCAACGATTTGAGTATGCTGCTGCAACCTTAAAGCATCAGCTTCGCGTCTTGCAGCTGTGAGTGCCTTCATGATAACATCGTCGATGATTGTGATAATCCTCTCATCGTCATCACCATCACCATCATCATCAGTGGACTGCATCATTTGTACCTCACATTTACCACCATTCAACTGAATTGATACACAGATGGAACGTAATCGTGATATCAGATCACTACATCGTAATTTCGCAGCTACCAAATCTTCCCGCAAACGATCCATCTTTTTGAGTTCCAACTGAAGCTGTAAATGAAGTAACTTGATTTCATATTTCGAACTTGATAACATTATTGTTAAATACACTTATGAGCTAAGATAAAAACTGAGATTTCTTCAGTAACATTAGATTTCCTTCAAGGATCATTAAATTTTGATATCTGTTTTCGGATGAATTTGAATAAGTATTGAAGTACACATTAAATTCTATGGAATCCAAACTTTACGATGAATTTCGGATTTCAATGACTTCTGTAGGGTTTTCTACAGTTCTAGGATGTAATAATAATAATCAGTTTTATGGAATCTCTTGGGAAGAATAAAAAGAATTAGCTGAAAATAGCAATGAAAAACTTTTCAGTTAATTTTAACTTGAAATTTCAATTTTCAGTTTAAAAAGGACTTTTTAATGGATTTGAAACTGTCAAATAACAATCGCAGAAAAATACCTGTTGATTAAGCTGTCTATTTTCACTTTCCAGTTCGTTTACTCGACTTCGGCTTTCTAACACTGTTCTTTCACAAGCTTCTAGCTTTTTCTGGATATTTTCCATATTCATCACCTGCAGCCTATTCTCTTCAATGCGCTCTTCAAGTCGTTCATTGATTGCCTGAATTCAAAATTTTGCAAAATCGAATTCAATCCTAAAAGAAACGTAATGAAGAATGAATGAAATATAAGAATTAAGAAGAAAATTGATATTTGTGAAAGTACCATTAAACTGAAAAAGAATTTGCAAATATTCAAATAGCCCTTAGGACCACCAAAATAGATTGTTATCTTGGATGATTTTACTGTTGCTCATTTCATAAACACAAAAGTTTATGAAATCGGTTAATCCTATTTTATCACGGGTCATTGATACTATTACTAGTGGTACTTATGCGCATTTCATTATTAACACATTGCCGCTACTACTGATATAGGAATTACAGTGAAGGTAATTGGTTAGCATTATTTAAGAAATTAATGATGATAACTGATAGTTGGACAATTCTAGAGAATGTAAGAAAACACACGAAACCTTTTGGACGTTCCACTCATTTTCCAACAATTTCTTCTGCTTTTCTGAATTGTGCGCAGTTTGCTCTGTCTCTTTCAATCTATTTCTCAACTTCTCCATATCAGTTGCTGATAATTGTTCTTTTTCGAGTGCTTTTCTAAGCTCTTCATCTGCTTGAATTTTCGCTTCTCGTAAGCAGCTGATTAGCTGTTCTCTGGCTTTTAGAGTTTCTTGCAACTCCGAAATCTGCAAAATCCTTTCTTAAACACTATATTTTCTGCTAACGAGACTAAAATCTTTTTTACAGTTATTTACTCCCTATAAGGATTTGATGAAGAAGGAGAAGACGTGCACATAAATTCTTAGTGCATTCAGCCTCCTCAGTTGAAGTTGAAACTTTGACTTTAAAAATTCATCAATTTACAAACCGCTTTACTAAGACCACTTTTCTGTTCATGTTGAAAATCATTTTGAAAGTCGGAAAATTTCTTCCTTGCCTCCTGCAAATTCTGTTGTGCTAAATCTCGTTCCATTACCAATGCATTGCATAGATCGGAAGTCTATAAATTTCTTGCAAGATAAGAATAAAAGCATAAACCAATTAAAGCAATTTAAAAAATACTGTGTCGACTAGACTATTTAAGATTTCTTGGACAGAATGAAAAAGTATGAAATAATCCCATTTGTACACGTTGAACCCTAACAGCAACGTAAGGCTTATCTCATTACAAAAATGATTCGCTGCAAACAACCTTAGTCTTTGCTTTTTGGCAACATATATATAGCATGAACATTTCGTAATCTTTATTTCTACAAATCCAAGTCTCTTAAAACTTTGATGCAAGGATTCAATCTGATGAAATCGCTACATCCGTCTATCCTTAATTTAAGACGTAAAAAAGCCAAGAGAAATACCTTCTGGTATTGTGAAGTAACTTGTGATAAAGTCATTTGAAATTCCTGAACTTGTCGACCTAACATTCCGCATTCTTCCTTTTTTTCCGACAGTTCTATTTCAGTTCGTAACAATTTAGCGTGAATTTCATTCGATTCTTCGCAATTACTAAACACAAAAGTATTGGAAATATTTCAGTTTGTTATGTGAGGCTAACTAAGAAGCTCCCGGTCAAGGATCTTTTGCTTCTCAGTTAGCAAAAATTTCTCGACTATCATTTACAAGATTTCATCCAAATAAAATTTCGGCATGATGATGCCTCCCAAATCTATCCCGCAAGCTTTTTATCATTTCCGATTTATGGACGAATAATGCAACTTCTGTTTAGCAATTTATATACTCGACTTTTCTCATTGAGCCTTACATTATAGAGACTTCAAATACAAAACTCGAACAGATTAATTTAGATAAAATCATCAGACTGAAAACAATGTCTTTCAATTAGGGAAGATACTCAAAAATTTTTCACTTGAAATTCTCGAGTTTCGTCCTCAATTTCCTATTTTCTAATTCCAGTTCCAGAATTCGTTTCTTGTCATCGTCAGCTATTTGACTACCCAAGGATCCGAAATCTTCTCGTGAATTATGTTGATCCTCATTCATGCATTCTATTTTTCGTTCTAAGGCCAAACTCTTTTGCTGCTCACTTTTCAGTTCCCTTTCCAGACGACCATTCTCCACCAACAAATGTTCCATTTTCTCACGATCCTCAAATAAAACAAAAAAGTACAAAATTATGAAAAAATTTTTTGAAATTTTTCACATTGGAGTATGTTAAAGTCAAAGAGATCTATTTGTAATCTTATTCATATGGACTTTTTCTTTCCTAACAAAAGTAAACCTTAGTGATTTCGAAAAGATACTGTTTTATTTGATCTTGATAATCAGCCAACTTTGTTTCTAGATCTATGTGATTTGATACTTTCCGTTGACATTGTTCAAGTTGATCCTCCAGTATCGAACATGATTCTTGCATTACCTCATTCTCTTCTTTTAATTGCTGAAAAAATATCGTCTGCAATGATGTGAGATGAATAAAATTGAATAAAGAAATTAAATGACCAAAAATCTATGGAACGATGGATGTATTAAAATTTGACAAGGAATTAGTTCAAATTTATCCTAGAATTTTAAATTTTGAGAAATAGAGCATAAGATAACAGAGACAAAGTTGAGTTGATTTGATCTAGAAATAAATAAGTATTCAAAACTGAAATATTACGCTTGGAAGAAAAATTTTAGAAAGTTAATGAAGATTTTTAATGCAGTGTTGGAAAGAAGCGTACCATTACTCGAGATTTGAAAAAATCTAGGTCTGATAGTTTCTCCTTCAGTTTAACGTTATCAGCTTCTAACTTGTCATAATCTGCCAACTGAAAACCACAAATTGAAGCTACAAATTGTTGAAATTCGATCATTTAACAACCAGACATATGCTTATTCGAAATGGACAAGTGCTCAAACGATTTTATTAATGAAGACTTATGTAATTAGTCCAGATTATGCAGAAAATTAGATGGTAGGGAAATTAAGAAAGGGCGATATAAAAGATTTAGAAATGGCCCGATCGAAATTAATGAAATAATTACAACACATTTTAAGATTACGCCCTATAGCAGCTGACCTTATGCTGTAGACATTCAAGCTCATCACGATAGTCCTTCGCTGCACGAGCATCTTTAACAAGTTCCAGTCGTTCCTGCTGTAACTTCAGAATATCTAATTCACGAGTTTCCGCTTCATCTTTCAGTTCTGCAATCATCTCCTCTCGTTCCTCCCTGCAAATTACAAACAATAACTATCGCTCATACTCTTGATCCTAATTATTAATCATGCGTGTGAAAATTTTACTTACTTGAACGCTTTTGGCGATTCTCCTGGCAGGACCAGTAAAAGTCCCATGTAAAATTATTATTTCAAAATAGAGAATCCATTACGTAAACAGGAAAGCGAACCCATACAGGTTGGAACAGATAATTGAAAGCTTTTTTGCGTTTAAATAGCTAGTAAGAGTATTTTCTCCTTCTTCTAAAACATTATTCTATTTATGGTCGCATTTTTATTTGACTATAAATTAATGAGACGAACAATTAGCAGCTTTGATATTGAACTTCTTCTAAAATAGCACAACCGATTACAAATGTCCTCTCGCAAAATTTCGTTTTAACGTACCCGACTGTTCAAATAATTATTCCATTTTGTTAGAAATTCTTTTATCTGCATTCATGGGGAATGTTTTGAATTGGAATTGAAATTAAAATGAAGTAAGAGATTTCAATTAAGATTTCTACATTTACATAAATTCCCTTCTCATTTTTAACAGTGTACCGGAAATAATACAGGGTCTCACATTATTCCCTCCACTCTCTCCCCAAAAAAAAAACAAAGAAATGTGTTAGGGTTACTTTCAGGGGATGACTTATTTTCGGGGAAATACGGTAGCAAAAATTTGATGGATCTGTTGTTTTCAATGTATAAGCAATATAACAGGATATAATTATTACTGCTTAGGACACAGGTAAGACCCGAACTCTGATCAGTGCGGGTGTTCCCACTCGATCATAAAAACATCACATTTCAACAAATATCCCTACGTAGAACACACTTTAACTCTTAAGCACTTCATTTCAGATGTTTCGCGTGAAGCATTGTGGAATAAATTCTGAATTAACACTTTTATATAAACGTAGTTCTTACATCATATTTCTTAGCTTGCGGAGTTCGGCTTTAGCGGATGTAAGTTCAACATTGGTATGTCTTTCCATTGTACACGGTGACGGAATACGATCTTCTGGAAGTTTCAAACAATTTTAGAAAATACCGAATGGTTCGAAAATGATGCAGAAACAAAGATCGATGAAAAAGTCGTTATATGTCCAAAAACAAGAATACTGTATACCACATCTGTTTCCCGACAGTTTTGTCCTTCTGGTCATTTCACTGGATACTGATGAAGAACCAGTGGTCGTACTGTTTTCATCGCTTTCCTGCGATAGAACTAATACTTTGGGATGAGAAAAAAGGAATCTAAAGATGAATGACACTTCCGCAATTGAATAGAAGTTGAAAAACAACTTATAACATACTAAGCATTCAAAGCATTATTTGTTCACGGAAGTAATAGGAAATAGAATAAACATATTATTCATTCCTTCCATTCTCAGTTATACTTCTTGCTTTTTCGAAATGAAAAATAAGAGAATGGAAAGTAAAAACTGCTCTAATTTTAATTAAAATTTGAGAAACAAAACTAACTCGCTCACTGGATATTTCGTACAATCGATTGGCGTACCTATCACGTTCTTGCATCACACTTTCAAGATGGGCCAATATCGCTGTTTTTTGCTCGTCCTCTGGGACCAGCTCTAAGGCCTGAACATTAAGTACACAGTCACCTTCTTCTGCTACCTGGAACATTGTTTGGATGTGTGGCTGTGTTAAATAAAGTCATAGAATTAGGAACCGATGCATAATATCCATGAGATATTCATCACAAATTCAGGTAGTTCATGGATCATGGATTCATTGACCTGGTCTTGAAAGCAATTCCCGAACAGTCAAATTTTTCCAGTTGTTCAACAACAATTTCGACAGTTTTATAATCTTTCTGCTACTAAGGCTGACTGTTCATAATTTAAATATTCCTTGAAAAATTTTCATATTTAAAGGTCTTTTTTTAATATTTTGTCCGCACTTGAATATTTCTTAAAAAATGTTGATTAATTGCAAAGGTATCATCTTTCAACTAAAATTTAAAACTTTTGCGATACTCAGTGGCTTATAAGTAATGAAACTGTGAATTTCCTGAACGATACGTCCCGAAAAAACTTTGCTTTTTTTTCTAGCGAAGAAAAAAGAGGAACAAAATTAATCACTTTGCAGGATATTTTCGAGCAAAAGATCAAATTTAACGGCCTTGCAAAATGTTACACTCTTTTTTGCACTGTTTGGATTAAAGATATAGTAGGAGAAATAAACAAATTGAAAATTGCTTTGAAGTTTTTAAAATTTCATCTAGATTGACAAACTGTATCTCTGACAACAGGAACGGTAAATATGTGCATTCTCGATCTTCTGGAACATTATTAACCAAGCTAGACCGATCAGCTATCCCAAAATATGCGAAACAAGACAAATGACTTGTTGTTCGAAACCACAACTCTTTCTCACAAAAAGAACGGGTGCTAGCTACTTACAATTTTTTTCTCAAATGCAATCAGATAGGTCATATTGATGATGAAATATGTACTTCCAATTCTGAGTGCAGAATGGTCACTTGCACACTTGTTTTATTTGGGATGTAAATTTTTGAAAAAACATATAAATGTTAGCCTCAATTGCCATTACCGTTGATAATTTGACTTCCACAGATGACGTTTACCTTATGAATAACATTTTTCTTTTTATTTTTGCTTTAATAAGTGCTATTCTCGTTGTAATAACAAAAATGACCACTCTATTAAAGGTGACGAGTGATCATTCAAGTGAATGTCCACTTCTTCACTGTTATATTTACAATATGTAAAAATCTGATAACCTTTTTAATTTGATTTACGAGTGCCGTTTGGAGTTCGTTTTCCATACGTTTGATACGTTCAATGAATTTACCACGCTGTTCGCCCTGTACTGCACATCCCAACAATAACAACAACACGTTGTTTACATCCGCTTTGCAACCATCTGCAACAGTTTTAGTAGTAATCCTATCAGACCGATTCGTTTAGTTTACATCGAATAAACAGAAATCTACGTGGAATGTATTTCCTCATAGTTCGTGTATTGCGTGCAGACACGTATCTGCACGTCACGTCACCATGGCACTTCTGGTTTTATGATTTGCATCCAAATATCCGCTAACGATTGAAAGGTATTCAAAAATAGATTTAAATTTTAATTTAAATGTGAAATATAATTGCATATTAGTTACATTTGCAAAACTCTGGCAAAATTCTGAGCATTCTTAGTAGAAGTTGGAAATTGATATAATAGTAATGGACTTTTACCGTAATCAGAAAAAAAAGATAAATAAAACAACAACAAAAAAAAAACTTTAAAAAAAAAGAAAAACTAAGAAGCTAAAATATAACATCAAAACTGAGAAAAGAAGGTACATTTTTCTTTCGTTATTTGATGTATCTATTCGAGTCATCAATACAGCACAATTTATACAGATGTTATGCCCCGTCGTAAATGATACCAAAAAATGGTTCGCATAGAAATTTCGCTGAGAGTAAAAAAAAATGGAATTGAAAAGAATAGAGTTGAAGAGTGAGAAGAAACCAGTTGAACAATCAAAAAATGTTAATCTCATTCTTCCCGTGGTAAAAATCATTTTTTCGAAGGATAGAAGAAAGAGAAAGATTGGAAGATTGGATCAACAACTGACTGAACTGATTTATTTTAGCAATTGCAAAAGCAGGCAAAAATATTGTCGATTTCTTTCTATGCAAATGCCTGATCGAAGATCAGATCAGTGGACACAACGGTACTGATGTTCTTGGCTCGTAGGCATAAAAAAAAGCCATTGGAAAAAGAGAGAGAGAAAGGAAGAAATTTCATTTATTACTGAAATAAATTAACTTCAGTGGATGAATGGGAGAGAATCCATAGCAGGTTTAACAATTTTCAAGAAGTCCTGATAAAATTGACTTCTCTTTAAAAATAAGTGATAAGCTGTAAAAGCACATTCTCTGTTGGGAACCAAACTAGTAATTCAATTCATAAAGCACTTCAAATATTAAATGAAAATTTTATTCCACTGATATCTTTCCAATATTGGTCCTATCCTCTCCCAATACTGATCCTATAGGCTCCCTTGCAGGCTGTCCAGAAAGATTAGCATTATTTCCAAATGAAATGTTTCCAAGTATATTTGGACTTAGTCCAATAACTCTCGTCGAGGATGAAATAAAGGAAAACGAAAATGCTTTCATATTCTGGACTGACTGCGCCTTATTGGTGATTTGACACAAAAAGCCAATCAGAAAGCCAACAAAAAGCTAATCATGGTCTTCTGCCATCCACTTTTGCGTATCCAAGTTGAATTACAAAGATAGACAGCTGTACTTAGTCATTTCAGACTTATGTGATCCTTTGCATATTCATCAGACTTTATTTCCTTTCTAAGATTCAGGAATCACAACATGGTAACTTTGTCCAGAATCCAAATTCAAAATTCTTGTGTATCAGAAGTAACGAAGAAATTATATCAGCTTTGTTCCGATACTTTTCATATATTTTAAACGTAAACGTTACCAATTGAGATATTTCATCATCAAAATTCCCTAGCATTCCTTGGCCTTTTCTACCTTTTTTTCGAATAATCAAAGATAAAATGAATGAAAATATTTGAATAATATATTAAAAAATAATTTACAAACCTTCAATGATGACATATTGGATGAAATGAATGACAGTATAACCGTTTATTGAGAAAATGAGTGATGTTAAAGGTTAACGTTTGTTTTGGAAAAGTTTTTGTATAATTAGCAGGATAAGGGAAGAGGAGTGCTGATTTATCTGAACAAGCAATGTAAAGCAAACAGCCGATAGCTCTTATACCTTCCGATCCAAATTATCGCAGCAGGGATTGTGATATTAGACGGGATGGACCATATTGATACTCTCATATTGGCATGTTTACAATTAGTCTCTTCTACTCCTACTACAGATGAGCGCTATTGTAGTTTATTACTTATCGAAGGTTTTACGTAATAGCTGATCTATTGGAATTCCTTGTCCTTCGCCATTGGTACACTTATGGGATGTTGAAACTTATCACTCATATTATTTCTACCAAACGATGCCTCGTATCTTCACTTTGCCAAGTGTCAATGAAAAGATGACATTGTTGCTTAAATAATTTTAAGCTATCATTTTGGTCATTATTGAGCTATGGTTCAATGGAAACTTATTGTTTCTTCTTCAGAATGGTATGAAAAACAAGAAAATTAGTAAGTTCAAATTTTATGAGTGCATGAAACAAAATTTAAACGGTCTACTCATTTCATGTCAAACAAATGCCATGGTTAATGAACGAGAAATCTTTTAGCGTTTATATGAAGAAGAATGAAACGTTGAAAGTTGCAATGAACTAACTGGCCAAGTCCTTCGACGTATATCGGCAACTATAACATAAGGTGTAAGCTCGGATGTAATGGAGTTGAAATTGTCAGTGGAGTTGTGAAAATTATTGAATAAATGTGACCATAATGAAGTGGACAGAAAGAACAGGAGGAAATGAAGTAGTGAAGAATCTAGCGATACTTTGAATGAAAGTAATAATTAAATATAGAAACTAATGCATGATTTAAATATGACGCGGTGATATGATTACAGGCGACAACGATGTTTGAGATCAGTGGTGGACAACAAGTCCATTTACCCTCTCCGTCTCTACTCCTCTTTGCATCTCATCACGATACAATTCGATATCTTTACTACAAAATTCCTATATACAATCGGACGATATTTCTTTAATTCTTCTAGTCGGTCTTCATAACCCTGTAATTCCTCAAAAGTTCATTTATCTATTTACAAAACTGAATTACAATAATCTTAGAGAAAATGAAATTTATTGTTATTATACGAATTGAAAATGCAAAAAATTTCAGAAAAGAAACAATTTATAACACAGACTGATTGTCGCCAACGCAGAATAAAGACGACAGGAAAGTTCAACTCTTATTTGTATAAAAACAAAACAGTAAAAGAAGGTAAGGAAGTGTATGCCAAAGATTTCATTAGCCTCTTGAAGAGAAGGATAGTTGAGACCGATATGATAAAAAAATGAATGAATTTTGTTTATCACAATTGTCGTGGCCTGTGAAATAGGGTTAAGGAAGAGTTGATGTCATACACTCTTCGAAATGGTTGAATATATTTGCGTGTTGCATTAACATACCATATTTATGAACGAAAATGAGGAAGGAAGGCGATGACGGAGTGTAACAAAAGAGACAAGAAGATGATCGAAGTGTGTATAAATGCTAAACAAATTTATGGTTCACATTGTTTATATCTGTTGGCCAAATAAATTCACAAACTTCAGAAATGTTAAAATAGGATTATCAAAGTGATGATCATATCATATGATATGTATGTATCTATGAAGCGTAGATACATCCATATGAGCAAGCAATTTGATAAAAAATATATAACCAAATAAATGAATTGATAATTTGGCAAATGTCCATTCGTGAACACTTTCAATGAGTAAACATGCTCAGAAATTATTGATATCTTTGTAGATGTTTGCTTTCAATCACATAAGAAAAATATGCATAAACAAACATTTGATTTCTAAAAAGAATTATCGTAGTTAAATTAAGACAACAATCCATAATTTGTTAGATGGTTTAAAGGAATGATGCAAAGAGATTTTGAGATCTTCGCCTGGAAATTAAATGAGCAATCTTTTTAATAAATAAGTAATTAAATAAGTTTTAATAAATAATTTTAATAAATGAATAATTAAATAAGCAATCTTTTTAAATAAATAAGCAATCTTAAATAAGCAAATAATTAATACATATTATTACTCGAAGGTGGTCATCCAAGGAAGCAAAATCTAATGAGAAAGTGATATGACAGGTGACCTTGAAAAAGCAAACTATATCCGAGTAAATATAGAGGTAAGCTGCAGGCGGCAACCGAATAACTGATCCCACTCCAGTATATGCAAATGAAGCCAAACAATAGATGAAAGGAAGGTTAGGTGCTTTGTACGGTGAACTTTTTCAATTCGCCAGGGTCACGACATTATTGCCTTCCTCCCGATTTTTTCAATGCATTAAGATATCACAGACTATCACCAAACGAATATTACTTATTTCCGCTAAAACTTGTCAAGCAGAAGAAAGCACTTACTAAGAAAAACCCAATTGCCCAACGAAATTAACGACGAATAAAGCTTAAGCAGCTGCTTCCCCTGGAAAACTGCTTGATATGTTCCTTCTTTATAGTGGGCAGATCTTCTAATTAGTTTAAACGAAATTCGTTGATTCTCTCTGGATGGAAACTATCACTTTTGATCCCATGAGACTGCAAAGCATGGAGTTTGACTTTTTAGAAATTACTTGAAAAAGGGAGCAAATTTAAGCACATAACTCCTACATGTCTCATTACTGTTCCTTCTGTTTTACAATCCCTTAAATAGCAAGCTTGGTTATAAAAGATCAGAATATTTGCAATGATTTATTGGATAGGTATAGTCCGATATCGGAATATATTTCAGTGTCACATATCGGATATCATCATCCCACATAAGATTTCTTTTTCACCTCTGCGCAATTGTTTCAACAACTGTTCAACAACGATCGGTTATTAGACCTAATACCAAACATTCATATGGTGATAAAATATGTAATAATGCGAATGAAAGAAGCAAATTTTAAAAGATGAGCATTTACAACGGTTGAACTTTCTCTCTTTTTCCCTCCTTCGCTTTCAAAAGGTACTTTATCTCCAATTCTTTATTACGTACACTTTAACAGTTAAAATAACTTTTTCATCTACCAAAGCACCGCTTATATATCATTCCATATATACTGCAATACTTGCGAGGAAATATATGCAGCTGTGTTTGAAATTTACCGCTCTCATTAAGATTAGTGATAGCTTAATTTAAGCTTGAAATTAAAATTTTTGATTGCAATAAGCAAAAACTTAATTTTTATAAAATTTTGACATTATTTAATACTATATTTACAATAATCGTATCCTTAAAAAGAAAATACCTTTGTTATCAAGATTACACATGCGTGAATCATGTACATGGGGGGCTTGTAAGGTTGATATTTTACAACTGAAGATGAATGATTTATGACAAAAGAACCTAACGCAGCTTTACTTGTTATGACGAATATTAAGAGATTGTCACATTACGAATTAACTGATTATCAAATCGAAATAGCATAGCAATTAAGGTACTATAGGGGAGAGTTTCAAGAAAAAAAGAAAATTAAATTCTTCAGTTCTTTCGAAACTAATCATATAATTAGAGGAAAATAACTAAGCGGAATAATTGATACTATGAGCACAGAGAGGAATGACAAGTGATACCATAACTTTTTTCGGGAAATTATGATATATAATCATGAAATACCGGTACTAAACGTCGTAACAGTCCTGATGAATGATCATATCATTAGGGAAAAAAACAAAGGAGCACAATAATGAAGCATTAAGTAAGAAGAGGAGAAAAAGAAACGAACCGGGATACGGGTTCCGTACGATGGTCAGCAGATCCGGTAGCGGCATCACAATCAATTTGTTTAATTGCTTCTGCAATGTATAACAAAATTTATAATGGTACCATTCATTCGATTGTAAAGGAATTGTAATGTTATGTTTTTTTCTTTTTTTTTTTTAATCTAATTCATTTTCTGTACCACCCAAATTGTTCTTAATGGATGACGGTTTTTAATTTGTCCTTCTTCATTCTAAACATTTCAAACTGCCATTGAACTGCTTACAACGAAAGTTACTCGTAGAATTTAACCTATGCCCTCCATGTTCGCATTATTTTACTTGGATTGTTATTCCAATACTTGAAATATTATCATTTCAACGATATCAAATGTAACAATGTTTGTTCTATTAATTTTTAGCTGTAAATTTGAGCAGTTTATATCAGTGAAATTCTCGAGAAATCCATTTTAGAATTGATTGGTTGTCGGAAGTTTGCAAATGTGTTTGAAGTGCATAATGAAACTTAAGTTCTTTTGAGTTAATATTTAGTATAAATAATTCATTAATTCTAGCTTAATGAAAAAGAAACAACGATAGTGGTAAATGATGTATTTAGATCCTTTGGGCATTTATTGACCTAGGTTACTTTTTATTTTCTAAGGAGAGTAAGACTCTATGAAATATTTTTTTAAAATAGCTAACTAAAGGTCTCCATTGTAATATTTGACTTGAAGTTCGTTGGAATGCTACCACTGGCAGTTATATCCAATTTATTCACACCTCATTTTATTAGATATGCAAGTCTTGCTTGACACCAGCACAATGCTTAGGACTTCTGCATAAACAAAAGTTTTCGTTATGAATTATGAAATGATTTGTCTCATTCATGTAATCTAATCAGATGACAGTTGAAGAAAGGAACGGAACTGCAATGATATAGTCATAATTATATAAATGAAGCAAAAGGAACAAATAATGAGATCAATTTGTTTATTTGTGGGTGTTTTAGTATTAACTTAATTAACAGTACTAACATTTTTTTTTGGTACCATTAATTGATTTTTCACTGTTTCCTGTACAACAACCACAATTTTTAATGGGTTAACTAACCATAAAAGTATGAAATAACTTTATTCTTGCTTCATCAAAATGATGCTAATTGTGTGGAAATATTAAAGGGTGAAGTTAAATTACGAAATTCCTGACCAGTAATTAAACAAACAATATTAATTCGAATAGCAACTGGACAGATTAAAATAATAAAGTAGGTGTGAATATTTATATATCAAACTTTTCGGTAGAATTATTTTGGAAATGGCATGACCATGAATAGGGTAGTGTGAAATCGGTCAAACTGCAAGGCCATCCTTGTTAGTTCCCGTGTCGTGTATGACAACAACAATCCATTAAGGGTGCTAGGGAAAGAAGAAGATCGTTAGGTAAGTGCAGCCCTTCGCAGTACCATAGACATTCCATTGTTGATGAAATATTAACCTTTTATTCAAATTAGGCTTGCCGTATTCATACAAATTTACCATAAGTAAACTTTTAGAGTGATCACCTATTTCAGATTAAAGTGCTTTATGTCTATAAAATTTTCTACAAATTTCTTAGTTATGTTGAATAAGTGAATGGAATCAGTTAAGCATTATCAATTACTGGAAGGGAAATAGATAAGAGATAAAATTAAACTAACTGGTGTAAATTGAAGCTGGTGATTTTGCAGTCGTAAATTGTTTGCAAAAGGTCAATACGATTATCATTATGGAGCGATTCTCAAAGTAAATTTCACTCTAAAATTTGAAAAGACTAATGATTTTAGACATTTTTCTTGGGATACATTCATATGAGGTAACTAGGAATTCGGAACCTTTTATGCATAATAGCTGGCGAATGTCTAGGAACTAACTTCGGATCTAACAGGAAGGTAAATGTTGTGACCCGGATAAGTTTCCCATCTATAAAATAGCTTATTGATTTTGAGATGAATAGGGAACTAGGAATCTGAGATTTTGAAGATTAAATTTATAGCATATGTAAATGTGAAACTCGTAAATGCTCCAAGACTTAAGATTCTGGGTAAAAGTTGAACGCAATAAGGACGTTTTAATTTAGGTTGGAAATGCATATACATCAGTTGTCTTACTTATGTTGTTTCATTGTTTACTAACATCCATCGAAATAAAAAGAGAGAAAGAAGGACTATTTATAATTGTACTAAATAAATATTACTATTGTCATTTGTCATACTTCAATCGTTTTGCATTAGAAGAGGCACTGATTATTGATGGAACACTCGCTGACCATAAAAATATTAAGTTTGAGCAGAAATTATCCTCTTTTCGTATTTTCTTGGTGGATATTTTACTGAGATTCGCATTTTGTGTTTTAATTTGTGTTTTTTTTGCGGGAAAAATTTAGTTTCCCCTGCAGAATAATATAAATATTTAGACGTTGGTTAATTAATGAATTCATTTAAAAATATCACTGATATTATTGAAAAGAGCATAGTATTGAATTTTGGCCATAGCGATGACAAATCAGTCAACAGAAATAATCGACGTTTTATGACGTTGAGACTTATCACGTTTTTGTCTTAACGTGATAGTTAAAAGGAAATGTTGCAGAAATGATTAATCCCGAGACATGTCTTCTGTCTGATCATATCTTCTTCATTTGATATGTATTCATTTTCTATCAAATGGAGAAATGGGAAACATGCAATTATAAATAAAGTGAATAAAATAAACTTTTAAAATATCCTTTTTTCATTTTCACATTTCCTTTTTTTCTCCGCGCTAAAACTAATAATATTTTCATGAATCAACCGGCCGAGTGCATCATTCCAGTATAATAAAAAACTGGAATCACTGCAACATGACTCATAAGAATTCATAATAATTGAGAAAAAAAACTGGTTATAATTGAAGTATATATTTTGAAAGATTCAGGATAAAAGTGTTGTAAACAAATTTCTTAAAAAAGTCTCAATAAAGTTAGTAACAAAAATAGATTTCGTTATAAAATAATTCAATTCTTTCTTCTTTATAGACCAATTTACAGAATCATTTTACTAATTTTTGTGAAAAAGAAACTGCTCTTTCAATTTTTTTCAGAAGAGCTAATTTTGAATAGAAGTAGAAAGTTGAAAAGTTGGAATAACTTTGGAAAATCTTCGGAAATGTCAAATTCTCTCAATTTCCTTCATATAATTGTTGGAGAATTATGCTTCTATAAATGATAATGTATAGAAAGGACCCATAGGATATAAAAGAAGAATGATAAGTAGTCGTTATCATTCACATCATCTTCACTGCTCTTTTTGTAAATCAATCTTCAGATCTTCCGGCAGATAAACACAAACTTTATAACTCCTTAAATGCAGACAACGTAAAAATAAGTTGGTTGAGTAAACAAACAATTACATATGATCCGAATAAATCAAGATTAATTCTGAAGTTGTATCTATTCCCATAATGTTAATTAATTAGTTAATTAGAAACTTTGTAACGCTTCACTGATCATGTTCTATTACTAGTGGGTAAATTTTAGATACGACGGTTACTTTCGTTGACAAACAAGGGAAGTTATGTATTTTAAAGGTAGTTATGAAAAATTTTCTCTTTTTGATTGTTTATCTAACTTCTAATTCCCCGTCAGACTGATTGTTCTGGATGGATTTGGAATACTGATATCCATTATTTACAGTTTAATAAATCCGGAGATGGAAGATTGAAGTAGTGCTGAAGAACAAGAAGTAACTTGTTGTTGAAATTTAAATTTAAATTTCTGCCTAGATGCTTGCTTAGAGGACTTACTCGATAAAACTTCCGAATATTTTCTAGCAATATTGAAAGTCTTTTCAAGCTGGTTGTTGTATCTGAGAGCAAATTTTCGCCATCACGCATTATTATTAAATTTAATGTGTCTGGCACCCTGCAACGTCGTTACCTTTCATTTATTTAAATTTGGATATCTTTCATTTAAATTTATTTTTTTGTCTTTTTTTTTATAGGCCACAAATCTGTTGATTGTCTTCCCATCTCAAAAATCTGTCATACCTTCCCCAGAGCACACCGAAATACGAAATGAAGTCATTTAAAATTAAAAATTTTCGTTTAATAGATAGTTAATGGCTTTTGAAAGGGTAATTGCAATAACTATTCAAAGCATGTCAAGAAGTCTTTCGGCTGTTAATTTTATTGCGGTTATTTTCAGTAGGTACCAAATAAGTGAGGTCAAGTGTGTATTTGCAACAGAAGGGCTTCCAACTCAAGAAAACCTCGAAGAAATCAATGTTAAGTGAGGGAGTGGACACTACTCCAAACGGGAAAGTGGACAATGTGATAATTGTCTCCCACAAAATTCAAAATTCTTAGCAATATTCCTTTGCAAATATAACAAATCAAAGAGGATTAGTTAAAAAAAAAAAAAAAAAACAAGTTGTAAAGCTAACACGAAAACGAAGAGAAGACTGAAAACGAAACCGTCGCAGAGCTCCGGAAATCGTAGAGCACGTCCGCGATATGTTTCCGTTCGCCATGCTGCTTCAGGAAGTAACGCATCCGATCCAATAATACAATCTCTAAAACGATTGTTCCAATTTAAAAAATGCTCCATTTTTTTTTCTTATTTTAAAAATGTTCCAATTTAAGTATCATTTACTCTCATATTTGAAGTTTGTTATCGGAAATTTTTCAACAAATGATTTTGAATGATTCTATAAGGCAAAAATTTTTAGAAGGAAAGATTTTGTTTTAACCGGCAATTATTTCCGGTAATCACAAAATTAACTTTTATAATTTCCACAAACTAACTTTGGTAAAACTTAAAGGTGAAATTTCAAAAGTAAAAAAAGAAATTGAACAGGTCTTATTGCAAAATTAACCACTCATAATAGCTAATTATAACACTAACTTGATCCATGCTCCAAGTGGTTCCTTCCAAAACCATTCTTCTTTCTCTTGCTCTTCTTGAGCATTATTGCATAACTGAAGCATATCGTACGTTTACCTAAACATAGAAGTACGAGAAATTTGCTTACATGCTCATTTAAAATGAATTTGAATTTAGAATGATACCTAAAACTATTGATGTGATTTCTACAAATCCATAATGAGACTAATGGGAGATTTTGAATTGTTCTATAACTCAGAAATTTTGTAATAAAACCTTCGAATAATTTTTTTTTTCTAAAATATGAACAAAATGCCAATATTATATTTTATGACATCGGAAAAAAAGATGGATTATACTTACAAATTAAATTTGATAAAACTTAGAGTCTCTGATTCCGAAAACGACTCAAATACAAAAACCAAAGAAAAATGGTCTAAGAAAGGATTTCCCATAATTAATCCGGTCTATGGAGAAGCGGGAAGAAGAGGTCATTGCAGAAGGGAGGGAAAAAGTTGAAAATGCTAGCAAGTAAGATGGAAAACACAAAATGAATTGACCTTACTCTAGGATAAGTAGCAATGTAAATTTGTGTTGAAAACTAGCATTTTCTTTATAGGAATGAAATGTTTTGAAAGAGGAGTGAACCACTGAGATATGATTTTGACAGACACAGAACAGCATCTGCGTCATTCTATTTCTTTTCCTGGAAGAAAGAACAAGTCTAAAATCTCAGTTTTCGAGGCCCTTTTGATTAATCCACCAACCGGTTTAACCACCGATAATTTGACTTACGTAGTCTTTGCTAGTTTTAAATTATCTTTTACCTTCCTCTAGGTCTCCCGAAGTCATGATTCGAGATTTTAGCTTCCAAAGGCCTAATAATCTGATAGTTTAAATTTTCTGGTATTAAATGATTCTGAAATGTTAAACACAGTTTTAAAATCAATAACGAAGCACTGTTTTTAGTTCAAAATAAGCATGAGAATAGATTCCCACAAGCGATATTGTACGGAGAACCTTTTTATTCTCCATGGAAACCGGTCAACGAATCACTGATAGATTGGCCATTTGAATTTGGTTGCTAAGGAGGTGTTCCTTAAACACAAATGAAGCGGTGTTGACAAAATGTGGAAAGGTTGTCGTTACGGATAATGATCAAATTTAGAGATGATACATAGATGTCATTTGAAGCTACATTCTGAAATATTAATAAACAAAATTTCTAACAGCAATCATTTTACAAGAAAAAACTGCCCACAAATGTTCCTTGATGGATTGGAAATTTCTTCGTTAAACTTAATAAGTTTTATTCCTTACTTCCTCTTTTTGATGAATGTAAGAATAACTTTGACATCCTTTTAAAATGTATTTTCTATTGTTCAATCAGTATGGCAATAAGTTCCGATTTTCTGCTAAATTTGTTGAAGTTTGGCATAATTAATAATTTTTTTTTGAATGATTAAAAAACCCTAGAAAAGACATTAAAAAGTATGAAGATTCTGAATGAGTCCTTCATAATGAAATATTTCAAAGGACATTTTGAGGACGGAGGGACTTTGTTCTATCCGGAAAAGGTTCATAGTCGTGGTTCTTTGCGCACAATTATTATTTGTCGGAAAGAAATGGATACTTACTGCCTTATGTGTGAGAAATAATCAATTCGTAGCGAATTATTTTTTCCCTCAAAGAATACTGTTTGGAAAATGAGTCAATAAATTGCGAACGGTGGATAATTGCGCAAATTGCTCCACAATATAAAAACAAGTAGTATGGGTAACTGGTAGGAATGAATAGAAAGTGTCACACAAATACTATAGCCCTAGTTGTCCACAGTCTGGAAAGCCTGGAAACATTATCACTGATCAAACATAAGTTTCAAGATCTTCAGCGACATTGAAAAAGTCAACAATTAGTTTGCGCTTGAATTAGGATGGATGTAATTTAGACAGATGGAAGTAATCAAACTCAGAATGAGATATAGAAGAATTCAATTTATTGTTTTAGGAAGTTATATTATTTCATCCGTTTGCAGTTGATATGAAAAGTTTTCTCATACTTCTTATTCCAAAGAAATGTTACTTCAATATCAGTTCAAAAAGTAAAGCTTGAATTTCTAACATATGAAATGTTTCTTTACTGTGGCCATTATTATGATAATCATTATCAAAATTGTTACTTGCATTTATATTGTTTAGTGCAAAAACTTATGACTATTACTTGTAAGTGATGGTTAATGTAGACGCAATCAATTAACCAAAACCAATGTTACAGATTAATGATCATTAAAAGTATTCGATAATTCATTTTATGGTTTTAAGAACTCATTTAGGTGTATTTGCCTCGAACATTAGCACATCGCTTTCAGGTATCTTTTCTTCAATATTTAATATTGATTTTTCCCTTTTCGGATCTCTCCGGTTTTTCTCTAATGTATTTTTTTTCTAGCACTGATGCTATTCTTCATTGTTCTAGGTTTTGCTCTATAGTCAAGCTTTTCTTTAGATTAGAAAGATAAAGCTAAGTAACAGTAACAAGGTTAAGATAACAGTAAAGAGGAATTCTATTTCTTGGAAGTCAAGTTATAATAAATCTCGACAAATCCGTAAACTATTTAAGATATAATAAAGAATCAAAAATTAATGGTTAATATTTTTGCGGGAAATACCCGTACAGCATTCTCCATTTATTTATCGGACATTTACAGCTTTCATTTTAATCCCTTCAATTCCAAATTTTTTCTTCATGCCATCAAATAAATATTCTTATACTGCTTGTAGAAAAATTGGGTTTTTCCACACTTTGCTTAATAGCGCTAATTTATTTCTGAATAAACATTTCCTTAAATTATACTAAATTACACTTTAGACTCTTCAAATGTCACGGTTAAATTCCAAATCCTTTTTTGGATGATGAATGAAAAATATTAGAAATTAATTGAAACGTATTCAAAAACATCAAAAAACTGCTCTATTCATATCTACGGGAAAAGCAAATATGTGAGTCGTTTTTTCATCATCATCGCTAATCTAATTCGCATTGTTGATTTAAACAAAGAATTTCCCTTCCACATTGAACCAACTAGTAGCGTAATGACTAATTAGATCCTTACGGCAAATTATGTTTCGCACACTCTAATTAATTTATATACTCTCTGACTTCTCTTTTTTATCTCAGTGTAAAATATTTCAAGGTTTTAACTTGCAGCTTGCCTCGAAACTTCAGCTTTTATAGGCCCGAGAATTTGCTCTTTACACCTCGCTCCCGACATGCTCAGTAAGTGATTCAAATCTCAATCAGATTTATAACAATCATGACTTTCGAAGACAAATCTTGAATCACCAACAGCATTCTTTGAATTGTATGAAGTTCTGTATGAAAAAAAATCTTAACTGTTAAAAACTTATCTTTCAGTGTCGAGTCTCTCTGGTTATAGTACCAACGTTCATTTTAAACAGTACTAGAATATTTAACGAGTGATTTGAATTATAACCATCCATGAGTCCGCTTCGATAAAATTATCGGTAGCCTAAATAACCAAGTCTTCCTTGGGATCTCTTAAGCCGTTGGCTTTTTAAACAAATTATTTGAAGTCTCACAGGACAATAATGGAAAGGGAAAGCTCCAGCATCATCAAGGTTATATTTTTTCCGTGTGTTAATGTTAATGTGTTTATAGCCTTTCTTGAATTTCGTAAATTTAGGAATTAAAGAAAGAAAGGAATTTCAAAATCAAATCTGGTCCGAAAATCCGTAACCAGAAACTTTTGAAACGAAAACCAAATGGTTAAATGATCTTGAAATTCATATCAAGAGGAAAAAACTTTAATATAATGAATCAAACTTTTGATTCCATTCCAATAATTGTGAAATTTGTATGCATTGCCTGCCCAAATCATTATTTTCCTTTAATCAACATATCTGTTAAGTACAATGCTTGGCATCCACTTTCATGCCGTATTCACAGACACGTAAGTTTGCACCCCTTGACTACGTCCCTTAACTAGCCCTGTGCAGTTTTAGAGATGGTGTTGTTCAGGCCTGCTCCTTTGTTGCACACTATGGAACAATCAATACATTTCAAAACTGAAAAGAATACGAATGTTTTATCATTAAAACTCCGATTAATAAGCAAATACACACTGAGAACCGCAAATATGCATTGACTGAGGATCAAAACAAAATTAAATTACAAAAAGTAGAAAATGCGAAGAAAATTTTCAAATCCAGCTGCCAAATAGCATAACAATAAAGTATCACCAAACAATAACAATGATTTAATTTCCTATTGAAAATTGGAAATAGAATTTATGTATTAATGGTGAAATATAAAGTAGCATCACTTTTAAAATTAATAAAATGATGAATTTCATATATATAATTTAGGTGGCATACACTATTAAACAAAGTACAAAAACTTTCGAGGAATTTTTCCAAAAGCTGATGAAATCATAAAACTGTCCCCTTTCACAAATTATCTAGTCGAAAATGAACACTGAATCATACACGATCAACAATTGAATAACTTTGTGAAAAGCAACAAAATATTGATATTGAAAAATTCAGAAAAATGGCAAGCTCCCACTGAATACAGATTAGAAATAATATGAAAGTGAATGCCTGCTGAGAAATTGTTATTATAAAAAAAATCACTTATATGGTTGAGGGGTGTGATAAAGTCCCGAAATTATATTGATACTTCCTAATTCTAATGATTTCTCAAAATTTTTAAATTTATATTTGACAGAAATAATTTTCAAGGAATTAGAATATTTTTAAAAAATATTACTGCTGAACATAACTTGGCTGAATCGTTGTTAAAACAGGAACCGGTTGAACTATTGCTGGTTGGTGTTGCTGCTGTCCAGGATAATAGTACTGGGTTGTATTGGATATCGGTGGTTGCTGCTGGCCAGCTGTAGCTGCTGGTATTGCTGCATATGCTGCTCCTACTGCTGTCACTCCTTTAAATTAACGCAACTTTGAGAAAATCAATCTCCCATTTCACTAAAGTGACTTTATTACTCATTTCCTTCTTTTAATTAAATTAACGCTTTCAAATAAAAAACAGAATATAGGTCTCAATAAGGTGGCGCTACTGGCATATATGCGCACTCCCAAATCCGAGATTAACATTGCTCTAAAATGTTATGAAGGTCGCAAATCACTCCGAAAGCAATGAAATTTATCACATATCTGAAAAGATTCAGTGTTACTGCTTTAGTTACAAATCTTGCATCAGCATCACATTTCGGAACACTCGTATGTTTCAAAAGCAATTCGTGACCTTCTCGAGCTATTCTCTAAATCAAGCTCTTCTATCTAGACGTTATGACTTACCGTTATCTGTGTTAGATGCACCTGCATAGTACTGCTGTTGTTGGTGAGCTGGATAAGCCGAGTAACACGCAACTGTTCGCATCTTTTTGTCAAGTGGGTCACTGAAAATGAGTGGACTAAGTCTGTTGATGCTGATGGCATTTGTGAGTTTGAAAATTTGTGATGTCCAGTTTGAACGATGAAACCTTGTTAATGAAAGAAGTAATAAAGAGAGTAATAGCTTACCCAGAACTTCTCATATCAGCTGCTCTTTTGTTCGGCACAGCAACATTCTCAATACTTTTTTGAAGTTGCGTGTGATATTCGAGGTGTTTCTGGAGACTAAAACAAGAACATGAAATCGATTTCCGGAAACCTTATCTCGTTGAAAACCAATCAATTTTCAAGGACCTTATCTTGTCAGAAATTCATCAAAAAATCAAAAGTCCTTCATATTTTTTATGTAGAGATTCTCCTGCCAATAATAAGGCCGTAAATTTTCAATTAAAGACAAAAAAGTAGGACCCATCAGACAATACTATCGGATAAGCATTCGCTTATTAAGTTACTTTATTGATGAAGACATCAGTGATATGTATTTAGATATCGCTTATTAAGCTACTTTATTGATGAAGATATCAATGATATGTATTTAGATAGAAAATTATACTAAGACAATCAAAAAGAAAGCTAAAAATGTTGAAATTAGGAGAAAAAATCATAAGGAAATAAAGAAAAAGTTGAAAATAAATAAAGCTAGAATAATTAGATTGAAAAGAAAGCTAGAAATGGTAAGGCTGTAAAAAAAATATAAGGAAATAAACAAAAAGAAATAAGTTTTACTTATTTTTCTTGCAATCTTTTTTTGTTAAAATTGAAACAATTAAAGTGAAGTTAAAATGTGATAATAAAATTAATGACATATATCGCAAAACTATGAATTGAAATCTAACAGCCATTGTGAAATTTTTAAAGAATAAGTAAGGGAAAAATATTTAAAAATTATGCCTCAACTAAATTTTCTGACGCCTCTAATTAAAAGAATTGATTTCTTATTGATGTGTATAATTTCTATAATACATAAACATTATACGAAATCAAGAGTATAGTAACCAACGCTTCAACGTCTGTTCCCAAATCCTCCAAAAAATCCAACTTTCTCTGTGAAAAACGCAATTTATCTTCATCGGAAAGCTGGTCACTTTCTAGAACTTCATTCAGTGCTTCGATCACACTTCGTTCATTGAATATTGGTGCCGTATAGGCCAAGTCAACCAACGCCAAGTAGAGTTGTGGATTGCTCTAAAACGATACATGCATTTTTTTGTACTATTTCCATCGAAAAGTTCTGGATGGGAAAATGTAGAGGAGAGGAAAACATTATAATACTATAAATGACAATACTATGCTATTCATGATAAGAATATGATAAAGCTGTACATGATAATGTAATGATTTGCCAACGTTCCACTTACCTTATCACGATTTATTGCATCTCTGATGATTTTTTCAGCAAGCTTGCGATCATTTCGTGTTTTGGCATGAAATCTTGCTAGTTTCAGGGCATAAAATGCAGACAATTTACGTGGAGTACGTGAATCGTGTATGAGACGCTCAAAGCGTGAAATCACAGAAGAATAGTCGGGAGAATCCCTGTAAGAATTTTTCCAATTACTTGGCAGTTTAATTTTAAAAAAAGAAAAATTCTTAAAACATTACAAATATCTCTGAAAATCAAAATAAGTAACCTGTACCTTCGAACTACCTTTTAATTTCAATAAAATCTAAAATTCAATGTACCATTACAGATAACTAGCCTATCTCCTGTTTGTCTCATTGCAAAACGCCGCTCAATTCCAATCCGACGCAGTGCAATAACAGCATATCCTGGATAGCGATGATCAAAATTTGCCAAAATCGAATTGGCTTTCTCAAAATCACCTGTAACAGTTATATAAGTTGTCACCGTCGTCAAAAGAGTTTAGTAATTGCATGGTGGGAAAAGTCTGCCGAAAAATTACTCCTTATTTTACAGAACAATCTCCTATACTTCAACCTATTTGAACGTATTTGACAAATTTAATTTTATTATCTTCATTGAATATGCACTCGAAAGAATACGCGTATTAAGAAAAAAAGGCTTCATCAGCAAAACCTGCAGTTTAATAAAAAAAGGTAATTCTTAATCAACAAATGCAGTAAACAACTCAATGGCTATGCCTAGTTGAAACGCAACAGCGTTAAATACCTTCCTTCTGTTCCTCTCAATTTTTCAGCACAGAAAATTCGAAAACTTGTGCTGTAAACAAGATAAGCAAGCATTTTCCTCAAGAAATTTAGAAAAGTTGAAATTTCACAACATGGAGAGGTTTGCATATTTTTCCAACTTTATCTCGACGCCGTGAACCAATTTCAAAAATTATTTGGCATCGCATTGTGAGGGTGCAAAATTAATCTACTTTCATTCCCAGCAGTATCAAACGAACTAATACTTGATGTGATTTTGATGAGTCTATTCCTTTATTTTGACCATTTCCTCCTATAAAGTAATTCAAAAACTGGTTAGAACGGAGAATCAATTTAATCCGTTCCAGGCACTTGTCTGGATGAATGATGCACTGTTTTTGTTTAAATCTACCAACACTCAATCTATTTGAGGACGGGCCAATCTTCGCAAAAACTGCATTATTCAAACGATAATCCGGAAACTTTCATTCAGAAATTTTTGGGACAATAAATCTTCATGCTAAAAGAATAAATATGCTATAGAGTTGGCTGTAGAGATCCATATTACTCCAACAATATTTCTCAAAACTTTGGGAGATAAAAGCTGCACATTCATAAAATTGCCCGAACTTCGATGAATTGCATTTTCCAAATTCAGGCTCCGCAGACTTCAATTTTAAAAGATCCGAATTGAAAATTAGTAAAGCGTTGTCCTACCATCATAAACACTCAGAGAAATATGAAGTCACGCTAAGTTTACGCCATGAAACCTATATCATAAAGGACTCAATTTTTCGAGTCCAATTTTAACTGTGAAACAGTAAGAATGGATAATACCACTTTAGTACGTCACCTAGCTCAAATTCGTAATTGTACATATAAATTCTAATAACCACTCAAAAACCAGGATCTCAAAAGAATTCCAGAACCCTTACGTAAGTAACAGATTAACCCTCTATTTAAAAACTATCATGCAAGTAAGCCCGACTTGAAGAATCCATAACAATGACGAAATGAACTCTGATCCTGGTCTCGCCTAACTTAATCGAACTTCATACCATTATGCTAAGTTTTCCATCTTATTCAAGAATACATTGGCTTCTTGAAATTTCAGAAAAATCGAGATGGTTGGACACAAGATATAGGAAAAAATTTTGAAAGGGAAGAGAACTGCATCTTGAGTAAATCGAGTCCGATGAAATTTCACAACCTTAGATAAAATGATACCCTTCTCACCTTTCAATGGATAAGAAAGACTTAATCTTTGATCGTTCCGCATTTGAAAACTACCACTTTTTTAAAATTACTTTCTAAAAACCATACTTGCCATCTAGTTGAGTGAAGCACCAAGTGAATGTTTTCTGCTGACGGTGATAATACTTTAGCTTATCATCAAACTTAACCACATGAATGAATGAGCGGAAAAAGAGATCACCGGTTCGTATATCACAAATATCACAACTGCAGTTATTACCATTTTTTTCTTCGAAGGCGCTGTAGGCAAGATGAACATTCGGTTTGCGAGGTAAGTGTACTTCAGTTGCTCGACGAAAAACACTACGGGCACGGCTGGATTCCCCGATACTCTCCAAGTAACGAGCATACTGAAAGTAACGAGCATATTCACTAAAGTTATTCTTAATTCATGCGAATGAAACCGTTAATTTTTTGAAGAAATTTGTATGTGGATAAATTGGTGCTTAAATTAGAACTAATCGGGGGTAGATTTTACCTTAATCCACATTTCTTCATACAAAGCACAGGCGATCAGACATCTTTCGAAGAGAATTATGATACGTGTGATATCACCACACTCAATTTCAAAGTCAAGGTAAGCACGCCAATTACGTAATTGGGCGCGTTCCAGTGGTTTTACATGGAAATATGGTCGTTTTATCTGAAATACAACTAATTAAAACATACAGAGTTGGTGTGAAAATTGCTTGAAAATTTCGTGAGTATAATACAAACATACATTTTCTTCAAATGCCCAACGTCGACTAACTTCCTGTTCATTTGATAAATATTTTTTATTCCGTCGTTCGAGTATTTCTGCACGTAAAACACGTAGTGCTTCTTCACAATGCTGTAAAAAATATTTTAATTTAATGAAAAATACTGAGTGAAGAAAAAGGAAAGTTCTAGTACTCTTCCACAAATCAAAAAAAACCTTGCGCCTCGTGAAAACCTTTTTCGGTGGTTCTTCGCCATTTTCTGGGATGTAATCTGGTGGGGAATCATCGACATAATCTTCTAACAGAAACAGATCGCCATCAACCACATTACGCAAATCTGCTTCAACCTGAAATGAATTTCGCACAAAAACCTCTGACATAGTTAACAAAGTAGGATTTTTTTTAAAATGAATTCTACTACTTACTTTCGCAAAAATTTCACTGTATTCATCCTGACTTACTACTCGATCAGGCTCGTTTGAATTCACAAAGGTCTTATATCTGAAAACAAAACAGATGTTTGAAAAAAGGCAATAGGAAAAGTTGAAAACAGAAATTTATTTCTGTCTAAAAAAGTATAATGAAGTGAAAAGATCCCCTACATAACAATATCAAAAGATCCTCTCAGAAAAAGATTCTGTCATATTACAGAAAGGAAAATGTAGCAGCAAAGATAATAGAAGTCATGTGATCTTCAACATGGAAAGAACATACTTGTCAAAATGATTACTATAAAGCAAAGTTGGTATGCTTAATATCTGATCAAAAAGTGCTCCGACTCGTATAGTTTCACCATTATTCAGCTCCCAGTTAATGTATTCATCCCATAGCTTATCAGAACGAAATTCCATACCGCATGCTTCAATTGCATGATCAAAAACTCTGTAAGCGTGTCGATTCTATCAGTTTTCAAAAATTATGAAGCAGAGTCATTAACACTGTTGTACTGTTATAAACTTACAGTCTGGTCTTCTGCACTGCATTCTCCTGATGTTGAACGATCTCTTTAACGAAAGCAATGTAATGAAGCCACAGATCAACACTCAGTGGTATGGCTGTGACTCCACGTTCATAAACCTTAAAACATCCTTTCATTTTCGAACTAATAATGTTAATCATGCCTGATGTAATAAATAAGCAAAAGGAAATTTACTATTTCCTTTTTCCTCTCTCATTAACTTTACAAAGCTCCAAGTAATAAAGACAAGCAAAACATAATAACTTTTCTTCTCCCTCCCTAATCCTGCCTTATTTATCATAAGCGATAGCAGTATTTTAATTTGCAAAAGAAGTCATTTGTGGAAACTCTAGTTTCAGGATAAGGGATAGCTAAACACTACAAAACAGTAAAGGGATAAGTGTCGTTTGCCAACACTACACTCTACCTCACTGCAACGATCGTAGTGTTTATGACGACGTTCAAATTCAGCATACTTCCTCCAATATCCGTAACAGTATGGATATCTCTTAAAGAAGTCATCGTATGCTTCACGAGCCGCTTTGGTTTCATCCTGAAATAACTCAGTGTGGGTATTTTCAAAAATATGAGAAATATTATAAGCAAATCTTTCTACAGAATGACAAAAGTTGAGTCGCAAATCATAAAAGAATTCAATAAAATAGTCAGGCAAATTTATTAAGAATTTTAGCATGGAGTATTAACAAGAGTAAATTTATGCCTACTTTTTTATGGCCACTTTTTTTCAAGTAAAAATTCTTCAAATCTAATTACAACGGGTCACAATGTAACCTAAATGATCTGGACTTACAAGTTGCTCGATGTATTGCAGAAGATGAGTCCATGCATCAAAATTTCTTGAATCATCTTTCAGCGGTTTCCAACAAAGTTTCAGTAAATCCGTCATTTCGCGATCACTCGAACGACTCCTGCTAAAATGATTTTTCATCAATTTCTAAATGCTTAAAAACAACGACGAATCTAATTTATGCGATCATACTACTTGCTTAAATTCAGGGTATTTCACTGTTTAGAAGCACTTAACAAAAAGCGAACTCCAGAGAAGATAAGGAAGCAAGAACATGTATGGATCAAGGAAGTTCCTCGCTAGCTATTCTTAAACACTGGATTTTAAGTCTAAATGTATGAAAAGAAGACTTAGCCAGATCTTTTCCCTCATTGACAGTACTGAACGGCGATACTTTATTACTTGTCTTTTTTTTGGGCTTAGCAAAGCTTACACCTGCTGGAATTGACAATGTTTTTCGTATATGTCTAAAATCATCAACTTCTATGCCATGTCTTCCCCACCCTCAACTATTCATTCGTGTTTTCTAGATCCTAAACTGTTTATTACTGTGTATTATTATAGGAAAGTTTACCTTTTAAATAGCGAAAAATCGATACCACTGATAAGGTTTTCGACGATATATATAAATTAAAACTAGCTAGTTGTAAACATCTCCCACTAGTAAGTAATTAAGATATTTTGGTTTACTTAAGACAGAAATTTCCTTGAAATATGAAAAGAACCATGCTACCTTCGACGATCATGATGATGGCTTTGGCTCCTTGTACGACCACGTCGTCTGCTGTGACTACGGCCTCGATGACCACTGTTAGGACTCCGACTATGACTGCGGCTACGACTACGACTTTTGCTAGAACTTTCACTCCGACTTCGACCACGACCCATTTCTTTTCAGCACCTTTGTTAGCTTTTACCTAAAAAGTAAGACTCAAGGAAAACAAACCCGCCTGAGACATGGTAATCAAGTTGACATGGAAATGGAAACTCGCGTTAGTCCATGTATTCTTATATTCTTGACAAAGGCTTATTAGCAAATTAATATTTAATACATAAATAATTCGATGTAAAATAATCTGAATAGCTAGTTTTAATACTGACGAAACCGGGCTTCATATAGTAGTTTAAAACACAAAGTTATTTATTTGATGACAATTGAAGGTTTGATGTGAGATACGTGAAACCACAATGGTGGAGTACGTTAAAACAAACCCACTAGAAAAAGGACATGAAAAGCGTGCACACAGGTACAAACGCAATGCCGAATAAAAGGCATCCATGGTTGCATAGCGTCGCTTATGCAAATAGATTTCCCGTGGGAATGAAAATGATGTTGAGTTGTTGTCCTAGTGAAGTGTGTATGTTTGTCTGGGTAGTTGGTGCGTGTTATGAAAGAATGATATGTTATCCGTGATTTAGGTATAATTGCAGGTTAGCCAAACCAGTATTACGGTAAATTTAACATCTCTATTATCCACTGTTACGTTCTTATCACAGTAAAGTTTGATAAATATTACAAGGTGCATTTATATTCGCAATTATTTGCAGTAATATTCCAAAGTAAACTTACGTCAACTTTATAAGGTTCCCAGAATGAATTCTACATGGGCAACTATCCGCCAAGCGAGATACCCAAAATCGTGTGGTCGGCCACGTGATAACAGTTGTCCAGCAAGCGAGATATCTGAAACCGTCTTAGCCGGCAGCGTAACGATAGGTGATGATGTGGTGATGCGCTTTACATTCCCGGGTAATAATGGAACTGGAACAAATCATTATTATATTATATGGGTGTTTCTGTCGGAGCGGCGAATGTCAAGGGTGTGTGTATGGTGAGAGGCAGAGACATTGTCCGTCTATTGTTAATATGTTGAAGGCCTGAACCTATGCTTTATTCCTCGGATTTTTTCCCGGGATCTACTCTCAAAAATGGAAATGCTGGAGAGGTGATTTGACTTATTGACACGATTGAAAGCGCTTTTTCTGAGTTTCCATGCATTTCGGATTGTACATCAAGTTTAATGGAAGTATTAGTATGACGAGAAGTGAAACCATCAGAAGTGTAAACTAAGTTCGATCATAGGAAGGATATCTAATTGAGTTCAGCTTGAAGGAGATGTTAGATGACCACAGTCATTCCCGTTCTTTATGCTGTGTTATACTATGAGAACAGATAGGGAAACTGAATGGCTTCTTTAGTGCCACCTGTGGCAATGTGCTGATTGTTAATATATCTATTTGTCAGTGCTATCATCCGCTCTTCCTGGGATTGTTCGACTGATTGATTCGACCGACACATTCTTAGTACATGTGCAGTATTTGGTCAAATTTCACTACCTGCAACTCCATATGCAGTTCTAAAACCAAGGGATTGTATGACTTTTGATTCCAATAGCCCCCTCCAGGATAGATACATTTGCAGTAATCTAAATCAGACGAGCTTAAGTATTTCGAGTGTTTTCGTGCATTTTAATCGATTGAAATTTCATCGTAGAGGTCACTGTCTGAATAGTAGTGCAAATATCAAAAATTTAAATCTGTGAAAGACACAATATTTGCTGTGCATTAGATCAGATTAAAGTTGCTTCGAAAATCAAATCAATAAACTGATCATTGTAAATGAAGTGGAACGAATGACCATCTTCTCTCCATTCCATTTCATCTTGTTGCATGACGAATGAGGGATCGTTAGGCAGTTGAAAAAAGAAAAAGGGAATAATGTTGGCGAATTGAGGGAAGTGACAGCAACGATTACCGATGGTTAGGGAAACGGAAATCAATAGAAGCTGACATTGTTGTTGTGTGATGTTTTCGTTATAAATCGTATTTTCTCTCAGAAGTTTTTGGACTTACACTTTTCTATCGATCAGTAATTCTTCGACATAAATGACTGTTCTTAAATTCTGAATTGCTAACTTGAGATATTTGAGACGTTTTAAGTTTTTCCCGCCTCATCCTGCACTCTCTGACTGTAAAGTTTATAAGAATAAATTTTGTCTTATGAAGAGAGTGGTATGCAACTTTTGCTTATAAATCGTGAAGAACTATAAAATAGATGAATCTTTAAAGTATCATTAATTACTGCTTTGCTATTTCTTGGTTTGGGATCCATTTTTCATCGCTGTTAGACGGCGGGTTTCAATTTTAAATTATGTATTTGAGATTACGTGAATTGATGGTATTTACCTCGACCAAGTTTTTTATTTCTCTTTGTTTGAATTCACATTTTCAGGTGAGATACTAATTCAGTGGACTCAACGAACTTCATATTGTTTTCATTGCTTCTTAATGGCGGAAAACGAGGCTAAAGCCCGGAAGAAGTTGGAGGATGCAGAGAAAAAAGCAAAGGGTGGAAGTGGATTTTTTAGTGGCTTATTTGGTAACGCTAAAGCAGAAGAAGCTGCTGATCTTTTTGTACAAGTTAGTATTTTACAGTCCCTTGTCATTCAAAGTTTGGACCAATTTATTTGCTTTGTTTAGCAGTCGTCAGTATTTGATTCCGAACTTGTTTTTTTGTCTGCAAAAATTTACTGAATTCTTCCCAAAAAGGATGCACTTCTGGGATTTGCATTCTGTATATATCTTTTCAGTTGTTTTCACTTAGATTCGTGCAGTTCACTTTTGCAATGGTTTTTAATTTACCTGATGTTTAGATTGGATTTTGTAGTTTTTTATGGAAAGTTCTAGGAGAATTCAGAAACCATCTTATCATGCGAAGAAAATGGCTGTGGAATGGGTTTTGATGATATTGCCACTTTTGAAGACCATTATGAGCGGTTTCATAGACATCAGTGTGTCGTATGCGGACGGCAGTTTCCAAATATACATTGCCTAGAAATTCATGCCGACGAGAATCACTGTTCGATTTTTAAGATCAAAAGAGATCGTAATCCTTCAGTAGCTCTCTTTCGATGTTACGAAGCGTCTTGTTCCCATATATACGCAAATCCGGAAGAAAGAAATTGTCATTCTGAAAGGATGCATGGTATCAGAGATCCCTCATTGTTTATGAGAAGGAGAAAGTTGCCACGGAAGGAGTCTGTAGTAGAACAAATGAATAAAGGCAGTACAGCCTGCAGTATGCGTCCTCTAACACCGCGAGGAATAGTCTTTGGCAATGAACAGAAGGACCCAACTTTTGAAGCTAGAAAAAAAAGTTCTTACAGACAGAGCAGTAAACATTGAAAATATATGAAGGAAGTTACTGGTGACTATGCATGGTATTTGTAATGTACTGTCATATTTTCATACATAGTGTCTGTAAAAATTTTGATTAGAATTAATAAGTTTGTCTGTTTGAACATCTGAAATAAGCAATATCAGTCGTGAATTACTTGGAATAATTGTGGAAATTCTTCACCAGAATTAACTGCCTGTATCAGCTTATATTCTTATCGTGGTAGTGTTATTGAGTTTGCTGATCTTATAGTTAGTTGTCCAGACAATGTACAAAATAAAAGGTTGTATGTTAGAGTTTCCTCCGCAGAATGCAAAGAAGGAAAGAGCAAACCGCATAAAGAAGGAGTTTCTCCATTATTTAGAGAAATTGTTTTATTGAATATACTATTTATTATTTCTCTAGTTGCAAGTGCGGTCCGTGCTCTGCGTCCTTATTCATCTAATAAAGTTGATTTAGTTAATGGATGACGATAAAATTGAAGCAAAAAAGCTAGTTCGGAACAAATATGCTTGGTCTACGCTTTTGAAGATTATTGCTGTAAGAGGATGGTCAGTCATCCCGTAATTTCGAGACTTCTTCGATTTTTTTTTTCTGGTAGAATATGCACCACTTATGTTGCAATTTAATAATTAAGGCAGGGAATTTATTCAAAATATCAAAGTTATGGAGAGAAGCGGGTGATGCATTTGTGAGGTCCGCAGAAATACATGCAGCAGCAACCGATCGAAAGCATGATGCAGCTTCAAACTATGCAGAAGCAGCCAATTGTTATCGTAAAGTTAATCCACAGGTAAACCTCCTGAATTATCTTTCTGTCTTTTTGTTTAATGATTTTATTTAATAATCTGCGGCGTTAATCCAAGTTCAGTTTTTCTCCAATAAATGTAAGGCAACTTTATTTCTTGTGAATCCGATATAATAATAATCTTTGTTTATCAAAGATTTTGGTTGAGTTCCTATTTTTTATATTTCTTAGTAGCTGTTGTTTTTTGTTTGTACTAAAGTATTTGTCAACTTTGAGGTGTGAGTCATTTTGGATTATTAATTTGAACTGAAGCGATATTTTTTCACTTAATGTAGCATTTTGAGTAACAGTGATTGTCTTTAAGCATATTGAAATACACGTATATTGTTCAAATATTCACTGTCACAGTGGGATCAGTTTTGTAATCGTTAATGTTGCATTCTGTCCTTTTTTGACAGCGATAAAGCCTTAGAGAGAGGGGGCGTAATATGTATTTTGTGGTAATGCTGAAATGGTGTAGAACTGTTCCATATATTCGAAATCACTATCAGTGTTGTCATCAATTTTTTGATAGTTTAAAACTGATATAGATATATTCCTTTCGAAGTCATTGTTATGAATGCATTATCTTAAAGCGTAATGAGACATTCAGACTAAGAATAAGTTTTGTACAAATTTACAGGATAGTACATTAAAGCTGGATACAAAGTTTAATAAAGCAGTGGGTCATATACTTGCAGCAAGCAATTGATTGCTTGATGAAGACTGCGGAAACTTATACGGATATGGGTCGTTTCAATATGGCTGCTAAATATCATTGCACGATGGCTGAAATTTTCGAAAGTGAGGCTCCAGACATGGCTCAAGCAATGACTCATTATCAGGTGTGATTTTCTGTACTTGCTCAGTTTTTTTCCAGTCAAGGCAAACGAGAACGCCTAAACTTTATTTCGGATCACAGTGTTTAGGATGTAAGTATTTCTGTTTTTCAGGAGGCAGCTGATTTTTATAAAGGTGAAGAAAGTCGAAGTTCGGCCACTAAGTGCATGATTAAAGTTGCACAGGTGATTTCTATTACTTTTCTAAGTTTACCATTGCCGCTTCAAAAAGTGTTTCAATCGAGTAATTAGTTCCTAAAACAGCAATCAAGCATTTGATTTTTAACTTGACTTGTTTTGATGCCACTGATATTTCGTATAATTATCGTTTTCACAAGTAATTTTCGTATATTTCCAGTATGCCGCACAACTGGAGGATTATAAAAGAGCAATCAAAATTTTCGAAGAGGTGGCTACTTGGGAGGCCGATCATCCGACCTTAAAATATGCTGCGAAAAATCATTTTTTCCAAGCCCTTCTTTGTCATCTTTGTTCTGATTTGGTTAGTTTCTTTTTCATTTTTAGAGGAAACGCGACATTGTTAACTTTCACAACTAAATGTGATATTGGTGACTTTTATAACTTACTTTGTGTAAAAACATGAACTGTAAGCATGTTGCATTTGCTTGAAACTTAATAATCCATAACTAGATAGTGATCAAAAGATCTGGAAAAGATATGCTAAAATATATTTCAGTAACATAGAAAACATTTTATGCTGTTACCTGTGATTAATTATAGCAAAAATTTCTAACAGTGTGGTGGTGCTATAACCAGTATCGATATAACGGAGCGATTTGTTTCATTACTATTAAATAGTAATATTGTGCTGTAATTAGTCTTAATGTTACTAGTGTTTTGTGTCTGTCCATTTAATCGTTAAATCTTTTTTAGCTAGATACTCAGAATGCGCTAAAGCGTTACGAAGAAATCTCCCCGTCATTTGTGGACTCGAGAGAATATAAACTTATCAAGTTTGTTCCTGTCATTCTCGTTATGTTCATGTTTTTAATGAAGCTTAGTCGTTTTGTTGTATTTCAATATTTTAAACTTTATTTCCCAAGTAGCTTTTGTCTCCTGCTGTTTTCAGCGAATTAATTTCGTGTTTGGAAGACAAAAATCAAGTAAAATTCACAGAAGTAGTAAAATCGTTTGACAAAATATCACGTTTGGATCAGTGGCACACATCACTTTTGGTCAAAATCAAGCGATCATGTGGTGATGAGGATGATGATGATCTTAAGTGATCTTGTTTTATTTATTGTTCATAAAATATTAATCACTTAGTCTGTTGTGATTCCAGAATACTGATAACATGATTTAAGAAAAAGAATTGTAACTTCTTTCAGCACTCAGCATCTTTGAAATTTTCTGCAACAATTTCAAAAATTTGTAACTGAAGGAGAGAGGCTGTTGTAGGCTGTGTTCATCTGACTGTAGTTTATACCTGTGTTGAAAAATAATGAAATACTAATTTGCGAATTCAACTTCCATTTGCTACTAGTCATGAGAATGGAAACTATAATACTTTGTAGTACCGTTAGGAATAACTTTCTTATGCTTCTCAAATCTTTAAATCTTTTTTAAAGAACTCGAAGTTTAATGGTGATGAAAAGCCACAAACCCGAGAATGATACTGTGTATGATAATGTCTCGTTTTTTATCCTAATGCTTTCCTGACTATAGTTGAATGACGCTTCATAATATTCATGTAAATACGGTTTCGCTTCAATTTTATTTTGAAATATTGAAAATTAATTTCATTTTGGAGCTGAAGAAAATTGATCTTTTCCATACCCGTGTTTTGAAGATAGCAAGTTCAGTTCACTCGCGGAATTTTGAAATTATTTCTTGAATTTTCATTTAGACGTTTTCCTTGAATAATACATCAATCAGAAGTGATATGATATACTCAGGAAAATGTCTGCTTGCGTCGAATAGTCTGTAAGACTGCTGATGTCTTTTTATCATCTTATCTCGTTAGGATGGAAACAAAGATATTTTGAAATAATTCGGAATAATACAGGGGAACTGTCGAACTGACAGTTTCATTTCGAGATTTTTAGTCGATTTACTTATGTGTGGAAGAAATATTAGTGGGCATACATCGGCAAAGAGTGGTGGGACTTGACAATTTAATAGAATAAAATCATTTTTTAAAGCATAAAGCATAATTGATAGTTTGTGGAAGACTATAAGGCCTGCAAAAGTTAAACGTTTAAAGTTACCATACAGTTAGAAATAGGGAAATGGACACTGCTATATTTTGCCTTATCTTTGGTTGCAGCTCCTAAGGAGTAAATTTTAAGGAAATTTCATCCGTAAAACGATTGTTCTTAGCTTGAAAAGCGGCAAATTTCTTCGCTGCTTTTTCATATTTTTGTGTACAAGAAAATAATACTCGATCGTGATAGAAGACGACGCGATTCCTATAGAATTCTTGCAGTTCTGTGACATCCCTAATATTCTCCAAGCGAAGCGCATGCATCAGTGCTGACTGAAATTTTCGAAATTACTTAACCTTGCTTTCGATTTTCTCCATTAGCTACACAGTGCGTTAAGTACCTTAGGTACTCAAACATTCTACGCAAGCTGAATTGACATTACTGTCCTCCGTTGCTGCAGCAGGTTGTCCAAACTAACAATTGCATGGATGGGTTAAATAGGAATTACATCAGTTTATAAATTTTTTTTCAAGGGAAATATATACATGCTTTGCATGTAATCACGTTTTGGATTAAATTTTAATTTTTTTATTTCCTCCTTGGCCTTAAATTCTTGCACTTTATTCCGCAATGTCAAGGGAATGAAGCATGCGTAGAAATCAGAAGTATTTCTTTATTTCGATTTTTCAGGTAACAAATATAAAGCGACATACAGGGAATGCCGTTTCTCTGCCCTCTACTCGTCGCTGGTGTGAAAGATTCAAGTTAAAACACATTCGTTTTATTCTCGCAGCAACAATGCGTGATATGAGAAATGCCACAGATGATTCCATTTCTAAACGAAATCTTTCAGTAGTCTTCTTCAATGAGTAGCAAGCTAAAATATTAGGTGTTAAAAAATAAAGTGATGTTTGAGAAATTGCATTCAAATAGAAGTTTCATCATGAATTTGAATTATCAAAGAGTACTTTGAAGCATTAACCTACTAATAAAACCTAAATGAGCTGCTAAAACAGCCACCGCTTTTCTGAGTAACAGCTGCATATTCTCTTCCGAAAACTCATTCGCCATGTCTTGCCTGCAATTTCCGCAACTTTTAAAAACACTCAACTGAGAAAAAAGTGTTTTAACGTTCAATTCCTCTTCCGAAAAATTCCCAGTGATGGATTCCAGAATATCTTTTTCTTCCACATTTTTCAAAATATAGAAGTGTTCCAAAGCACTTACGAATTAGACAAATTTAATTTGGCGGGACTGAACACAGGTAATGATGGAGGCGGTCCCATTCTTACCCGATAGCAATTAATTTTGTGATTAAACCGCAGCAGTGAAATGGTGTGCATTACCAACGGATCGAAATGAATCCTACAGTATAAACTTTTGTTGGAAAATGTCTCATTTCAATTTGTATGAATACCATTCAGAAGAAATCGTTACTTAATTGAAATCAAAAATCTGTTTTTCACTTCCTAAATATGACAAAATTTGATAGGTGTTTATCCAAATAATGCTAGTGTGTGGTACTTTATAACAGAAACAAAACCTACTCAACAACGTTGGATTTATTCGTTATTTTAGTTGAGCTGAACGGTGTGTTCTGTTCACTGAAACCACCTGAAAGTTGAATACTGAAAGCGATATAGTGAAACACTGAAACTACCTGAGAATGAAAGTTATCTAGCTGAATGGTTAAACGACAATAACTGAAAACACTGCGAATTCTGAAAAAATTAGGCCGCAATTTCGTAATAACGATGTTTGAAAACACTTTAACCGACTTCAAAATCTTGAACCTCAAAAATGTGATTCCCATCCGTCAACGAGATATCGATATAAAGAAATATAGAGAACTAACCAACAGATTCTGAAGAAGGTACCGCAGTTGCGAGCTCACGGAACATTACTTCACGTTTCAACCAATAACAGAAAATGTTCCAGAGATCTTAAAATATAAAGTGAAAAAAATGTCACCCCGAATCGAGAAAGTCGAAGTCTTCAAAAGCGGTAAAAGTTGGAAAGACCTCCACCGCGCAACAGTATCATTGTCCTGACCTCGAGACGTAATGTAATTACGATACTACTTCAGTGAAGCAATTCCCCCTGAAACTGATGGTGACCTAGAGAGATCTATAACCTGGATCGACACAAACCTCCTTAAATGAGTCGAAAGAAAACCGCTAATAGTTTGGTGATTCCAGCAACTATACTTCTTTTTTTTTCAACTGCGCTATCATATTCCAAGTAGGAAACTTTCGTGATGTTACAAAGTAAACAAGGTATTCATCCTTTACGGCAAAATACACTTAACACATGAGCGATTTATCTAAATTATCGCAAACTTCAATTAAAATTTTTACTTTTTTTGCAATGAACCAATGCAATGCAATAGTAAAGAGAATGTTTAAGCAATTCCGATGAATATAATTGTATCAAATTAACAAAATGACAAAGTAACAACCTAAATCAAGTAGAATATGATGTGGGCAAAGTTCGAACTACAATATCCCTTATTTTTATCTCACAGGATCTGCACTACTGCTTAGTAGTGATGTATAATAAGACCAGTAAGTATAAAATAGCGTATTTCCGCTATTAAAATTGGTAACTAGCAGAATAAAAGTAACACAAAAGTGCTTAATCCGAAACTTCGATTTTATTAGGGAATCTTAAAAATCATAAAAGAAACTAGATTTAAATTAAATCAACATGTGGACTTGAAGATCTAATAACAATAATATGTAACAGAATAAAGGAAATTAGACGACCAGAGAAGTATCAAATAAATGAAACTAACAAACAGAAGCAAAAAAACAAGAAAAAAGGCTAATAAAGAATATACACCTTAGACTCTTCCATATGGACAATTAGATATCAACAAAGAAATATCAAATGAGATCGTCTTCAAAAAGGTCCGGTAATGTCTCACCCTGACTTAAACTAAAAATATAATCACGTTCGGATGGTGGTGGACTTAGCTTCCTCATTACTTCTCGGATTTCTGAAAATAAAGCCGAGTTTAACAAGATTTCCTACAAAAAAAATATATCCAAAAACAAATTACCCTGACTAAACGTAGGACTGGCTTGTGTTTGTGATTGTAGAGAACCGCACCCTTGCTGAGATGATTTTTGACGTTCGCTTTCTGAAAGCATTACATTATGAACCAGAAAAAAATCATGCTTGATCAATCTTCATAACCACTCCTTTATAGATATTTTATATTATATTATTTAGTACTACATCATTTCCATTCTATTATTATAATACATCAAATATTCTATAGTGTAATCCAGAAAAAAACGTTGCTTACGAGAGGGAATAAAAGGCAATATGGGATCAGGCTGATCACTAAATTCTTCATCCAACCGTCTCTTCTTCAGTAGACTTTCATCTTCGTCCTCCTCTAAAAACTGTCCAGGTACATCACTCTCCACAACGTATGGCATAGGCTGAAATCGATGCTTTAGTAATGTTTCGAAAACTGAATTCCACCCTCCCAAAAAAAAATCATGGTAGTTATTTACTCCTCGCAAACTGTATCATTTTGAATACCTGGGTTTTGTTAGTAAATAAGTCGCCTTGACTTTGAATACTGTTCATTTCTCCCAACAATATTGCATTCGCGGGGCCAAATGTGCTTTTCAGTCGTAAATTGTACTGCATATCAAAGTCACGCACCTGTATATCTCAGTTTCAAAAGAAAAACGAAGTTTGTTACATGGAAAAGTAGAACAGTGGAGAGATACAAAAATTTAATGTGATAAACTGTGTGAATAAAGCAAACCCTTGGCGGTGCACCAATTTCAACGAAAGTCCCAGGAGGAGCCTGTATTGCAAAAACCCGACTATCTTCAAAAACGGACAGTATGTCTTCTTCCGTCAAATATGCCAACTTCATATTTTTTTGATATTCACTAACATTTCGCAAGCTCTAGAAATTAAACTGTACAATTATTTTACGAGATAAAAAACAACAGATAGCAGTAAAAATAAAAGCACAAATACCAAAGTGATCAAAGTTTAGACCTGTTTCATCCATTTAATATGAGTATCGAGAATGCGTTCTTCCTTTTCTAGCTCCTCTAACTCAGCCTTCCGCTTCAAAATACGCTTCTGTTCTTCCGGATCAGTATCCGGAAATGAACCATGCTTCCTCAGTTTTCCACCTCTTTAAAGGAAACTTACAATGCACTAATTAAAAAAGTCATGAAAAAAATGGCTATCAATAAGGCTACCATTTGAAACTTACTTCCAATTAATGATGTTTTTCGACTTCTTTTCAATTAATCCGATACCTTCCAGCACGTTGGTTATATCGTATATTCGTCGTTTCTGTCGCACTTGTAGTTCTTCAGCAGCCTTTATAATAAACAACTTTTAAACCACTCATGTTCTTATCACAGAAACTCAAATCATAAACCATAACTTGAATAGGCTCTTTGAAGTAGCCGTCCTCTTGCTGACTATTTTAGTTGTCAGTAATCAAGAAAAAGAAAGAACTCCCAGCAAAAAAGGAAGAACTTTCGGATGCCTGAGAATGCAATGAAACTGTAACGAACTCGTATATGGTACTTTGAGGTTGCGAATAATGAAAGTGATGAACCAAAAATCATATAAGAAAAACGACTTTCTTGCCATCTCAATTCACCCCGGTAATTATGAACAGAAATCAAGAATTCTCACAATATTCAAATCAACAATGCCACCTCGTGCTCGCTGCAACAAGTCAACAAATCGTTGAGTTAATATGCCAAGTGATTTCTCGGCACGACATACGGAAGATGGCTGCTTCGTATCATCATCATCCACTGATTCTTCGTCATATCCACTTGCAACAATTTCGGAATCTTTGTCCTCCGTACTTTTCTGACTCGATCCATCAGCTTCCAGGGACTGATGCCTCCATTGTTTCATACTAGTCATCCTTTCAAAATAATGCAATTAATAGAATGTCAAACTCGTAACATAGTTGCAGCGGTTATTTTTGAAATAAATTCAATCAAGGTAAATTTCCTTTATACTACTGAAATAAAACAGAAGCAATCACTAACTCACGGGACTCTATGTGTCGAAATCAATGCAAATTAGTTCAAACTGATATCAAATGAAGACGAAATAAACCTTTTACTGACAGTCGGTATTACAAACTTCTGAAGACAATGGGATCGGGATGTCAAAATCCCTAAGTATGCGATTATTGCTTTTCACAGAATGGTAAAGCACACTGACAGATTCGAGCAAACACGAATGACCCGCACCATTTGCACATTAAGGTGAATGTAGGAGGAAATACTTAAAAATGAATTGAAGGATGGTTCAACCACTTAAAAAAGATCAGTGGCTGCCGTTACAAACGGTTTACAGAAGCTAAAAACTGTAAGTTTCAAATTTTTAATAAATCACTGACAAAATCAATGTACAATGGTTAATGGGCAAAACGTTCTTCATTAAGCTAAGTGCTATATCTGCACTGTCAATTCGTCTTGTATGAATTCAAGAAAGCCTTCGGTCTTTACCTCCTTTGAAAAAAAATTTTTCACATTGATAATTCATATGCAAATCAGTCATACTGCATTAGAAAAACACCAACAAAGAATTAAGAAAGTCACATTAGGAGATAAAAGTGAAGCATAACAACATTTACATATGCAAAGAAATGATAAATCCTAATTCTCTTCATCATCATCCTCGATAATCACTTTTCTCTTTTTCTGTTTTCTCCTTTCCTGCAATGACGAGCTTTAAATCCATACACGGGAAGTCACAAAAGTAGAGTTTATTCCAAAAAACATTCCTTTATTAAATGACGTTCCAAAACTCAAACGCAAGGAAAAACATGAAGATAACAGCGTAATATTAAACAAAGAACCTTGTCACTGTCACTGTCTTCGCTATCTTTTTTAGCATCATGCAATCGCTTGGAATCTGAATCCTCAGAATCTGAATGGCCGATCAATGGCCTATCATCCAGACCATGTTTGTAGCGATTCTTGATCGCAGATATTGACTCTTCGTCTATAAAAGAAAACGTTTTGTCCTATAAATCAAAGTGGAGTGGGAAAAAACAGTGCAAAATCTTTAACTATACCAGAATCTTCGTCTCTGTCCTCCAAAAAGTTGGCAGTCAACCCAGATCGACCTAGGGATGGACGCATACGACTACGCCTTTGTTGTGCTTCACGACGGCTTTGAGCACGCATACGCTCTTCTTCTTTTCGAACTATTTCCTGAAAAAGAAATAACTTCTTACTATATTCTATCCCTTCCCGTGATCAAAATTACATTTGACAACCGTGAATTGAAGAATAAAAGACCTGAACTATATAATTAGTTCAAACTTTTGGACGGTCAAATCATACCGCCTTTTTCGATTCTGGATTCGAACCAACTGCAGTCAAAACTTTCACTTTTTGCGACTTGTTAGATCGATCTGCCATTGACAAGGTAACCTTCCGATGTGTGATAGAATCAGTTGAATGCGGCCGAAATATTAATTTTTCCCTGTAAAAAAAGAAATGTTCCTTATTCATGTGTAATAAAAAAAAGACTTTCTCAAGCCGTTTTCTTTACATATAATAAAAGAAAAATCTCTTGGACCATACCTAATGCCTGACGAATTCAAAAATGAAAAAATAAATAGAATTGAAGTTAAAAAATTAAGAACTGAGACTTGCTTGAAAACAGCGTGTCCTTGTAAACCCGCGCCTTGTCGTAAGAACAAATGATTATCAAGTTGCATCGGTTGTACAGTTATATCGAAAATTTCTCCGCCAAGATAGAGGGACATCCTGAAACCTTTTTCACCAGGTAACTCCCGAAATTCCACTACATAAAGAACCCAAGAGGTTTACAAACTCAACAACTGTATGTTAGAAACACACGTTCCATCCGACCAGCGAACAACCTTTGAATTCCCTTGTTTCTGTATATTACCAGCATCATCTAACACATAACGCCAACGAATTGTATTTTCCACCTACAAATAAAGTATCACAGATAAAAATTAGCAGTGATTAAATACTGATTGATAATACCACTTATTGTAAAAATAAAGCAAATGCTGCTCTATATTATTAGCAGCTGCATTTAATGGTCATATTGTTGCACTGGCGTACAATCGAAAAATAACTGATTCGGCAACGATATATTATTCAGCGCGCAGATATTACGTGGGAAATGCAGTTGCGTAATCAAAAGACGTATTTACATAGAATGTCAAAGTAATTCTCGTATTCCTCATGTATTCATTGCAACAAATTTAATTTCTTGAGTAGCCGAGATTTAATTAACATGTAGGCTTAACATTAAAGTAGTTCTTAACATTAAGCGGTTTACCCATGGTTGGGTTTTGAAAAATAGTCATAGAAACAAAATGATGCGTATTTCAAGCATTTATTAATCTCTAAAACACTATGGTCATAACAAAGACCATGAGTACATACCCGCAACTTCAGTCTAGCACGTCCTTCTTCATCCAACAGATCGTCCTCATCAAATTCATCTTCATAATGATCTTGATCGAATGGACGCGGTTCAATACTCAAAAAGTTTGGGAATTTCACAAAATAAAGTCCTTCATCAGTAAATTTTGGACATATTCTTGCAGTGTTAACTTCAACGATTGTCGGTTCAAGACGTTCAGTATCTGCAACACCTGTTTCTGGATCAGGGTACAGACGCGGTCCAACTATGTCATCCTCTGTTAATTCCTAAAACAGAATCTTTGTTTTGACTCAAAACCCAACTGTTAAAGTGAGAACCTTCTTACCAAACATATTTTACTTAGAACCGTACAGTGTTGATGTTTATATTTTAGATTATTTGATATCTAATAAGAACTTTTATATTTTTCAAAATCTTCCAAAGTCATACTTATCTTCAACTGGTAGCATGCACCTCAAACTTGATATTATTTCACCTAATTTCCAAAAGAAATGAAAAGTAACAAATAAAGTGGTCCTGCATTTTGTTTGGTAACACCATATCACATAATTTGCAACTAACTACGGAATTTTAAACCAGCAATGGAATTTTGTGCCAATTAATAAAAGGTGAAAGTAGCGTGATTATACCACTATTTGATGAAGTTTTCCAGGTCTGAAAAATAAATTTAAAGTGGCTATAAATTCTATAATCAGTGAAGCATTACCTTCGCCTCAGCAATTAATGAAGACCTTCAGAAACTAAAAAAAATATAACCTTCCGTTCTTTGTCACTTCCTTTGTCACTGCCGCTTTCTGATAAAGCAATATCTCTAAGCCCTTGTTTCTCTTTCTCTATTTCATCCGTTTCTGAAGAGCTCTTCAACATATCATCACCATCTTTTTCGCTATCATCGGATTCTTTCGCTTCATCTAGTTCCCGTTCCGAAACTGCATCTGAATCATCAGAAACTGCAGGAAGTGGTTGTTGTTCCGACAAGGCATCTGAATCTTCCTCAGCTTCTAGACGGTGCTCTGAAGGAGCACCTGAATCATCATCACTTCCTATAGAAACTGTATTCCGTCGTCCCGGCGATGGAGAACTGCTCTTCTCAACACTAAAGCTTTTCCCTAAAAATAGAAATCCACAATTACCAATCGCGGTAATAACAGCAAGGATGCCAACAGTAAATTTCAGCGTAAAAGTAGAAATTGAAACTTCACCCCTTTCCTGCATTTGTTTGTCATCATCATCCGATGACGTGATTATATGTTGCTCCTGTTGTTCCGCTATAGAATCATCTTCTGATGCGCTTTCCTGGACATTTCCTCTCGATTCGTCATCGCTTGAACTATCTGCTGAGGACATCAGTAAAGCTGAACATTCGCATACACTGAAAGCAAACATTCCTTACAGAGCATAACTTCATTCCATCTCATGCATCCATAACTGACATCCCATCTTCCTCTGCTACCCAAAAAGCTGTTCAAGTTACCAAAGTCATACGCATCCACTTCACAATACCACCAGCAGCGCACTTATCTTAATACTGCCATCACAACGAGACAATGCACAACCATGCACCCTATCATGCAAGCGCTAACGAGACTAATTGAACAAAGCCACCTCAGGAGGACGCCCAACAAACGCGGCCCGTGAAATCCGGAGCGGTCCAGTGAGCATCTAATATTGATTTGCGTCGGGGTGAGGATCGGAGGGAGCAAGTATTGTGGGAAGAGGTTGACGGGGAGTGATGTTTCGCTCTGCCCTTCCATATATCACGTTGCTACGACTAACTAATCAGCACTTGTTACGAAGACTGAGCACTTGCGAAGAGATTGACCTGAGGTAACATTTCATTCTTCGGTAACCTGTGGAAAAACTCTCATCAGTATTTCGTCACTGTACCTCTCATTTCATCTTGTAGTTTCATTTCAAAATTAGAAATACATAGAAATCCGTTTGCAAAACTTTAACGTTTGAGTATTTGAGTGCACGGATACTCCCATAAAAAAAAGGAAGCATTGAAATAAATACAGCGATTATCACGAGAATGTTGTTAACAAAGAAATAGTATTAGTTACGAGTAATTATTTGTTAATGATAATAATGTGCATTAAGGTGAGAGGGTTAGTTGAGTGGTTGACTTCAGGATATTTGTTGATGGATTTAACCAAAGTTTTCAGCAAACCGTGTACGGTAATTTATAAAAGCGGCACAGTTGCTTGCTGGCATCCGGAGAGGTCGTTTCCCTACGAACATTCCAAACCCATTGATTTAAAAGAAATAGAAACGGAGAAACAGGTTATTCTTATTTGATTTTGAAAGTACTCTGACTGATGAATGAAATCTGGTCAGATATAAATATGCAATGCGCAACAAATAAAGAGGTTTTTTATTTCTGCTTGTCCAGCATTTGTTAGCAGAGATAGGCAGATATCATTAAGCATTACCTAAAACACTTGATTGACGATGCCACGAGTGACGATATTGAACGAAGGGTAATGATGTCGAATTTTGGAAGCGTCACATTACTCGAAAAGGGGGATCGTTCGAATGAGCAAAGCGTTGGTTTTCACTGCATCAAAGCGTCGTTATAGCCACGGATAACCTAGTGATGACTGAGGTAGAGGGACTAAAGTAGTATCATTCTGTTCATAAGGTCCACCAATTTGATGCTAATGTTACCATTAAGCAATTAACTAAGCAAGAGTGTGTAAGTCATTGATTTCATCGAAAACGTTGTACCACTTAATCATTTTCTCCTCATGTTACAGAGTTCAGGTGCGCTAAATAAAGAGACCGAGTGCATTACTGATTTAGGGGGTTCAGTTGCACGTATAGGTCCTCGTAATTATATACTCCGTGAAATATTCTATACTGGCAAGCACGAGTGGTATACAAGGTATGACCCTCCAGTCTTTGAAAACTATTCAAGCATAAACAATGATAAACAATAAGTATTTATTAGAGTGTAACATGTGAAGCTTGGACTGCAACGGCTTCCAATCCTTTGATTCGTAACTGGAGATTGTTTGCGTCATACGCTCCTTATATCTCATCATAGTATGAAAGGACTCCAGATACGACGGTGCTTCGATCAGCAACTTTGGAGATTTCGATTAAGTGAAAAGATATTATGCAGCTTTTGGGCTACATAATATCCTTTAGTTCGAAATAGTTTAGCCAACAAATGGAAACTATTAGATCATGTTCCCGTGAAATATGCTCAAGCAGATCCTTTCTATGTTTATTTTTTGTATTTATTCCAAAATGCTTATGTAATACTTTTCCAGGTACCGTGAGGAAAGATTGCGCTCTGTGGCGGCACCTGACCCGAAGAGACGGGAGTGATTGTTTTTGAAAATTGTCTGAAATACCATCAACTCATAGCGTTGCCCTTAATCGTTTCTTAATTACCTCTTATCAAGTTAGACCTGTATTTGACATTCTTTCTTTTCTACTTGAGACATCTCGCATTCTGAATCTGACATGCGGCTTGATGCATTGTCATTGCGAAGTGCAGCTGATGCGATGTGGTTAGGTCGAGTTACCTATGCTGATGGATTAAGGCAGCAACACTATTATGTTGAAAAACTGCTTGCTTCACGAAAACTGGAATCTGATTCGATGAAGAAGTGAGTTTAGGTTTGACATTCTACATTAGGTCTTTGTAGTTAAGGAAAATTTTTTTTTTCTTTCAGAAGAGGATTTCAGGAACTATTTATTGTTGTTGGAGCACACACCTGTTTACACTGTTGGCATAAGGCACTTCCAATATGATGAAAATGAAGAAAACCGGTTGAAGAAACTGGGTGCTGACTTTTACCGGTATTCAATTTTCTGTATGTTGTGTGAGATAAAGTGAACGTGGGGTGTAAATATACTCTATTTAAGGAAATTTTTAATTCAAATTTTCGAGTATTTCTTTGATAAGAGATATGGTATTATATGTATATATATATATGTATGGTATATGGTATTATATGTATATATATGGTATTATATATATATATATATATATATATATATATCGATTGCCGCACGTATTATTATGCAACAGTTGGCATGTCTGATACGTTTGAATAAACATTTGTGAGTGGCAGTCTAAAACTTCAGCCATTTTTTGGAAGATGGAATCGTCTATTCTTTTTAGTCTTCGTTTATCCTTCATTTATTTAGTTTAATTAAGTTTTAATTTTCTCAATACGTACTTTTTTTTTCTCCAATTTGGATATTTGGATTTCCAGGACAGAACGAGGTGGACTCATCACATTTCATGGTCCTGGCCAGCTTGTCGTCTATCCTATTGTTGATCTTCATTCATTGCATGTGAAAGGTCCTGACCAGAACTCCACTGTTGTTGGTGTTCGCCGCTATGTATATCTTGTTGAAGAGGCAATCATCAAAACTGTTCGTGCTTTCGGCTTGCCCGGTGCCGACAGATCATCCAATACAGGTTAGTTTTCGAGAACTTATGCAAAATTTTCGATTGGCAACGCGTGTATCACATCTTTATTTAAGCGATTGATAATTTCGATGCAGAGCGGGACATAATAAGAAGATCCAAGCAAACGGAAAAAAAATTGTCATATTGATGATACTCGCTACTACTGTTTTAGCATTCGTACAAATCATAGTATTCTCAGGAGTTTGGTTAGCAAATGGTATGAAGAAAGTAGCAGCAGTTGGTATAAATGTTCGCGATGGCATCGTTAGTCATGGCTTAGCTCTTAACTGTAATACGGATTTGGATTGGTTCCATCAGGTGAAATTTAATCTTGTAGCGACTAATTTTAGTTTCCTGCTGTTGTGAGCCTTACGTAGAAAATATGTTATATTTCTTGAAATATAAAGTATATATGTATGAAAAAAATATATATGTAGAAAAAGATATATATTCCGGAAAGCTAATCTGTTGGACTCGTTTCTTAGCGGTATAGATTTATTCGGTAATATTGTGATGTAATATTGTTCTTGCGTAATATTACTAGTTAACAACAAAAAAAGAATATGAATATATATATATATATATATATATATAAGACGATAAATTGCTAAGCAGTGATGAGTTATACAAAAGCAAGCAATATGACCAACTAACAAATTCCTTTTTGTTGCTTTCGATAATAATTTTACTGTCGATTCGTTGATAGGTCGTTGAGTTGAGGATATGTTACGAGAAATGTATTTAGCAAATAGTAAGAATGTCGTAGTTTGTTGTCCAGTGGTGGTGGATCTGGGAAGATGTCATTGTAGTTCATTCGTGGAGAATAAGTGTAGAGGATGTGTCGTCTGCTCAATTGTAAAAACACTAACTCCTTTTGGATTTTTCCATATATACATATAAGGATTGGGGAGGAGTTTGTAAACTCTATCGGGGTTATCATGGAGGTATGGCCAGCCTTTAGCATTTCCATTGTGTAGGCACAATGATATCTTTGTGTTAGCTTATGTCCTCTTCATCGCTTTAATTTTACAAGATTTCGTCACCCTGTCTGTTGAATATTGTGGCAGTTTATTTGAACATAGCTTTAATTTCGGTAATCCGACAATATATATATGTATATATATATGCTGACCATATTTATTACCTTCTTATGTTTCACATATTGAAATCCAGATGGTTGCAGTAATTCTGGTTATGCTGACCATATTTATTACCTTCTTATGTTTCACATATTGAAATCCAGATGGTTGCAGTAATTCTGGTTTGAGTTCAGTTGGCCAAATTTTAGTGGGGATTGGGAACAAAACAGAGTATCATCTAGAATCTTTTCTAACCTCTGACATATATTATTGCCTTATAAATCCTTATATTTTACATTTCATCCATACATATTCCTAATCACAGTATTAGTTTCAGATTGTACCTTGCGGTTTAGTTGGAAAAAAAGTCACTTCTCTGACGCAAGAGCTGGGAAGAAATGTTTCAGTAAACGAAGTTTTCCCGATTTTTTGCAAGAAGTTTGCCGAAGTGTTCCATTTTGATGTCAAAATTTGCAGTCCGGAGAAATTTTATGAAAAAGATTAAGTAGAGCATGATATCGATCAAGTCTTAACTATCGGAGTTTTTGAATCGTTGTAAATCACAGAATTTTTTCCTCCATTCTAAAGCTTTTTTTTTCTCGAAGTTGCTTTAGTGTAGCAGAATGGTGAATGGTGAAATGTATATCTAAATTTAGGTGCGTGTTTAATGAATGTATATTTAAATTAGTAAGGCGTAAGAATTAAACAAAGTGCTGGCTTTTAAAAAATAGCGCTCAAAATTTGCCGACAAAACTTAGTTTCATAACGAAAGGAGTCCTGCTGTTGTATTTTAGTTATTGAAATAAATGAATATTATTCTGACTGAATTATTTACCTATTATTTTGTTACACAGTAACCAACAGCTATTTCTATGAACATATCAAAACATTTGCTTGCTTTCTGTTATGAAGTGAGCTCTAGTGTAATAGTAATTTCGAAACTATATTCTTCCTTGTGAAATGAATACGTCTGGGCATTTCCAAAGATTTCCTGTATACTGCTGTAGAGTGTGATGGTGGACTTCTACATCGCAGAGGACTGCTGCAATTTTGTGGTTGCTGTTCAACGAAGCGGAATGTAGTTTGAGTAATCCATGCATGTACCAACGGCTTGAAGATGGTTTGCTAAGATATTTGCGTATTTCGCTAGCAAACGGTGACAAAGTGACGTGAGCTCGGTCGTTGCTAGAGTTTTTCATCTTTTTGGTACTCTGTAGAGATGTGGATTGCTTGAAGAAATTGAAGGGTTAAGATGGAAGCTGCGTTTTTGTGGAGGAGTTGGAATCAATGTGTGCCAGGGATATTTTCCAGTTTTAAGAGGAGTGCATTTGGAGTTTCACTCCAGTACTGTGCTACACTTTCATTTCTTCGTTCGATCCAGACGTGTTTCAGCAACTCGGACGTGGAATTTGTCTCAGACTCCGTATAATTGAGTTGGGACGAAATCACAAAGTTGAACTGAAATGCATATAAAGTTTTCATCAGGCATGGTTCCATCTCAGCAGCATCATTTACGAGGGCAGGACCGAATTGTCAGTTGTCGGCTATTTTGGCTGTTTTCATAAAACGCCTTCGAGCAAAAACTGCTAATGATTATTACAAGGCAAAATCGGGGAGATGAATCTACAAATAGAATATGTTTGATGGCAGTAAGATGGTATAAAATACATCGTGATACCGATTGCGGTTCTAATAATAACAAGATATGATAATGAAAAGGTGGATATTAGGAAAGCGTCTGGAAATAACTGAATCAGATTTGGAAATTTTACAGTTTAACATTCATAAGGCATCATAAGAATTGCAAATCTTGTTTTCGCTTAACACCTCACTATCGCAAATGCGATACTGTTCCGGCCAACCTTCTCTTACCGTTTCCAGTTGTCTGTAACATATGTTGTCCGTTCTCCTGCAAAAAAAGATATACTTTTTCCTGTCAAATGGAGAATTCACAAGAAAAATGAAAGGGATAGAGGCAAGCTACTTAATTTCGAAAGCAAGAATTAAAAGATATGATGAACTTATATAAGTGGAATATATTCTAACTTATATGAGTGAGAATATATTCTGCAACGAGGACACACCGCGAACATTTCCAGAGCAGATACAGTTTTTCCCTTCATTGTAGAAATATTGAGCAGTGGCACCTCAAAATATACTGTAGTTATTAACTTCTGTATATATTTACTATTAGTCCTGTATTTCGATTTAAGACAAATCGTAATTTCTCCAGTCGGTATTGTGATGCACAAAATTCAAGTGGAAATCACTGAAGAATTGGAAAACAGTTGGTTCCAAAGTACTACTCCTCATCTTGATCTAATCTTATTTTTTGGACGAAACTTCTCCCAAATACGTAATCAAACCAACTTTAACAATTGTTAATGGTGTTATCGAAAGATTTCTGAGCAAATACATTCCATTCACTCCTGGACATTGACGTAGTTGCAGTTTATGATTACAGCGAGCTGGTTTGTCATGACATGGGATCTGAAGCAATGGTGCTCATAAGTAAAGGGCATTCGGCAGTTTCGCAAACCATTCTCCTTTTTCCTTTCTGATAACACTCAAAATTTAAATCTGAGACTGAAGCAATCTTCATTATTAAGTGAGAGAGAGGAAAAAAGAGAGAATGTCGTTTTATTTTGAGAGAGATTAGAGTCAGAAAAAGATACAAAGAGTATAACTAACTGTCTGTATCAGAGAAGGACAGGTTGATTCCGCTTTGCTTTCAACGGAATTTTCATACCTCAACACAATATAAGCTGAGCTTCCACATTGCTTATCACATAATTCCTGTGGTAATTGTAAAATAGCAAGCAATTCCGCGTAATGTACAGTGGACAACATCCTTATAGCTCAAGGAATGGCAATCTTCACTTAATGTCATGACATGTAAGTAAAAATTATTTGTGTAACTATAAGAAAAGACATTGGAAGTCAACCAGCGACTTCAAGAAATTCATAGCGATCTGTCTTAGGCTAAACCAGCTAAATGCAGTATCGTTTGTAGATTTGCTTCAAGCTTCTGTAGTTATACTTAGCCGTCACCCAATAACGAAGTATTTTGGGTTGATGATAAAAAAAATACCATAGAAATTGATAACATCAAATGTAAACTCGACAATGAAATATTTTGTGAAGAAGTTTGAAGTTATAGAAAAAGAAGAAATTCAAAAAGGTACCTCAGACTTCTGCGGATACATATAATGACAGTGTGTGAGTGTTATTGAGCCAACATAGGTTTCATAGATTCTGTGTTGTGCTTTCATTGTTGCTAACTGTTTCTGCAATGTAGGTAAACAAATTTTGGCGATTTCAGATTTACAAGAAATGCTTACCCTCGACTTGTTTAGTAATAACATAATCGGTACAAAGAATCCGATGAGTAAAGCCAATATTCCAAATTGAATAAACAATAAGCATTTGCAAGATTTACGACGACTAATGTAACGCAACAGGCGTTTTTGACGGCTTTGATGTGAGATGCCATGCTGAAACAAATGTGGCAAAGCAGTGGATCTGTTTGGAATGCCAAAATATACCGGCTTTAACTGTCCAATTTTAAAGTCGTCAAACGCTCCAAAAGTGTTTATGAACTTCAGCTTTATGGTATACTTACTAGAAGGAGTATTTACAACAGATTATATAAACGTGAAAGTTATTATTAAGCTATAATTGCGATAATCAACCAAGTGAAAATAGAATGAAGTGAAGTTGAGGACGAAGTGAAATGCGTGAAATGTAAATGGGAATGGAAGTGTTACCATTATTGACGACAGTATTCAGTGAAAGAACCGCTCGTCATCAATTTGCTTTGAAACAAATGTCGCAGTCACCTGCAATCTTATATCTTTTCAAATTCTTATAATATTTTATCTCTTTACCATTCGCATTAGGATTTTTCTCATTTTAAAATTTCTGCATTTTAAATGAAATTTAGATGGAATTTGCATGCAATGAGGTGAAATATACGCTTTTAAAGCAATCTATTACATAGGATGCTGCAATAACACCTTTTATTGCCCACTGAGATATGCGATAAGGAAGTAAAAAAGTGTCCCAGATATACCGCGAATAGATGAATAGATGATATGCATCACTGATAACTAATTGATATCGGAAATAAAAGATAAATCTTCTTCGTAAGGATATTATCTATTTGGGAAGTTGAAGAATAGCTACTTTTCTTAACTGATAAAAGTTATGATGGTCATAAAAATATAATATATGGAATAATTGAAATGAATTATGTGCTTTGAATCTTATTAATTCCACTTGCGATGATGTAATTTGAGAATTGTTATCGTAACGCCTTATTGTCTATTCCTTACTGAACAACTTCAAAAGTGGTTTTCGGTAAGTAATTGACAATTTATTATCTGAGGAACTTTTTGCCTTGTTCTGCTACGAACAGAATTTAATCAATCACTGCACAATGTGTCAACATATGTCCTTGAAATGTGTCTTGATCAAATGATATGTTTCGGTACACTGCTCTTTTCACTTACAAATTTGGTGCAGTGGTATGAATGATATTTTCAAATCACTTCAGTTAGCCAACATTGCTTGACATCAAATTATATTTTTGATTTCAGTGTGGTATACACATCCAGGGATAGATGTCATCCAATGTTGTTCTGTAGACATTAGCAATCCGTGATAATTCTGTTTATGAGAAACTATTGATTTCACTCGTTATGAGCATTTTCTGAATGTCACACTCTTTGTGCCACACAATAGATTTTAAATAACTTTGTTTGCTTGTTTCTTGTACTAAAATCGAATTATAAGTTTTTAACCTAAACAAATTCCAATTTTTTCATCTGTCACATGCGAAATAATATTTCAGGCAGGTGATCATTTTTAAAACAAATTCACTGCGAATGCTTATTTCTCGTCACTTTCCCCGGCCGGTTTATTTGTTTAACATAATTTTGTTATTTGGTATTTTCCTTACAACGATTAATTTACTACATTTACGTATCATTTTGGATGAAATACATAAGTAAGTGCTTGATTTCTATTCATGTTTTAAATATAGTAACTATCATCTAAGTATTTCATTTTTTTATCTCCATTTCATTCCAGCTCAAAGTTCCCCTACTATTGGGAACTTTCTCAACTTCCATTTGTTTGTATCCCAAAAGAAGTTGTTCTAGCAACTTCATTTCGATATATTTATGAAATTGAGCCATCAAAAGTTGCAGCCTAAAGATGGGTTCACGAGACTATTCGAAAGATTCTATTAGAACAAGACAACCAGTAGTCTGGATAGCTGGCCATGAAGTGAGTGATTCCTTTAGAAACGTATGGAAGAAACATTATTTGACTTTATTTTTCTTTATTGAAAAATCATGTTTGAAATCAAAATTCGATCCGGCTTCTTTATTATAAAACAAAAAGAGATCGTTAAAATCTATGAGAGATAGTTGCTTAAAAGAACTTTGAAAATACTATTTGATTATTTTTTAAGAAAGGATAGAGTTTCAATGTTGCCATGAAGAATAAAATTAGCATAAATTTTAGGGCTTACGGAATTATCTGTCGCATGTAATTAAAATTTTTGGAAATCTTGGGTACAAATTATACATCGGTGAATTACCTGAAAATATTTCTTTCGATGTCTTATGGAGTCATCAGTATTCATTTTATGACCCATTGTTCAGCTTACACTTGACCAAACTGCAACCCTATCAAAAGGTCAATCATATACCTGGATCAGGATATTACACAAGCAAGGTAAATTCTAAAATTTGAGAGAATATAGGCCAAAACAACAAATATTACAAATCTGTTTCATCCTATAAGAGTAAAATTCGAATGAAAATTCAAATGAGGGAAAAAATTTAGTTCGAGAAAAGAAAAGAAAGATGAAAATTAATGATTTTAACTTGTATCTAACTTAGGTAAGCCTTGCTACAGCAGGCCTAACATTTGGAATACCAAAAGCTTTCGATTTACCAACAAGGCGAGATGAATTTCAAGCTTATGCAAGAACGCATCCAGATAGGTTATGGGTGAGGAAAAGTAAGGAACATCGAGGGATCAGAATTCGAGATATCAAAGAGCTCCATTTTTCGGATAATGATTCGTTTATTCAGGAATACATATCACGCCCATTTCTCATTGATAACCGGTATGACGTAGAACTATCAGTGAGATCAACAAAAATATCATCAGTATTTTCTAATCAGCGAAAAAGTTAGATGTCTACGGAAAAGTTATATGTCGTTTAACGGTATAAATTTCAAAAAACCTTAAGATTTAATTAAGAGAACGACTTTAAAAAAGAAGCCTCTTCTGGAAGGACACTTGTGATATCTTGTTTAGATTCATTCAAAATTCAAAATGAATGAATGAATGACGTTAAATGACAATTCTCGATAGGATGAAATCTTTCAGTTCAAATCCCACAAACTCATCAGTTAACTTCTTTTTCTGTTCAGTAAGTTCGATATTGGTATTTATACGGTGATCGCATCAGTTTTACCGCTTCGCGTATATATTTATGTGGGAGATGTATTGCTACGCTTTTGTTCTAAAGATTACGAACCATTTGATGCTGACGATGTTGACAAATACGTTGTCAGTGACAACTACACACCACTTTGGGAGGTAATAGAGATCAAAAATAGAAATAGAGAAAATAGAAATAAAAATAGAAATAGAAAATAAAAATAGAAAATAGAAATAGAAAATAGAAATAGAAAATAGAAAATAGAAATATAAAAATAAAAAATAGAAATAAAAATAGAAATAGTAATGTAATAGAGATCAATATTGAATATCGTTTTTTCAACGATTTTAAGAAAATTTTTTCATTTAAAACTGATCTTTCGTAATTCTAATCCAATTTCAGATGCCATCATTAAAGAAATATTATGTTGAGCAAGGAATGACTTTTCAACATGCGTTCAATGCATATATCGCGAAATTAGGCAAAGATCCAAGTTTAATTTGGGATCGTATCAAAGAAATTATTGCTGCTGTAAATTCAATTTTTAGTTCAGTCTATTTCAAAAAAAAAAAGATTACCAATTACTTATTCTTTACCGGTCAATATAACATTAAAAACTTTAAGAGACTGAGAAAATGATCTTTTAGGAAGATTCCAATTTCATTATTTCTCTCCTTCCCCTTCTCTCATTCGATAGCACAGCTTCAAATAGCTTGCACCCATAATGTGGCTTTGAAAAGAGATTAAAGTCGAAAAGATTTAGAATGAATAGTTTAGTAGCTATTCCAGCGAAGTTTTAATATTAGCGCAATGAAAAATTCATTTGCAGTAATTTTGATTACACAAACCTCTTGCACGAAGAAGCCTCAAAAAAGAATCCTGAAATTTAGGTTTTCGAGTCGCAGCAAAATAAAATGCTTGCTGCTGGAGCGAATTTTGCTGACAAAAGGTAGGAAATTTCAAAAATAAACTTAAAAGTTAACAAAATCAAGTTAGCTCGACAAACTGAAAGCTCCAGCAAAAAAAAAAATTCCAATAAATTTTTCAATAAATTCAAATTATTTATAGGCCATTCTTCGAACTAAGCCGTTTTGACTTCGTACTTGATAAGGACCTCAACGTTTATTTGATGGAGGTATTTGCCCCTCTGAGTCTATCTTAAAATCTTCACTTCTGCAAATCTTCAGTTCCTTTAAAAAATTGACAAATTAACGAATGGTGTGCATTCTTTTTAAAATTTAAATCCATAAATAATTTCAAATTGTAAATTAAACGAAAAGTGTGGAAATTTTTCTCCCGCAGGCGAATATGTCACCAAACTTATCATCAGGACATTTTCAACCAAACAAACTTCTTTATGAGCAAGTAATCATCAATGTGCTTTCATTGGTCGGTATAGCTTCACACTTGCATGGAATATCCCTTGAAGATCGTTTGTAAGTAAAAATTTCGTTTTTTGCGTAACGAGTTTCCCGAAAATCATGTTACTGAAAGCATCAAGCTGATCTATGTGAATTTGAATGTATATTCGAACGAATTTATACTACTGCTTTTTGGGAAACATTCGAAGTCCTATGTCTGTGTTAAAGTAACGTATATCTTCCAGTTAACTAAAAATAAACCATATTTTAGTAAAGATAGAGATAGTCAAGAAATGCTCGTTTCTGATCGGGATCTCCAAGTGTTCAGCAATGACTGCGAGTTCAAGTGTTTCGGCAAAGATGGCTGTAAAAAGGAACTGGTAAGTGGTTTTGCATGTTAGAAAAAGATTAGTTTTAATTCAGATTTCTGATAGAACTATTTCTGTCGTACTCATCATTAGCCTTACATCTCAATTTTTTTCATGCTTTTACATTGTGGAATATATTTTCAGTGACTGAGAATTTAGCATAATTACGGAAACACCAAATGTTTTCATGCACCTTCGCTTACTCAGGCGATATACTTCAGAGCCTACTTGCTGTTTCCAACAATACGCATCACTTCTCACTAATGTTATAACTCTGCTTTGATAATGTTGAATTAGAAACCAGAAAAATAGCAAATGATAAGCAACAGACTTCAAATGAAACATTTCCAGAAATGTCAACTATGTAACCACTGCATGAACTATCAATTACGGGACATCCTACGATCGGCTTATGAAGAGCACATGTCCAGACGTAACATGCGCCGAATATTACCGCGTACGGTACATGAACCAGAATATGTTAGTCCATCGTATAGTGAACTGGACGAATTACTGACTCTCTGGTTCGACGGTAAATGTAAAGATGATAAAACTTGGTGTATTTGAGTATTCAGCAATATGGTATAGCAAACTTAGTCAGAAACCTAGAGTGCTGATAAGTATATTTCCTTCCTTTACTTTTATACCACTATTTCAAATGGAATAAATTTAAACTTCACAACAGTATTATAAGATGAACACATTTTCTAAGAAACATTTTCTCTCATAGCTTTGTCGTGATACGTTTTATTCAAAACAAATTTAAATCTATATCTTTAATGCATAAAAGTATTTCTTCCAGAATCTCCAACATTTTTCCAAATGAAATATACGATTAAACCAGTATCATCATCTCATCCTGTAATAAAAAAGTGTGGTCAAGTATTATCCATCCTATAGTAAACAATAACTTACCATGTAATAATAAAATCAGTATAAAAAGAAACCATTTATTCCTTGAGGTAGTTGAGATTCGAAAACTTAAAGTATTGACAGGATAAGGTATGGATAACAGAGGGATATCCAGAACTCAAAGAGAAAATTGCTTTTAGGTGCTTTATGTCTAAAATGAAGCACTAATCTGATACCAAAATTTGAAGCAGATAATCCACGGCTCTTATTACTGATTTAAGAAATCTTTTGGTTATAACCGAACAAACAGCCGCATACTATTCGAAACATCGATATGCAGCTGAATACATCTGCGAAAGTTCTTGGATTTTTTTTCACTAACTTTTCCCTTACGCTGAATCACCCATTTCTCGTTTCAACTTTCGTGCATTTCTATGTAGAGGAAGTTTAAAATTGAAAATGTCCTAATTTTCGTTTATAAAAAGAATAATTTTTATTAGCGATTTCTATCCTGCATGCTGTAAAACACTGAGATTTTGAACGCAGTGACTGACGTGATAATAACAGTGCAAGATATACAGGACTAGCGTGGCTACTGCAGCAAGCATCTTCAATGGATTTTGTAAAAATTAAGCATGCAAAGATGAATATTAGTCTTAATGGAGATTCAGTACGTCAAATAATACCTGTGAAGGTCCCAGTCAAATGCGTTGTCAAAAATAAATTGTTTCCTGACAAATAATATCCAAAAGATTTGCCTTGTTAGTCCGTAATCTGGAGTTTCATCGGTCTTGAGTCCATAACAATATTTCAAATGCAACATCTAAAGAATTTTATAATAATCGTAAAATGAATTTTCAAAATCATCATCGAAAATTTATCAAGGAACAAGAAATTGAACAGCTGCGCTGCATTCTTTTTAGACACTGATACACACATCTTATCCAACTGCAAAACTATGAAAATGAAGTACTGAATCGTAATTCTACAATCCCTTGCTGACAGTAACTAATGCCTCAAAAATCCCTTAAAGGCAAAATATAATTTTTACTCGGGTAATCACTGCAGAATTCCTCAACAGTTAGTCGGTCTTTCAAATGGCCAATTAGTTCCGTATATTTTTCCTTCGAATGAGCTTTGTATTCAAACTACGATAGATCACCTTTGAGAAAGTAGAAAGAGTGTATGCTAACGAAATCATATCGTCCCGACGACTTAACGCTGAAAACCTTCTTAACTTAACTTTAAATTCACTTATTGAAAAAGGAATTTTTTTGCGAAACTACCTAAAAACTATTTCTCTTAATTTAAATTAAAAGTAAATCTACCAATTTAATCGTATGAGTATAAACAGTAAAAAGTAATTTCGACTCTCAACGATTTGGTCAATATCATTTACGAAGATTCCTTGTAAATGATATTGACAAATCGTTGAGAGCACAACCACATGCGACTGACAGTCTCTTCAAGCCTCACTCCTCCGAACAAACAGCTGCAAAACCACTTCAAGGTCATCGCTAGTTCCTCATGTTTGCAGCAATTGCAGCTTGAATTGCCATTTAATCGTTACCAGTTAAAAAAGAAAAGAAATAATCTCTACCAAAACCACAATGAGCGTTTGGAAAGGCGAAACGTACGGTACCACATCTGGCTTTATCGGGATCAAGTATTTCTTACATAGACCCATATCTATTAACTAAATTAAGACCACTATATAAAGATCGCTGTTCGGATCATCATCAGTACCAACTGATAATTGATCATGGTCAGAAATACTGACCTTACTGCATATTTCAATAGGGTTTAAGGTAACCTATGGAATAATAAAAAGTTTGCTGTGCTTAAATAACAAGTAAGGTATTCACTAGGAAAGAGTGAGAATCATAGTAAAAATCCTGAACTGTTGTGAATTTCAACATTCTACCGAATTTTACTTACATGAACGATGTTGTGTTTTGCACCAAGATCCATAGCAAAGTTGTCAGGTTTGATATATCGATGAACGGTGCTTGTCAGATGTAGTGCTTGTAATCTTGAAAGCTAAAATATCCCAATTAAGAAAAATTAACAGTTAAATCAAGAATTCAAGAATTTATGGTTTCTCCCGTAATAACATACAAAAGGGAAAAAAAATGTTGCTCATGTTTTACAGTCAGCAACGAAATTATGAGATTCAAGAAGTTAAAATGTAATGTGTCGTACTCGTCACTCCCACACTTCATCAGTCGATTTAAGAGATAGTTCTGGCAATATTACAGTATCGTATTTTGTAAAGGAGTCATCTAATTCCAGTGATGAAAGGAGTAAATTCCACAACTTTTTGAGAATGATCAAGGCTTAAACTGAATGTATACCAATTGATCTGCTAGAAGTAACACCGTTTTTCGACTAAAATGACAATTGCAAAAATTGAACAACCTTCCAACGAAGGATCTAGCAGCTCCATCAGCAATGTGTTGAAATGACCCTGATTACTGAACCATAAAGCTGAAGAATCAGACCGAATAACTGAATTATTTCGAAATAACGACGGTACCAATCAAAAATTATAGAAATTTTTTACTTCAGGAAATCCATTTCCTTCTTTGAGGTTTTTGTAAATGTGGTATTCATTCCACTATCTGTCGTTGTTTTTAGCTTTCATTTCCAGCTTCATGGCGACTTCATCATGATTGAGTAAATCGATTCCTGTAAATTCGATGTCAAGAATTGCTTCAAAGAAGAGTAACAGTCATTCCCAGGTATAATCATATCCTTTCTTTCTCTTAAATGCCCATACAGTGTTCAAAGACTCACTTTTATTTCTAGAAGAAAAAAAAGTAGTATATCTGGAAGGGTCAATAACGATGAAGATAAATGATCTATGAGCAAAGGTATCCAGAAGTACTGTTCCAAAGGTACCACTGCATATTTTGTGTAGCAACCGGTAGCGATGACAAACAATCAGATCATTATCGTGTTCAGTTCTGCACTGCTCTTTTGCTGCCATTATACTGTAATGATAATTGGGTTTACTTTCCAACATGTTTCATTTTCAAAAAACTTTCATAGAAATAGCACTAAAACACCCACGTCTCTTGAGTAGTATGATCTACTAGACTTACGTCAAGACACGCCATTATTTAGCTGTAGCACGTACAACGCCTATCACTCCCTTGCCATTACCATTGGATAATGCTATTCACATCCTTAATAGTCACTGTGTTGATCAGAAACGCTTACGTATGCTTTCTGTACTCTATTCCAAAATCATTCCATTTCATTCTCTGTTGATAGGATAACAGAGCGGACCACGTCATTTGCCCCTCTCTAGAATATCCCTCGAGCCTATCTTTGGAGATTCCCCGGGTTCTCGTTTTCGAACAGTAATGCCACTCGTCGATTCCAGTTGCGCATATTTTTTGCGGAGAGTCAGTAAACCATTAAAAACATAAAGGGGACTTCCCGCGGTTTACAGTGATAGGAATGAAACCTTCCAAGGATGTCACTCGAAGATATCGTTACGTGAACTTTTCACTGTTTTTTAATACATAAATTTTGGTTTTAATTTCTTTACCATAATCGGTTCTAATTGCATTTCTTTATGCGATCTTTTATTTTTTTAAAGAATTCCCGTCTTACTATTGTTTACTGCTAGAAAACAAGGGGAAGATACTTTCAAATGTTCTTGACTTCGAATGTTCTTGCTGGTAGATCATCGGAACTGAGTGATGGTCAAAATTAACCGGTCGGGAACTAATTTGATCTAGGGATCTAGAAATACTTTTTGGTCTTCATTCCGCTCCAACCTAAACACTTCATTCTGGAGGCCTCCTCCCACTTTTGTCTAATGTTTTTATTAAGAGTTAAAAAACTAAAATTATGAAATGTTAGACTCAAGTTATTATAGGATATTCGGATACCCAAACATACATAGTTTATGTGTCAATGGGTGAACCTTAACCATAGATCTAACAATCTGAAGGTATTAACCGATTTTAGTGCCGCGATGATATGATAAGGAATGTTGCTTAATTTTAGGCTGTTGCTTAGCGCCTTAAGCAAAAGCTCTTTCAAAATGGCGAAAAGAACAACAGCAGAAGCACGAATGACAAGGGAGGAAGATCCGGAGATACTGGATATCATCGGCACGATTTCAAAAATGAAAATCGTTGACAATGAACAATCAAGAAACGCAGAAGACGAAACAGTGAATATTCGTGAAAATGAATATCCGAAAACTTCTCCCAGGGATGAAATTTCGAACATCAAACAGTTAAAAAGTCCCGATGACGTAAGCTTGATATTTCTAAAATTTCGCGCTATGCTGTCTTCATCTCTGAAGAACCTTACATGATTAATCTCCTCGGAGTAAACCTTACAAGTTTACTTCACATGTTAGTTTCCCGAGTAACCCGCTTTTGATAACTTCTATTAAGGCTGGAAGATACGTTCCCTTACCTGTTTGAACACATAATATCCCCACTTTTTAATTATACCGATCGTCTTGTTTACACCTACCTTTTTGGATACAAATGACCTGTTCCTTTAACTTTTTTTGGTAATGAAAGAAGGATAAACTATAAGCTGTTATAGCTTTTGATGGCAATTGCTTCAGCGATTTATCGTCCGTAACTAATGTCATAATATAAATCCGATGAGGAGTGATAAAGTTTGACTTTGAGAAGATACCCTGACTCTTGTTATTTCACATCTTAGCACTCCATTATAGGATAAATTTCTTCGTCTCGTAACAACAGATAAGGCTCGGCAATCGCTAAACAAATGGAACTTAGTAAAGCCGAGTGAAAATAATTAGAAAAGAGAAAAAACAAGGATGTACAGAAAAGTTGTAGTTACATATTATCCGCATTTTTAAATCTTGTCGGTATTGATTTTTCCTAGGACGAGGAAGTCTCTGGACCTGACCAGGACCAGGATCAGGCACACCCAGCGTACATCCCGCGCATAGGACAATTTTTCATGCACGATACCCGTGAAACTGGTGAGAGAATTACGCTACATCCGTTATCGCGTACCGATTATAAGTGGCGACATGATTTATATAATGAGACTGATCAGATGCCAATGTCTGATCGAGAATTCGCTAAAAAATATGGTGTGGATCGGGAAGGAAATCCTGTCTCTTCGGTAAGGCGAGTTAAAAATTTTGTTAATATGCTTAGATTATTGAAGCAAGACAATTTTACTGGGAAAAATATGGATTTTTCTGAAGAATTTTTCATGGTTTCTATCCTTATTTCTTACTGTTGCATTAGCTTCTCGGTAGGATTATTAGCTCCATTTCTAAATTGCTACAAAAATTGTTTTCGGCTTTCCGGTATGATACGCATGGTACGAACCAAACCCGAATTAGAGCGTCAACAAACGTTTGGAACGCATCACGTCATTTTACAAGGAGACATCGGAGTACGTTCTTGTTTTTTTAATAATAATCTGGAGTTATATACTTCTAAATGTTAGTTAAGTAGATGCAACTTATTGGTTTCATTTTAATTGGTATCAAACACGTTTCATATCGATATTATCTGATGTATTGTTTTGTAGTTCGTGGTCGTGGAACTGATTATCAAGACAAAAGGAAAGGTGTAAAAAAGCGAGGAAGCGATGGTCGCTTACCATTCGCCGGTAATCCACTGAATAAGGAACATTCTAGTGATTGGAAAAATCAGAAGTTGGATGGAGGTAAATAACCGGAAATAAAAAGATAAACCCAATAGTGCGGTTTAAAGAAAGGGGTAGAAGACATGTTTAGCTTTCCAGGATAATTGGGGAGTTATTGAACTAGTCTTTTTACGATTTTTCGACTTATCATTAGTAAACATCGTAACAAACGTCTTTTGTTTCGTAGTTACGGTTGCTGGCTGTCTTTTATGTAATGTACGATATCGTTTCTTTCTGCAGTGTAACAATTGTGAATCTGATTTTAATTCCATTAGTGAAGTTAAATAGGTCAGCTAAAGGTTTTTAGAAAGATATTCTTATATGTGGCATTTAGGTAAAGAAGCAGAAAGCAAGTCTGAGATAAACAGCAGAGATCATAATCATGCGAAAATGGAGATACGTCTCGGTAAGCGTTACTCGACACAGCGGCCAATGAAATCGGCTGAAATGTAGACTTTTTTATTTCGCAGATGTTGTCCGGAGCTGTTTGGGTACTTTGTTATCTTTATTTTCATAAGTGAGTGATCAGTTGCGCAAAAGATGATGATGAGTATACAGTAGCCGTTCAACGCACAACGTTCAGTGTCGTTTTTAGTCACCACTTTTGACGTAGGAAGTAATTTCTAACAACTAAAGACGAAGAATAATTATCCTTCTCGTTTGTATTTATTTATTTGCTTAAAGACATTTCCATGCAGTTCATGAAGACGGATTTCGGGTAATAGCTTGTTCAACTGCTAGCATACGCTTTGCATATCATAATTTATATTGTTTACTAGTTTTGATTTATATAGTATGTGCGACTGGACTGAGAGGTCAGCAATTTTTCGAACATATATTTCTCGCGTAGTGAAGCGTGATGCTTACAATATGCCACATATCATGGAGTGTTCATTCATCTGTTTCTTTCTCCCCGAAAAATTCAATTTGATTCACCAGCTAATTCCGTCACTTGTAATTTATCTGTCATGTCACTGCAATAAAAAGTAATCACTTTAAAAGGCGTGTCTTAGTAATTCCAAGAAAGATACACTCCTGAAGCGACACTACCTCTCACGTGATGGGACGGGAAAGCATTCAGCAACGCCCCGTTGTTCATGTGTACCGAACAGCGAGGGTGAGGGTGGATTCTTAGTTTTCATAGTGGTGCGGTGCGGTGGTCTAGTGATGCAGCGATACTCTTGGAGTGCTTTTCAATGCTCAGTTTGAGGGAATGGTGATGGGTTTGTCGGGTTATGTGAGGGTGAATGGTTGTTATGGAGACGGGGGGGAGGGGGTTTGCTTTTTAATTAGCAGGAGTAATTGTCGGGAACTCAGGGTCTGAATGTTTGGGTGAATTAGACAGCTGGGAAGTTGCGGTGGTTGAAATGGTTTTCCGTTGTAATTAGTGGTTCTTTTCTTTCAAAGTTTGTTGAAATGGCCAAACGGACGAAAAAGGTTGGCATAGTAGGGAAGTACGGAACTCGGTATGGTGCCTCGCTAAGAAAAACCGTTAAGAAGATGGAGGTATTCTTTCCGTTCGTTTGTATTGTTTGTTAAGTCATCCCAGTTTGTGATCGAAAACATATAGTTATTAAGATTGCATATGTTAGTGTGAGCAACTAAGTTGGAGTGTTTTCATATTAACTCAGGAGATCGTAGTATTTTTTCTGTATGGTTGTGTGGGGAATTTTATGGTGCATAGTCTGATTCTGCTTGAGCATCATTTACAACATTGGTTTGGGCGCAGAATAATTTTCTCAGGTTTCTTTTTACATAGGCTTTTATTCATCCTTTGTTAGTAAATACCAGTTTTAGTGATATCATTTATCAAATATACCCGTAAATATATACTTTTCATATCGGCTTATTAGTATTTCAGGTAACGCAGCATTCTAAATACACATGTGCTTTCTGTGGGAAGGAATCGATGAAGCGAAAATGTGTTGGCATTTGGAAGTGCTCGAAATGCAATAAAGTAGTTGCTGGTGGTGCTTACGTGTACAGCACAACCGCAGCAGCCACCGTGCGGAGTACTATCAGGCGTTTACGAGATGCTAAGGAATAAAAATGTGAAATAAAATTTTCATTCACGTTTTTTGTTATTCTGTTCAAGAAACAATAAATTTTCTGTTAGAAATTTTTACTAAGCAGTATGATTTAATCAGTTCGCAGCGCATTAATAAAATTATTTTCGGTGTTGAGACGGCTTTTTCGTGCTATTTGTCATTCTGAGTTAACTGTTAAGGGAAGGGATTTACCAAATGTGCTGCTTCAGTATTCCTTCCATGGGCTCTGTTCAAACATTATTTAAAGCTGTTCCAAGCTAGTCGTTGTCATTTGACTTAAGAAACTCGGTGGGAATTCGTGTTCAATGTTTTCTCATAAAAAACGGTTCGGCAGACTTACTGGTATAGAATATTATGAAAAGGATTTTATTAATTATCAACGTCGATATGTCATATTTCCATAGCTCAAATCAGTTCCCAGCCGTGTTTGTCAGCGAAATTTTAGCACTTTAAATGAGTTGAAAGAGCCATGTTGGGTTGAATTTTTCTCCTCTTCCTGTTTTGGACTATGGCATGTTATACGCTGCTTGCTTATTTGTTTCTTCATCTTCACGTTCCTTTGTATTCAGTTGCCTCTTTCGTATCGGTATGAACAGCAGACTGAAGAGGTAGCTTTTGAGTCTTCATGTGGAATCTCTCACAGGATTCAGGACATTTAAAAAAAAACCAAACATTCTCTCGATGAGCACGAAGTCGAAGAGCAGGATTTCGAATTACAATCGTGAAGTTTTCGAAATCGAGCCGAGTTTGATGATTTCATGAATGAATCAAATGGAAACAAGTGGTGCGATGGCAACCATTTATGTCAAGGATAAGTGCACATATATGCGGTGTGAAATGTGAATTACTTCTAATAATGTGTTTCTGGCAGCAGGTGGTTTTAACGAAGTTATAGGTTACTTCTGGAAGCTTTTCTTACGACAGAATATGAAATCTTCACTACGATAATATACGATTCCCTTACATTTAACTAGTAAGTTCTGTTAATGCATGTAATATTTTCGCTTATTTTTTGTACTGTTGTGGAGTTGCAATAAGCTGTTTTAATTTCATCTTAACTTCGCTGAGAATGTATTTATGCCTTCGTTACTTTTTAGTTGTCTGTTTTACTTTTCTCTTAATTTTGAGTTTCCTTTAAAAATTTGACCGTTTAATCAAAGTTTATACAATGAGTTATTTAAGTTGGTAGTTAGTTTTGCTTTAATATAGAAAATGTTAAATTATTTGGAATAATTTGGATTATGACTCATTTCAGGGCTGGCAAAGCAAAAGATCTTGCAGATTTGCTTTGAAAGAGGGAAAAAATTTCACATGGAACAAAGGAAGTGGTCAGTCATTGTACCTGTCTCATGAATGTCAGAACTGAAGGGAATGATGCAATTATTGTTGAATATGTCTTAGAACATTTAGGTCACGAGAAAATGCGTATGAAAAATCCGATATAATACACTAGAAATTGAAGCAATAATGCTGCTGTTAAAAGTCTTTTTTTTTTACTTATCTAGTCTCTACATCTTACATTTGCTAGAAATGTTTATTGTTATATTTTCAATATATTGTGGTGTAAAGAAGGCGCTTACCTGGCTGGGTCAGCTAATATCTTATCGAAAACACACTGGAAAACGACAAATTGCATGCGATATCGAGCATCGACATTCGGTTAATTATGAACAGTTATCTAAATAAAAAACAAGGGGAGATACTTGGGCTGAAACTGGAAAAGGCAAATTTGAATTGGGCAACTGCATCTTGTAATTCTGCAGGATTGCTGAGTAGGGTGGAATCTTTGCCTAGTAAATCCTTCGTTTTGATGCAGCATCCCGGTGCATATGTATCTTTACAAAAAATTTTAGATAGAAACAAAAAATTTTGTTTGTTTATTTATTATGTAGAAATTCTTATAATAGGTACAGAGTGCACGGCTATCATTACAGTTTTCTTCCAGTGATAGAATTATATGATAGAGGCAGCCTTTCACCCTTTTAGATGCTGAACACAGATACGAATTCATGACATTTCATAAGTGTAATATCAGTCGACATGTATTTTCTGAGGTACATCAGGAGGATTTGAAAAGTTTCGAAACTTGTATCAGATTTCAGCTGACGGATCCGCCAGTAAGAACGAATATGGTATCATAAAAATAGCAGCATCAACAAATGTATTGCGACAATTTTTGCCAGGTGATCATTTAGAGTATGCAGAACATTTTAACGCATTGTTGAAGATACTCGATTGGTTAGTGATTTGTTGATTTTTCAGGCGGCAACTGATTTTTATTTTTCCTGCAATGTAAAACGAGACTAATTCGGCTTTTTTGAAGTTCTTTCGCCAAAGGATTTTAAGATAGTTAATCACTGAAATCAGTTAGGATTTCGCAAATGAAATGATATTTAATTACCCATTTTGAGTCAGCACGTTTCTCAAGTTACATATCCTTTAAAGCTTAGAAATTGGTGATTTTTGTGCATTAACTTTCAGTAAGCTGGATGGAATTGTCTACAGTACAAGTTTATTAAGTAACGAATGGATTTTTGAACCTCTGGACTTGGTTTACCATGTGAATGAGAAGGATGCAAGAACTGAATTGCAAAGTTAGCGACACTTTGAGCTTTGTTAAGCAGAATGTGATATATCAAATGGACTGCGAATTGTCGCTTCGAAATCTGGATCCGAAGAATGTACCAACAAATGGGATAACCCCTGCACAAATATAGTAAGTTTTTAATTTCCATTAATCATTTCCTCATCCTCTTTCCATTCATTGTTTGTAGAACACGTCTTACAACTCTTTCCAGCCGGAACAAATGGCTTACAAACAAAGTACAAGAGATGGGCATGAGTTTAGTGCTGTTTCTGGGATGTTAGCTTATATGAAATGAGCAACTTTTACTGTTTGAATTCATACTTCTGAAATCGAATTTTGCTCTTATGTGTTCCGGTCATATGTACGCATCATATTGTTGTTACTACTTTCACTACGCATTTTATTAGACGTTTTAGACTGGTTTTTAGGCTCCATTACTTATTTCATTGCCAGTCAAACAATTAACATCAGTGGAATAGTTCCCATCACCTACTTACTGGCGTCACCACACCGTTAATAAATGAATGTTTCATCTTCGACTACTTTTATGTATGTTTTACCCACTGCTAAACTTTTAACGCATTTTCATTTCAGCGTGGTTCAGTCTTTGAGATTTGATACTTTCCTATACCTTGGATAGTTCTCGCTACCTTACGGAAGACTTTGTAGTTTTTTTGTGCCATGAATGCAATCATAATTCCATTCCATTTGTTTTGCATCATTTTTGTTATTTTCTACTGTTAAAATGTTTGAAAGTATTAGAACTGTGCTCATATCTGTCGCATTGCTTGTGTATTTTTAATATGCATTGCTAAGTCGCATTTTCTTCAAATTATTCAGTTGTTCTTATCTGTCCGTATTCCCAAAGGACGCACTGACTTTTATAAATTTATGAGCATCCTATCGCAGTGCATGATTTTTCTGGTGGAGTAACTTTTCACAAACCTTATGATGAGCTTTCTGAAGGGTTTTACTGTTGAAAATATTGTCGAATGTTTCAAAATGTGAATTTGCTTGAATCTTAGTTTCAAGATTAGAATTAGACATAATTTGAAAGATTTATAACTGTATTCCATCACATATTTTCTTTTAATTCGTTTCATCATGAACATTTTTCAGACGCTACCATCCACTATCCTGACGACTGTGTTGGAAACGTAAGTAAGGCTGATTTTGTTCACTAACCATGCGTCTAATTTAAATGGAAAGTAGTTATTTACAGTGAATGATAAATACATTAAAATTAAATGAAATAAACAAACCAGTCGAACCAGTGACGTCAGTTCAACAGAGAGCATTTCGTATTTGTCAATAACACGTCGAAAAGTACTGTTTTTTATCAGACCTTACTGTTAATATTCTTTCCGACACACGTGTAGGGTCATATTCCTTTGATCAGCAATAACTCTTGCATATGCTTGAGGCCCGAGTCTAACTTCTCATATTCACACTCAGTGGTAACGATATAGTCATATACCAATGTTTGAATTAACATCTAAAAACCCTCAACAAAGAACAGGTCAGCAGGTTGTAAACAGATAGATGTGGACATAAATACTGCTCAAAAAATAATTCAGCAGAGATGAAGGTACCAACTAAAAGTAATTTAGGAAAGAGCCGGCAAAAATCTTATATAATTCAAGTTATCAGATGTCTAGCATAAGATTTTAAATAACATACAAAGGCATCCAGATACTCACAGTACCATTTTTTAAATTTTAGAAAGCATACTATATTCAAGAAAATACTGCGTAAAAAGGCACAGAACAGGTAAGAAGGATGACAACGTGAAAAGAAGGTAATATTAATAGGAAATGAATGCATATGTCAAAGGATAGCCATGCGAAAGGTCTAAGAAGTCCTTACTTCATTAGGACTTTACTTTTGATGCATGATTTCAAATATAATTAAACTACAAAGTGAGCAAACCAATGTCACCGAATTAAAACTAGCGGAAGTTAGTTACTAAAAAGTTACAGAGTTCTATCTATAAAAACAGGTGTTACCTCCCAAAAAACGATTGGTGTACATCGAAATTTCTAGTTTCGAATATGGGAACAAAAAAGCACAAGACAATTGAGCAGCCATAAGAAGTGATTCTCGCGAAGTTACAGTCAGAAGTACAAACTTTGCAGTCGAAACATGCTATATTTTCACACTTCCGATTATTTCAAATGAAGTGACCTTAACCGCTCTTGTTACACATTCGACACCACTGCTTATAAATTCATTTTCTTTTTCTAAAATTCTTAGGTCAGAAATTAGTAGAGGTCGACAGAAACTTTTCCATGCTTACTCCAAAAAGGTTGGAATTCTCTTGGTTGCTTTGCATCTGGTGGCATCCGAACTGGCCTTAACATAGACTTGTTTGGATCATTTTGACCATTGTTGTTCGAGACTTTAAATGAAGGCCGAACTGGAGTCTTACTTTCCTGATTGTAAGTAAATGTTGCAGTTGGTCCACTGTAAAAGTTTAAAGTTTTCATGTCAATTTTAAGTATTTTAAAAGATTAACCAAGCTAATATGACACCCGAAAATATACAGTTAAGCTTAAGCATACTCCAACCTGTCCTTACCCCAAAATCAGCGGTTCATTTAGTCCAAATAAAGGAGGCCTGGATTACATCAGATCTATGTCATTTAAAATTCTGCTTCAAGATGTAATGTATCTTACTCTTCCTTATATTAGTTACCTTGGAGGACTTTTGAGCAAAGGTTTTCCCTGATCAAATGCAAAGAACTTCGGCCAATAGTCTTTAGGCATTCTAAGCAAAGCCAACAATACCATGATCTGAAAGGGACACTTTTTTTCCTTGTAGATGTCACCAATTTCAGGACTTTAAATGTATTTAATACTTTCCAACACACAGAAACTTCATTTTTAAGAAGAGAAATTACCTGTTTTGCTACTTCATCAGCGTTCTGCGCTATGCTTGTGAAACGTGGCGGAGCACGGCCAATAATTGTTGGTGCAATACAACGGGCCAGCACCTCCGGAGACATCTTGTTTCGTGAGCGATTATCACAAACCTGAAAAAAGGTTTGACGATCTCAGAAACTTCCTTAAAAAATAATGAAATGTGAAGGAAAATAATGGAAAGAAGTTATAATGAAAATGATGCAAACCCTCTGGAAATGAGAGCAAAGAAATGCGAGAGTATCTCTATTTGGATAGGGTAAATCCATTACTGAGCGATCCAAAGCCTCGAAGTCATTACGTTCAGAGGCGATTACAAATTCTTCCCAAGACGAAACCGGAATTACTGGATCCTGAAAAAGGAATTTCAGAACTGTCGAGAAAATGGGAGGATCAAATTCATAAAGATCGACCAACTAACCCTTATTTCCCTTAGGAAGCGTTTTATACAACCAGTGATTGTCTCCGTGTCATGATATTCTAATTTGGGCAGTGAGCGACTGTTTTTGAATTCATTTAATAATTTAACAATTTGCGATTCCTGTCTGGAAGGAAAAATGCCTCATGGAACAGAAGTTACTAAACAAGCAATAGTATTAATTAATTTTACGTAAGAAGTACAATCGAAGAACTGTAACCGCTATATTTTTATTATTTCTATTATCAATAAGCACTCATCAATAAGAAAAAACAGCTCTTACCCAGGAATTCGATAAATGCCTTCTGTACTCAAACGATCTTTATCTAGAGCAACGACGCAGTGTATGATGAGAGATGGAATCATCGGCTGAGTTGATGGACAAAAATCTTTCAACCGCGGACGTTGTTTACCAGGCGTTCGAGGTGTTGCTGTTCGAGGAACGCAGGGGATCGGAGCATTTCTTGCGCACAATTTATGTAAACGAATCCCACAATCTGAATTGCCAGAAAAAATATGGAAATGGAAGAAAATACGGAACTAAATCCAAGGTCCAAGTATCTCCAGTATAGAAATCCAAGGTATGTTCAGTAAAAGTACTGGAACTGAACTGGGCGATATTTCACAATATCTTGTAACAAAATTCTTATAATAAAATCTCATAAGAAAAATCGGATATCGAACGACTGCTTCTCAGGAATTTATTTTTTCCGAACGAAAAGCTGATTTCGCCTACCTGTACATTTGTAAGCCGCTTTTCCAGCGAGCCCAATCCAACGGTTACACACTTCACAGCGATCACCGAGAATTGATGTAAAATTAACAAAGGTATGTGGTCGAGTTTCTATTGAAGAACCATTAGTCCAAGTTTTAACGGCAGTATGTGGACTATTCCTAAATTTCAGGAAAAGGCAGTTATTTCCAGTTTTTTTCGAAAAGGCAGTTATTTCTAGTTTTCAATCAGTGCCTAAACATGCTTCATAATACGAAAAAAAATACATGCAAATACGGCATTGCAAACTTGTCCCAAATAGAAATGAGCCGAAACGGTCAAGAAAGACAATTCTTTCTTGTTTGTTATTTCTTTCCACTCTACAAATGTCATTTAAAAACTAAATTTCTCAATGAAATCTTAGTAAAATTAATGCCGCAAATTGAAATAAAATCATATCATCGAAATCCCGCCAGTTTTCAAAAATTTGCATCGACTTCGTGCAATAAAGCTATAACTGAAGCTTCAGGAGTAAGCATCAAAAAATCAATTACCAAATGTCAGTGTCGATGTAACGTAATGTTGAAAAAAGTAATTAGCTTAGTGGAGGGAAACCAAATTCTGAGTAGGAAATACAGACAAGTCATAAAGTGGTGCATGAAAATCACAGTAGCAAGAATTTTTTATTTTGCTCCTACTTCAAGTGTGATTATATTTGCATAAGCTATTTTCTGCCAAATAAGATGTAACTGATACTGACACAATAAGTGGAAAATAGAGTGAGTGCTGTATTCTATTTTCAATCTATTGCGCGAGTGATCGCATAACTGAGTGAACAATTTAGATTATGAATCAAATTCACAGCAATATTGCACAGTCTGACCTGCCTTTTACAGCATTTGGTTATCTTAATTAGGGTATATCATGAAAAAATTGTGAAAAAAAAAATATGAAAAAACGCATGCTTTTTCATTAGACTTCCACGATTTTTACCGCATGGCATACATTATGACGTTCAGGACTATAACTTGGGAAGTACTTTCTGCCCAGAAAGATATTTTTTGCACCTGCATCAAACTAGGTCTAGTCACGACTTGAAATTGACGTCAGATTAAAATTGTTCCCATATCGGAATACTATTTCGTTTTCTTGTTAAGAGAGACAAGCTTGCTCTATTTTACTTTAATTTTAACAAATTAGTACTGAATGTTCGCTATTGGCCGAGTCAAGGTAAATTTCAATTTGGGTAAGCGAATCTCCTTTTAAGAAACAATCCAACTTTGCAGTTACCATTGATAAAACCGCAACAAATAACGAAAAACAAAATAGGGTGTCGACAATAAAAAAAGAAAAATAAGCTTATTCGTGCAACAAAACGAGCACATAACGGAAGGAACTGCATTTCAGGACGAATTATCATAGGGAAAACGTAAACTACTTGCTTTCATGCACTTGTAAGTTCAGGGAATAAAAACTCTTACAGGTCGAGAGCACTGGCTCCACATCGTGGTGTGACCGCACTAAATTTTCCCGTTGATTCGGCCGTGGTTTCTTCGTTTTGCTAAAAATGCTTGGAGATTCGAGACTTAATAATCTTTGTCCAGTCTATAACACTCCAAAAGGATTTCACAAGTGGAAGCGAAAGAAGTTATTTAAGAGAAAGGGTCCGTACATTATGAAATGAGGCTTATAGGAAAAACTCTAATAAAATATTCAAAAAGTAATGATTTAAACAAACATTCAGAATATTCGATTCAGACATTGACCGATTAGAACGTTTGAGTGAGATACCAGCTGTTGCTGGTTTTCTTCCTTCTGGATCTATAGTTATTGTTGTTGTTGTAATAATTGTTTCAGTTCCATCTTCTGATCGTTTGCATGAAGTACTGGTTTCAGTTTCATCTTTTGATCGTTTGGATGGGGTGCCCTTAAAAGTTATGTGAGAATCATAGCCAAGAAATTGGCACCACTGCATACCTGAGAATGAAAAGAAAAATTTAGTACGACAAAACAGCGCAAGAATACCATAACTGTTTTTTTACTGCCTTAGTCTGAATTACCAAGTTCACAGCATCCTTATAATTCAGATTCAGAGATAAAGCATCACTTTACAACAAAAAACTATACCTACACTATATTACTAAAAGGAAAGAAAATAGAAGCTTCTGCAAATCTCTAGAACTTGCCATTTCTTCCTCAACAATATTCATTCTTTTGGATTCTTTGGAACGCTTCGTGGTAGCCAAAGAATTGTGAGTGCTTGGGAGAACAGCTAAACTTTGTGACCTAGAAATATTCTAAAATGAAAACAAAGCTGGCGGAAAGTAAAATAGAAAATAAAAATTAAATGGTTTTAAACAAGATTTTCCTACCTTCTGTACACTTTACCATACCGTAAATGTGATTCATCAGAGTCGTCGTACGAAATATCCATGGAATCACCTGTCTTGTCATAATCAGTATCTTCGCCACGCGACAGTGTACGTGAAACACCGCGACGTACACAATGCGCTTGCCTTTCTGTCACAGCTGGCTCATATGATTTGTAGTTCAAAAATGATAGTTTCTGTCGGTCTTCCTCTTTCAGTAATGATTGTTCATTCTGAAACAATAGTTTAAAGTTTAAAGAAAACAGGTGAAAAAAACAGGGTGAATAGTCATGTTATTTATTTCGTTCATTACGGAACTTCGCCAATAAACGCAGACTTCAATTCAAACCTTCAGTAGTTCGTTGACCAGTGCAAATTTTTTTTCTAATTCAACCATATCACGCTCTAAGTTTTGTTTATCGGACATCAGTGTGGCAATCTGAGCACGTGCATCCCGAAGCTGTTCTTTATAAATCCGATTTTCTTGTTGCAGTCCACTGGATGAAACATAAGTTCATTAACAATTATTTAAAATCCATACACTTCAAACTAAATTCGAAAAGTACGAGCCGAAATTAAGCATAAATCGCTTTATAAGATCATGCCCGTCTCATGAAGTATAATTTTTGAGACATTCCTTAATTTCAATTTAGCTGTTTTCCTCCTTTTTTTTGATACTTGGCATTTTTTAATCTATTTTCAAAAATTACTACTCATATTTCCTTTACATTACTGCACTTATTTCCAATTCTAAATATTTCTTCAAAAGGTCTTATTTACAACTTGAAATTTCAAGGTATTGACGTATTGACATGATTAACACGAGACTAACGCGTTTTACAAATTGCAGAAGCATTCCGCTGAGATTTATGCGTCAGATTTAAAAGCATGGGAAATATTAATACAAAAAAACTAAAGAAGGATTGGGGAAGCTGCCATATAGTATTTGTTCACCAGAATGTTCTAATGGGCTATGAACTTCAGCAAACTGACGAAAATCGTAACACTCAACCTATCAACTAACGGTTATTGAATAGATCAGTTTTACCAATTAACTTTTACAAAAGTGGGTTTGTTTCAAAAAAATTATGAATTTTCATTCTCTTACCTTGCTCAAACTAAAGCACCTTTACGTATATGGATGGATAGTATTATTAGCATAATTTTTGATCGAAGTCTGTAGGAACATATTTTTGGCAGAAAAAATAAGGACTGCCCTATTGGCTCACTTGTGATCATATTCTTGAATATTCATCTGTTCCTGCAAAGTATCTGCCCTCAATTTTTCAGCGTTCCATTTTTGGCGCATGTTTTCCATTATATCAAGGAGATGAATAAATTCGGTACCTGGAAGGTAATATTGTAATGATTCCAACATACTGATCAGAAAATTTCGATCCAGTAAATTCTTCAGGGATTTTAGAGAGCCTCCGAAAGAAATAGAAATATCTAATATCTTTAAACATTGGATACAAGAAATTGTTTGATCGGAAAAAAAAGTTCGGAATAGCGCTTTTTTTCATTACAAACGTTACAAACGTTTCTTCGTCTCCATAATATCAAAACTTTTTACTATTAAAGTGACAGAAACGGCCAAAACTGAAACTGCTCAAATTTCAAAAAATGAAGGCACAGAATAATATGGAAGAATCACAATTCAGTAACTTCCTATTTTTGGTAATGGCTGTACAGCGTTGATTTCAAACTTTAAAAAAGATTGCGCCAAAAAAAATTTTGCATAAATGTAATTTCGAAACCACCCTCAATCCTCTAATAAATATTCCCCAACTGATTTTCTGTTCAATCTCAAATGCGACAGTAAATGTGACAAAAGTATTGTTGTACAACTGTCCTAATATCAATTTGATGAAAGTCTTGCTAGTCATTATAGGAACAAAAACATTTTCCAGTGTTTTAAAGCAGTAAAGGATCAAATGCTTCGAAAAAGTTTTTGCACTACGTACAAAATGATGAAGTGAAGCTTAGCTCCTGAAGCAGCAGTAGCATCTTTCATAAAAAATAGCCGACAATGCAATTATAGGAATCACATATATGTTACTGTTATGTAATTAACATTGTTCGCATTTCAAAAACGAAAACTTACGGGTGTTTTGTCCTTCAACAAGAAATCTGGCAATACTGACTGTTTCGGCGTACTCATTCAAGACCATACGAGATCTATCACAGCAGATGTTATCGTCCATCACTTCTTTTATATGCTTTTACTGCAAGATGAAATAAATAAATTTTTGTTCCACATAAGTTACAAGTACAATGGAAACGATATGATGACAATTTTCTTCATAGGAGACAACGATTGATGAGAACTACCACACTGTAGCAACTTTCCGAAGTCAAGTTTTGGCAGATAGAGAACGTTAAACTTTCAGTAAATAATGCCGAGGAAACATTCAGATGAATTACACCGACAAGCGTAACTGCATAGAAAAATTGGCAAATAATTTTATCATGATATAAAATGGAAATACAAATTGAAAATCTCCTGTAACGATTTAAATGGGATATTACGATGCACTCATCCTAACAAAAATGAACCTTCAAATCATCCAGGACTTCACCTTTCCCGCCTTCCATAGGTTTAAGAACTATCCCTGTTGCAGCACTAAGTCCAAATCCTTCATTCAAGTAACCGGACGTCGAGTATTAGAAATTGGTAGTTGTTTTGGAAGATCCGTTCATAGAACCAACAGCTTTATTGTTTTTCCTCTACTGTACTCCTCAGATCAGGGGTAGAATTTAACCACTACTGCATTGCAAAAAAATGCTTTCAACGTAAAATATTTTATTGACGTCACAAAAGCATCCAGCATAACTTTGCCAGATGCACAACATTTTAAGTACTATTGTACACACAATAAGATGTTGTTAATGTCTTCAAAAACGAATCAGTAGATGACAAGGGAAAGTGCGGTGATGTATACAGAATGTTATTGCATAGCAATCACCAGCGAATGTGATATATAGCGAAAACAAAACATAGATACTTGTACCAAACATTTCAGTATTACATTAACATGGCCAAATTATTATCACAAAATGTTAACCTTTACTTCGGATGATGTTATTCAGTATACAAATTTGGCCTTTCAATTCGAAAGTCTGAATCAAATTTAATATATTGCTTACTAAAACTATTTCAGGATAGGAACCAGTAAGTACAAAAGGCAAAATTTTCGGGAACTTTTAAGTGACAAATCAATATTATACTGCTATCACCAAGATGCTCAACAAACTGCGCCTTGTGAAAATTGACATGCTAGGTACAGAACTCTGTAAAAATCTCTCAAACTCATACGAAATATATCTGTGCTTCAGTTAACCTCAAGATAAGCTCTAAGAAGATTGTGGCAAAAAATAATAAGTGGAATATAAAGAGACATGGATTCAGCTCAGCTAGACAAGACCAGTTTAATTTAAAGGAAAGCCCATGAAAGCTGCACTAAAAAGGTCTTTTTTGAAACGTATTCAAAGCATAAATTCAAGCGCAAACACGAGCAAGGCTGGTATGTCCTTTTCACATACTAATAGGTTGAATTCCACTGTGATAACATCCCAGTCGCAAAAGAACTGTTGAATATCCATCCAAAATGTTGTAAACTGTTGTTCGAAAGAAGTAAACATTAAGCTTTCAAATAAGCTATCAAAATCGCTAGGCCTTCAAAATTGTTTTTGAAACCTATATCAGAAGAAATAAAAATGCTTTTAAATCAGAGACATGAAACAAAGCCAAAATTAAAAAATATCGCCGAGGAAATGCTTTCGTCTTGATATTTTCGGTTGGTACGTATTTTCTTTTTGTCCAGATGGTGGAGTTTCAACTGGTCCCAGAATTGATTTATTTGGATTCTTGTACGGGATTCTCATGGGTTTCCTGTTGTCATATGCTATACTGAAAAATGCCTTCATGAGGCACGCTTTTTCCATTTCTTTGCCAAGTCGACAGAGTAAAGAGTAAAAGAAATAAATTATTACAGTACTTTAGAGATTTATGATAATGCTAAAGAAATTTCTGCTTTATTATCTTTTCCTTCATAAGATTGTTATATACCATTTGGGGCTGTTGATCAGTGGTATTCCTTTGTCAAAATTGTAGAACTTAGGCCAGTAGTCTGAAGGCATTTTGAGCAGAGTTGACATAATCATCATCTGCAAAACAAGTATCAAATTGCATCCCTTTCTTTTACTTGTTTTCTTTTTTTATTTATTGTACTTCTTTCAGATATTTAAAAAAAAAAATCATTTTTCATTTCCCACACAACTTCACGAGGTGCAGGATTCATTTAGATAATAAAATATTTAAATTTATTTTAAAAAATTGTGTAGTAACCTGCTTTTTTTCTTCATCATCTTTCACTACATGTGGAGGAGCTGGGCCTACAATCATTGCTGCAACGCAGCGTGCTAGAACATTCCGAGGCATCTTGTTTTCAATGCAGTTATCACAAATCTGAAACGAAAACCGAAGTGTGGAAATGAAAGGCACTAAATCAAAATATAGTGAAGTTAAGCCTTCTCAAACTTTCGCAAATTTTACTTCAAAAAAGCAGTAGGATATTACAGATCAGGTGAAAGTGTTTATTTTTACTAATGGCCAAGGTCTATGACTCACTACGTCCTGAAAAAGAACATTATGTCCTGTTCCAAAAGTCGAAAAGTAATACCACTATGCCGATAACTTTCTAACAAACTAACCCTCTGAAAATGAGCACAGAGGAAAGCCAGTGTATCGCGATTTGGATAGGGTAAATCCATAATGCTACAATTCAGAGCTTCAACATCATCTGTCTCAGCAGCATTAACAAATTCCTCCCAAGATGTGCTTGGGATCACTGGATCCTGTAAGTTGAAACTTATAGAAATTTTAAGGATTCTGCAAATTTTGACGAATGTACAATAACTTATATACTTATATACTAAGGGGAAAATCAAAAGATATTTATCGAACGAACTCGCAGCTTATTTAAGAATTGCTTAATGCAGCTTGTTATTGTTTCCGTGTCGTGATAGTCCAACTTTGGAACAGAGCGACCATGTAGAAATTCATTTAATAGTTTTTGAACTTGACTGTCATCCCTGGAAGTCATGGGAATTGGATCGAAGTAAAAAATTTGCATGAAATTTTTCAAATTATTTTAACTCACATGTTTCATAGTTCTAAAAATTCTTCCAGGACTAATTTAAAACTAAAGAATTTAATAAATTACCCAGGAATTCGATAAATACCCTCCGAGCACAGTCGATCCTTTTCTAAAGCCAAAATGCAATGAATAAGAATTGGTGGTATCATAGGCTGCGTGGAAGGACATAAATCCTTCAAGCGTAAACGTTGTTTGCTAGGTGTGCGAGGTGTTGGAGTTCGTGGTACACAAGGCACAGGTGCATTGTCGATGCATGCTTTATGGATACGTAAACCACAATCTGAAGAACTGTTAAATATGCAAAAAATACCTAGTTAAAAAGCGTATTCAATAAGTCATTCGGAGAACTGAACTTTTCATTATTTGAAGAACAAAAATTTGACTTGTATATGACATTTCAATGATAGTTACTTCGCATAACTTTAATCTTCAAAAAAATTACCGCAGCATTTGTAAGCTTTTCCAACAATCCCAATCCATCCATTACAGACCTCGCAGTGATCGCCAAGAATTGAGCTGTGATTGGTGTATGTATGTGGTCGTGTCGAGATCGATGCACCATGAGTCCATGTTTTCGTGCCACTGAGTGGAGTTCTTCTTTAAGAATATTTTAATATATTTAAAATCAATCTCGATTTATATAATTCATGCATACGGGCGATTCTTATTAAAAAAGTCAATAGTTGAAGCATTATTTTCTAAACAAAATGTTATATTCTATGCACTTTTTCGCATTCCCTTAGTAAGTGAAGAAGAAAAACATGCTAAAGCAGGAAAAGTGTCAACTTAATTGAAGCATGCAACAGAGGATTCTGAATTTCGTCACGGAAAAAGTTTCACAGGACAAATTCAATATTTACGGAAGATAACCTGCGGCAAATTTTGTGAATTCTTCTTGCGTACTATTCCAGCTATTGAACGAGTCTTATGTGAATAATATTATATGATTAAGTGAACAAACATTCACAAAAGACGATCAGATTAGTCAATCCAAAAGTTGTTGAACTTTAAACACGAAATTTACTGCCTATTGTAATCGACGCCAAACAAAGCACATAATAATGCTCACAGATCTAATCCCCAAACCACTAGTACTGTTTGATCATACAGACATTACGAATATATACAAAAGTAATATAGTTCCATCTTATTCTTCTTGGAAACTAACGAAAAAGTTTGTGTTTTTCATTACATCAGCCTATGATATTTCATAGACACTAATTCATTTGTAACCAAAAAGTCTTTCTTTTTTGAATTCGAACATCCTTCTCATTTCTCATGTAACCTTCACTAACTTGATTCGCATTTTTTTTTTCTCAGACTTTTTTCAGACATTTTCAGACTAAAGGTGACAAGGAGACAACGCTTTGCAACATATTTAGAAAATTTAATGAGCAATGTCGGGTGAATTGGGACATTTTTGCTTGGTTTGCTCAAAAATTTCACTTTAATTAGAAATATATACCAAATCCCTTACTATCATATATACTCTTACTATCGTATAATATTTGATTCAGGTCCAAAAAATTTCATTTTTGAAATAAATAAATGTAATACATTTGCCAGTGATTGCTTGTTACACATTTACTACATTAGTGAATGATACAGGTAATTTGCCGTTAGCGAGAGTTTGAGAAAATTAGACAAAGTGATTTGCTAAGATAAGAAAACCATCGGCAGTGAAAACCATGTGCAAAACAACTGACATTCAGTCTAGATTTTAAAAAAATTCTAGGAAAAATAACTATGGTTATTTATAGTTAGTCGTTTTCCACACTATTCATATTGTAGATGTTAATAATATAGTAACGGCAGTAGTAGACATAAAATGAGTAGACAAAGCGAGTAGTACACATATTACTGTTGTCAGGAAATAGTTCAGCTATGGATAAAGTTGATAATCACATAAGACTAAAAACATCGAAAAAAATATAGTGCTGGATAATTACACAAAAAGGTATGTGCTACAGGATCCAGCTTACGAAGAAATGCTAAATTTATTTTTAGAGATAAAAACTAACAGATTGGTTGAACTGGCACCACATCGTGGTGTCAACGTATTTGTTTTCAATGTCACCATCTCTTCTGACTTCTAAAAATATATAATATTTTTAATACCAGTCTTTTGCTTTGTTTTATTTAATCTGCTAATAGCTTGAAGTCCAGAATCTTCCAAAAAAAATTTGCAAAAATCCAAGTCCTCTGTTTTGAACTACAGAGAAAGAAAATCAACCAAATCAACATTGCAGTTTCACGAACATCAAGAATATTAGCTGTAGACAATGAACGATTCATTGAACATCTGCCAGCTGTTTTAGTTGTAAGCGATTTATAGTTTCCAACATTCACTGCGGCCACTGTTGTAATTTGTGCTTCTGTCTCATCCTTTGATCGTTTACACGGTGTTTCCTAAAATACATTGAATATTTCGAGTGTTATAGTTCAGAGAAGCAATGCACTATTAATGATAGCAGTAGACGTATCGAGAGATAGAACAGTAACGATAACTTTGAAAATATGCTATCAAACAAATTACATTGAAGCTTACCACTTCTTCTTCAACGGTATCTATCAATGTGCTTTTTTTCAGACGCTTGTTAGCCACTGCTGGGACATGATTTGCTGTCAGTGAAACCATACTACGTGACCTAAATTTGAAAAACGAACGGCATCAAAAGTTTTTTCAATTAATTTTATCACCAGGAACTGAATTCGAATAAACTGCCATCACTTGCCTTCTGTAAACTTTTCCATTCCGTAAACGTGATTCGTCCATTTCATTTGATGAACTATCAGATATATCGACAGTTTTGTCGTAGTCTATGTTTTCCCCATCTGATGAACCGCGTGAGAAACTCGGACGTGTACTACGAGTGTCCCGTCGTTTTATAGGTTTTTTATTTAGTATGCTGCTGCTCGCGAACAGCCTCTGTCGATCCTCTGTGCTCAGATGTGAATGATCCTAAAAAACATCGCAGTTGATAAAATGCAAGGGATGTTTACAATAATGAACTAAGTTGCAATTCAAACTCGTCCGATATCACTATAATATAATGAAATGGTGACCTTCAAAAGATCACTGACAAGTTCGAATTTCCTTTCCCATTCAGCAATATCATGTTCCATGCTTTTCCTGTCAGACATTAGAGCTGCAATCTGGTTCCGAGCATCACGAAGCTGCTCTCTGTACAGCCGCATCTCTTTTCGCAATCCGCTAAAATTGACCATGTTCAACATTATTCATACATTACAGAAGCTGAGTAATTCATGAATGTAAACTTCATAAACAGAATGGCAGTCAAAATACCGACACGCTGTATGAAAATTCTCCAGAAATCAGTAAAAAACATCCGAAAGAAATGATTGTATGATGCAGAGGAATTCACAAATTTTTACAGATAAATTCTGATGAGAAGCCAACCTAAAACAGCTAATAAAAATTTGCATATTTTGAAAAAAACTCACTCTTTTTCCTTATTCCTCTGGTCAAGCTCCTTCTCCATAGCTTCTGCTCTCATTTTTTCAAAATCCCAATTCTGTCGCATTTGTTCCAATAAGTCAAGCACTTTCAACATGTCTGAAGTACCATTTTTCACACAGCGATTGTCATCAGGATAACAGAAAATACGAAGTGTAAGAAGTACCTATCTGGTTCTGTTTTTCAATCAGATTCACCGCGAAACGATTGTTTTCACTGTACTCTTTGAAAATTTTGCGAGATCTACCGCTGCATATAATTTTATCCATATTTTAGCTGTATTATTTCCTAAAATTAGTCGTAATTTTTATATTTTCATTTTCCTCTTTCTGTTAACAATATGGATGATGCTTGATTAGCTGGAACTTGTTTTGTGGAAGAAACAAGCTGGTAACTATTATTTCTGAATAACATCACGTCTTTGGCCCATTTTCGTACTTCATTGACTTTATACTAATAATTACACGAACTAGTATAGATTTAATTTGGAGCCTCAAGATTAACCGGTAACTGCTAATATGCTACCCTCGTCTTAATTCATTAGCCTCTGTCACCGTTTGGAATTAAAACATTTTTTTCTCTTCTGAATAAGTCGAAACTAAATATTGTTAACAACTAGAACAATTATCCTAAAAGATTTCAAAATAAATAAATGTAAGGAACGAAAACAAAATGTCTCAAAATGTAAAGAATATGAACTCTACCAGAATGATAAACTCAAAAAAGACGATAACATCAACGTTAATGTCAATTAATGTCACATAATTAGTAACAGACCACCGAGGAACAAGTTTCGTGCAGGACGACATTAGATCTACACCTCACTTTTCTGCGGTTTTGGCCCACCTCACGAACTAAACCTGCTTGAGATACCGGATAAATTTCCTATTCGTTGTTCTAATATGGTTCCTGATATGAGAGTATACTGAGAATTAAGACGCCAAAGTTGAACAAAAACGCCTCAACAATTCAAGACAGCGACTGCCACCATCTTCAAATGTCACCCTTGCCGCCAGTATGCTGTTGTCTCCTTCTGTAGCGTTATAACGCCGAGGACGAGCTTGTCGACTTCGATCTGTCCAATTGATGGCCACTGGTCATCTTTGCTACTGGTCATTTTGAAAAAAATATTGGATAAGAACTGGTAAACGTATCATTGCTTCTTGATTGATGAAGGCGAAGTATAAAACAGTAATTTATCGATTTTAAATTTCATACTGAGCATTTAAAACGATCAATTATGACAGAAAGTCTGATCAAGGGAGATAAACATATCTTCTGTACTATTAATAGTAAAAACAGGCTGTTAAAATTAAGTCAAAGAATGTTTCCCTGCGTCCTGCGGTTATCCTTCTTTGTCTACTGTGATTTCAAATCTTACGTAAAATTTTCATCAGAAGATGAGAAGTTTAAGCGTTTCGATCGTCCTAATCAAATCTTAGCAAATATAATCCCACATAGTCATACATTTAGTTCATTTCTACACTTCAAGGAATTTAAATCGTAACTGAAACAATGAAATCATATTTACTTCGATGAATTGCAACACTTCGACAAACACATTTTATTCGGCACTGCTGCATGGCCAACCGATGAAATTGATGGATTTGAGATGGACCAAACAGTTCGAGTCTAGATCCTATGAGAAATCCGAAGCTAAAGTTCAGTTTTTTAAAAAAAATTCTTATTAATTTTAAGCATTCTATTTTTCCGCCCACTCATGTATCCCACTGTTCCAGCCTTATCACTTTTTGAATCACAGAAATGATTACACTAAAACTCATTTTTGAATCATAGAGAAATCCATCTGAGCAAAGAAGCTGTAAGATAATTGTAGGGAAAAAGACCAAGCATTGTTTTTGCTGAAGTAACACTCAAATACAGCTACACCCACATTTATCATTTTCGATTGTTCAAATCTGCTGGTGAGTACTGTTTACCACATATCCAGAAACAGACGAAGTGGAATCAACAACAGCGATCGGATATAGCTAGCAATGTATGGAAGATTTGGGTAAGGTTTGTCGCTTGCTTCTATCCCATATCATAATACATTTAATGAAATAAACCAGTATCATTCTGAATAGTAATGATACCCATGTTAATAATATCTCTCTGGTGCAACATTTTTTGTTCAGATCAGTGATTTGGTATGTAGTGGTGATTCAGATGATTCAGAAATGCTAAGCTTGTTGAAACCTTATTATTCACTGAATGAAATGGGCTCAATGGCAATCGGCAGGTAATAACTATTGCTCATGTTGAAATTATATAACAACTTCTCTAAAGTTTCATTCAACTTTACCGACAAGAATTGAGAATGACTCTTAAATCAGGTGTTCACGATATCTTCCACGTTATTCATTCTCAGTTCTTTTCAGACAATTAATTCGTATATGCATATACTGATGAGGAATACGGAAACAAACCAATTTACAGTATCGGCGCTTCGATTAGTGGGGGAATTGAACCGGCTGGCAACAAACATGGTTATATATCGCGACCTTTCGAGAAGTGATTGTTTCAACCAATTCGCTTGTTTTAAGTTGAAACTGTTCTTCAGTCGAGTTCAATTTTTTGATTCTCGTTTTATTACTTTCATTGGACAAGTGAAGAATTAACCAACGAAACAATATTATTTTCAATGTCCAACAAAATCGGGCTAGCCTTTTTTTCACTTTTTTCTTTGAAAATTTTTACTTGAGAACCTTTTGGATTCCATAATCTTCATGATAGACATCTCTGTTTTCCTGGAATTTCGTTCTACAAGAAAAATCTAGTGATGTTTATGATTTTTTTCAAGAAACACCGAAGGAAATACCGTATTTCAACCTTTTAATTGGAAAATTTGCATAAACAGTGTAATTGTGTACTCCTCACCTCCATGAATAACCGATCATATAAGTTACAAGTGATAAGAAGCAGTTGCATTCCTTTCCCTTACCTCTTGCATTTCTTAGTTGCTCTTACACTTTTTTATTTGAAGTAATTTTCTAAAAAATTTTATGCTCAACTACTATAAAGTTTGATCGATTTTGAATAAGTTTTTAATCGCTAACTGATAAATTGTTGTTCACTTGTCGATTTTCAACACTAAAATCGAAGCTTACAGAATATTTCATCTGTGAGAATCTTTAATTTTCAAATATAATGTTTGATTAGAAATATACTGCCTGGACAGCTCAAATATACTGTTTGGACAGAAAATATTAGCTGCAGATAATTTCCAGATATAACGGTTATTACAACAAATTGATACTATCTGAATGGCGGAAAAGGATGCGGAAAAAACAGAATCATCAAGCTCAGCTGCCAGCACTGTGAGCAAAAAAACCAGAAGCAGTCACAATTCATCAGTGCATATGAATGAATCTGACGAAGAATCTGATCACTCATCAGAAAGAGAATCAGGAAGTCTACGAAGTTCTCTGGTCAACACTCTAGCCACAATCCAAAATAACATTTTCAAAAAAGGAAAACCGCTCGAAGCATGGCATCAGTTTCTGCTCAGTAAAATCATTTACAACAAAGATTATACCTACATGGATAAGGCATTCCGTTTCATGGAATGCAAAACAATGGTCAGAAGAGAGCAAGTTTGTTTTTTAGAGATTGCTGAAATGAAAATGAATAAAAAATACAACACCACTAGATAAGGTAAAAACAGGCATATTTCGAAATGTAATGATAAAAGACAGCTTAAACTGAGAACAAAGAAAGTCCTATTACCGTAGCAATGTTCACTATCAACCGACTTCCCCAATTTCCACTATGATCAGCAGTAATCACTGTCCACTATGGTCGTCGATGAACAGCCTTCTGTTGATTCAGAATAATTAATTGTTTATGCTATGAAAATCTACCCTCAAGAAAATTACCTTTAAGGAAATTATGATGGCTCAAAATCACAGTCAGCTATCATCCGTAGCGAAGTCATCAAGGATCCAGTGGCACCATATTTAGAAGAAATCGAAAATTATATAAAATTTGCCACTTTCTATCTTTTTAGCAAAAACATTAATTTGCAGATATTCTATGCAGGACTATTCCTGTTAGTTGCATTTGTTTTACTACAAAACTTTGATCCATTGTTATGCACTACAGTTAGCTGTATTTATCCTGCATACGAAACCACCAGGGTTAGTCCATTGAAATTTCCTTTGACTTCCGATCTACTCAAAATCTGCTGGAGGAAGTATCGGGCATTAAAGATCTCTTAATGCGTTACTTCAACAATGATACTACTCCCACTTTAAGAAAAAAATCAAAACAAAGGATTGATTAAGGTAAAGCATTAGAAGGGATGACGTGTAGAAGCATAATTGCACTATTTTGAGAGGCGTTGTACTGAAATACCAGAAATCCTTAGTGATGGAAATGGTGGGTAGCTTTCAGAACTTTCATTGTCTACTAAAATTTATTACAATATTCCATAATCATAAGATTCAGTTAAAAAGAACTTTATAGATGCCTTCATTGATCTTAAGATCTTATTTTCTTTCTTCGTCATTTAAGAAATTATTGGAGTTTTGCAGTCTTTAACTATTCACAAGAATAAAGCGCGCAAACAACGTGAGCATTGGCTTATCTATTGGATTGTATTCTCATTTTTCACACTGCAGGATTACCACAGCGAGTGGTTAACGATGTTACTTTCGCCATTTCTTTTACTAAAGGTTGTAATTGATCTAAAAATGAAACTGTTGGCAAGATTGCCTCACCACACTTATCTGTTTTGTGATTTCTTTCAAAATTTTCCCTTAACTTTCTTTTTTCGATATAACAGTACGATGAGTTCTCGGGAAATTCTCAAATTTTAGTTTCAAATTCAATCCCTTATGTAATATTACTTTATTTAGATGTTATTTTTGATGCTTCTAGCATTGCCACAGACGGGAATGGCTGAGCTGTGCTACTACAACATTGTAGTTCCCATGCTTTCCGTTATCAATGATACCTTCGTGAAGTATAATCGAGTATGTTTCTTATTATTGAACGAAACAGTAAAGAAGATTTAAAAACACGAATTACTTCAATTCTTCTTTGAGGGCTCTTTTTGAACTAGATAACATGAAAAAGACACATCTTGGCCTATAAGTAACTTCCCCACAAGACAGAATTACCTCTTTTTTTATGCTAGCTATAACTAGTATTGGTAAAAGTTGAATACAATTCCAAAAACTTGAAGGAATTTTCATTCAGCAGAGCAGCAGTGTCACAGATGTCTCAGAAAATATTTCAGAAACTGAAGAGAACGAGCAATAAAAAAACATTGCACTTTACAGAATTCCTTCTTTCATTGTTTACTCTGAACCTTAATTTGGATGTCGAACCTTTATAAACACTTCATGGGTATATAATAAGCGAACAGAATTTCTTTTTAGCATCCCCACTTTTCTAGGGGAACACAAATGAATTAGGTGGATTGTTACCTAAACCTTGTTTGCATTCAAAAACTAGTTCAGATCAGTTTTATTTGAAAAATAAAAAAAAGCGCATATCCAAAAGCGTCCTATCGTAATTTGAGGAATCATAATCGCAGGACAGATGCGTTAAAGTTTCATGACATGCGAGATCATTTGCTCTCTATAAACACTACTAACATGCCACTACCTATCAGACCTAATAAACATGTCCAGTGATATAATTTACCAATCAGCTTATTGTATATTTTATAAAAAGATTCGTCCAATTGTCCAATTTATTGTTGCGATGCAACATAAGTTACCAAAAACTTCTCGTTTAACAAATGCAAAAGCAAATTAAATACTTTCGAAACTTTAATTCTTAGTTTCTTAGTTCTGAAACAAGCCTTTCTCTCCCGCGTTTTGGCGTTAACTGACTCACTCTGCATACTTCCTTTATTATCGCGCGTGTTTCATGAGAAAGCAAGGAAAGATTTCCAAACTTTTTTCACTTTTTTTTTTCAGTGCCTCCGTTCAGACGTTAACATACCGTAATTAAAGTGCCGTAATTATAATACTTCACAGCGCCGTAATCATAATACCGCAATACATAACACCAATACTTGTGATAATCGCAATATTGCGATTATAATACCTCAAAGTGCCGTACCACGATACCGTAATCAATACTGTGGTTGCAACACTGTAATTGCAATACCGTGATTACGACACCGTAGTGATGTTTTTGCAAAGATGATACCGTAGACACGTTACTGTAATCAAGACGCCGTAATTACGACACTATAGCCACAATGCCGTAATCATATTGTCCCTATTCATGGCATCAATACCATAATGATAATACCACGATTATAATATCGTAATTATAATTATAATATTTATTGATGACAAAAGCTGATATGGCAACTAGTGCAAACAAATATTGTAACCGGTTGGCATGAATTGGCAATGAATTGGTAAGCGATGATATGGTGGTTGCCAAAATACTACGGTGGTTTTAGTAAAATAATTATTTTTGAAACTGTATGTTCGGGAATATAAGTGTACAACTGTATATTATTTCTGTATAACTGTATATCATTTTGACAGTGGTGTACCGTATCTATCAAAACCACTTTCATATATATTAGATTTTGATGTCCTTGTTTTCCAATTACAATAAATGTAATATCATTCATGTTATTGTTTTGATACACTCATCGTTTTTCGATTTATGACAATTCATTTCCGATAGAATGCTCAATAATTTTTACTTTTGATTGGGATCAAAATCTTTGTAACATAAGAAATCTTCATTTTACGATTAATTTTGGCAAACAAAATTTCCAACAAAATTACTTTAATCAATTGTCCCTCTTTCTCCTTACCTTTTTGCCTCCACCAATAACATTAATATAAAAAAAAAATTGTCCAAGTTTGTTACATGGGTAGCTTGAAACGCCGCAAGGTTTCCCAATAAAAATAATTTCAAATTGTTTACAAAAAATCTTTATTAAATTGCGAAAAAAATGAAAGCTTCAAAATTTCTAAATGATTTGAATGGATTATTCGAAAATTCACATTTTTATTTCGTATTAATATTGCTACAAATATCACGCAATTTTCTACAGATCCATATCGTAATGACACACTTCTGATAATTACGGATATTCCTTCTCGAAAGAATTCAAAATTCGAGTGTGACTTTAAAATGAAGCATTTTGCGTCTCAGCATGTAAGAATGTCCGCCAAATTAACTATTATAAACTCTCGAAAATGAATAAGATAATTTGCATAAATTTGAATTCAATAATTTGTGCGAAAATGTGCCACGTGGAAGTTGAAGGACAAGTTTCATTTCACAGCTTGTCGGAAAACTTTTTTTTGTCGTTTGTTGTTTGTTTGTTGATGGATAAGCACAAAAAAATGTTTATTCAGTTGTAGGATTACAGCAACCACCGTTTTGTAGTATGCAATAGAGAGTGTAGTATCACTGGTTCGATAGTACTAATTAGGAAGAGTCAACAGTGGAGTTAAGGTCGACGGATGTCGTCAATTTTTGGTCCGACCAACAATTTTCTTTTATAAAAAGAAGCTCCCAAAAATCTGTCAATGAGCTTTTATATTGTCTTTAAGTGGATTGGGCTTACAGTGTCACACATCTGCATAAAAGGATTTGCACATAAGGACAAGAGCATTGCATAATTTAGCTATACCAAATGTACGCAGGCTCAACATTAGACAAAGGGCATTGTTGGAAGATTTGAAGCTTAGATAACTGACTCATCACTTTAGATATGGAAAAACATTTTATCATTTTCCTTTGCGTAATATGATGAATCTTTTAACTGAAAAATTCTGCAACAAATGCTTTAACTGCCTGTACATATTATAAATCCCATCGATTTTTACTCGACGCAGCTTCAAGTTTTTTCGTTTTCTAAGAATGAAGGAACGTATCTTTCATTTTGATAATTTCAAGGCATTTTTTTTTTGGTGGTTTTGACTCTTTTTGTCATAGAGATGAACTCAACAGTGATATACACACACTCGCTACCCATTCTAACCTTTATGCAGTAAAGTTTAAATAGTGTTTAAGTAAGTAAAGTATATTTACGAATGTTCCAAGTAACTTAGGACACTTTGTGTTGGTAAATACAGATCTGTGAGCTGAAATCTACCTGTATTTATCTAGGGAGTGAATTTAATGGGAATCTTAAATGAATCAATTGGACCCTGTAACAGAGCAATTCGGCGTGTCACATGAAGCATGGCGTAGTTTTGAAACGGAGTATTGTGCCTTGAGACCTTAATAACTTATTCCACTTTTGTTCTCTCTACTGCTACTTTGCACAGGCCTTTTCCCAAACATTTCTCAGTGTTTAATTAAAAAAAAAAGAAAAAGAACAATCTACTGCTCTATTCTACTGAGAATTGAATGTCTCTTGTTATCTCCTGCTTTATTTGTCTCTGTACCACTAGTCTCCCCTAATTATAATGAATGTCATCCCGAATAAGAAGTATGCAAGCCTATAAGGCATACTGCTTGCTATCCCTTCAAAAATCTCCTTTGCAAAAAAGAGATGGTACAAGAATCAAGAGTGCAACTCTTCCATTTCAATCCTTGATTGAAGTGACAGAAGAATATTTTGATACCCGATGAATCATCGTCCCCAGCACTTCATTCTCCTATCGATTATCGGTGACATGGCGACATTGCAGAATGAACATCCTAATGGTCAATTTTTTTCACATAAACACATTTCAGGACTCTTTTACCATTGCCTTCCTCCGATTCTTTTTCCCAAATATAGAAATGCTGGTTCCAACGTCCAAGTGGTTGAATAAATGGTCGGAGTCGGGATGAAAAAGTGAGTTTCGATTATTCCTTTTGATGTACTCGCCATTTCTATTTACTTCTAATCGGTAAGAAATGACTTCCCCACTAAAATACTCTTTCTTTCTGAAGCGTCTGTCACCTACCACCTTGATCTCGACCTACCAACCGCTTGATGCCACTGCTTGGTACTGCTGCATTGAATCGTTCTCCTGAAACTGTGCTTGCCACCTGTTGTGAGAAAGACAGCTAGGCAGAGAAGTTAAAGGGATGTGAAATAGAGAAGAATGGTTGTGTTGTAATTTGAAATGAAATTGGGACGATGGTTTCGATTGTTAGTTTAGTTACTTGCACTCTGTCATTGTCAGGTGTGATTGGCTCACTTCTGGTGGTTCAATGTCTCCTTGGTATTGCTTATTTTTGCTAATTACTGCTAATTGTGTACTGGCTCTGTTTGCTTCAACAGCTGATTGTGATAGCTCAAAGGACAACTACTGCAATAAGAAACTGCAGAAATTAAGCAGGGATCGCGAAGAATTCAGTGAATCTGCAGAAAGCATTGAGGGAGAGGAAAGAGAGGGTGAAATTTTACACCCAGGAAGAGAGAAACAAATAAAATCCAAAAAAATGAAGATCTTCGAGAATGCAACGCGACTACTAACTCGTAACATAAGAAATGCAATGGCTTGGATGTCCGGTGCTGATTCGAATGTTGGTTTAGTCAACAATTTACAAAGTAATTGTTGCTTTTTACTTTAAAAACAGAGAAATGCTAGTTCAAATTTGTTTCCCGCATTTCATTTCACCATAACGAACTGGGAAAGTACCTTTGTAGGGAATAAATAAATGACTTCAGTTAACGGACATCTGATAACAAATTTACTAGTTGCATTTGTTATGGTTAACATTGCCATATTACAGTTACTATAGTTCGTTTCTTTAATATAATGACAAGACTTTAACTTCCAGGCAATAATTTATTCAAGGATAAGCGTGTAAGAGATGCTATGTTGAAGGTGGATCGAGCTGATTTCACGTCTGTAACGCCGTATGGCGATCATCCGGTTTCGATCGGTTACGGTGCTACGATCAGTGCCCCACATATGGTAGTTGTAATTCCATTTTTGGTTAACTAAAAGAAACCTTACGAATAGTTCCTGTAGTTCTTGTATTCAATGATACATGATAAGGAAATTATTCGGTTAGGACAATTGGTTTTTGTTTTTGTTTTGATATTCAATTCCAAATATTTCTAAAAATCACTATTGGATGTGATGAAAACTTTTGATAATCAAAATAAAAAAAGCGAACTTTCAGCATGCATCTTCTCTGGAGCTTCTGAAGAATCATCTGAAAGAAGGGAACCGAGCACTAGACGTAGGATCAGGTTCTGGTTACTTAACAGCCTGTATGGCGATAATGGTTAGCTTTTGTAATGCATGTTCATCACATCTTTGTCATGAAATTTCAAAAAAAATTATGGGAGAAGGCGATGATTTCTGTACTGTATATAAATTTCTTTAGGTTGGTAAAACAGGGAAAGTAGTTGGCATAGATCATATTCAAGCTTTGGTAGACGATTCAAAGCGTAACATCGCGAAACATCATGGGGATTTGTTGACCGATCACCGTATAATTCTTGTAAAAGGAGATGGTAGGAAAGGTTATGAAAAAGAAGCACCCTACAATGCTATTCATGTCGGAGCTGCTGCACCTGAAATTCCTAATCAGGTTGTTTTTATTCATCTACTGAGACAGCAGGACAGAATATTTCAATTTTGATGCGTTTATTTTGGATTGAGCTTTAAGCGTTTACTTTTTTCAAAACCGCATGTTCCTTTGTTACGACTTCTGAAAATGCTTCCATGTTTGTAAAGATTACATGTGGTTTAAGATTGCTGAGTAAATTTTAAATTTTGAAGACGTTTACCAATAATATATGCTTTCGATCTATATGTCACCCCGAAAGTATTAGAAGTTGATTGTTTTACTTCGGATAAGGAACTTGTTAATGAATGAATAATATCGAGCTAGTTTACTACGAATTTATAACTTCTAGAAGTGTTAATATCTTGGACACAACTTTCTTGAAATCAGGGCCATAAAACATTGCAGTTAATAGATTGCAGTTAATAGAGCAGCTTGCTAAAGGTGGAAGGATGTTGATTCCAGTCGGTCCTGAAGGTGGTCCTCAGCAGTTTGTACAGGTTGACAAGGATGCAGACGGAAAAGTGACGCAAAAAAACTTGATGGGTGTAATATATGTCCCATTAACTGATGAGCAGCACCAACTTTACAACTGAAGAGGTGAGCTGAACTTTTGCTTCGTTGAAGAAACACTCATAGATATCTTGGACTGGTGAGTCTTCTCGAGTTGATGTTAAAAATAAATTTGATGAATTGATAAATTAAAGGTAAATTGATGCCGGTGGATAATCTGGCAAAAAAACTCATCTCCATATAAAATTTGCTGTAGAAGTCTTTCTTCGCTTCTCAATAGCACTATTATTTGCACACCAGTAGAATGTCTTCCCTTACAAGTTTGTTTTAATGAACAAATTCTGTTTTTCATACTTCTAGGTATTCAGGACTATATTTTTCTAGGTTATTTACATTTGGAGAAACATCTTCCAAAACAACAGAATTCCAACTGCGTTATAAACTACGTCCAACTACAACTGCGTCATCGAAACTACGTTGCATAAAGATGAAAGCGAGGGATAGATCACTAAAAATTGAGATTTTAGTGAAAACAGCCGCATGAACGGAGTACTTTTGTTCCTGATATTTAAATAGATTGGTTCTAATTCGTGTAATAAGCGTAGAACAATATTTCCAATCACATTCGTGAATTTTACATCGAGGTATTTCCTAGTACCCGTTCAATCTTTTCTCACCTAAGGATGATAAGTTGTAATTGGTGATTAAATTATATTGATTTATATATCGTAATAGGAAGGTGAGTCATCAAAATATGTTAAATTCGAAGCTTACTTGTAAAATGAATAAATAGCCATCATATCAGTGCTAATAAAATGCCTTGTCAGAACGTCGAGAATTAAAGGTCTTGCGTGAGCATATTAAGCAAAACGTCATAAAGCAAGATGGAGGCAATTTGCCCTATTTTATAAGCAGATATTTCCTATGAAACATAATTTCTTGGAATTGTATGTCATGTTTTATGAAATGAAAACATAACAAGCTTATCGTGTGGGATCTAAGCAGGAAGGTAAAATATCTTTATTACTGCTGTCACATAGTCAACATTCTCATAGAAAAAAAAAAAACCAGTGAACGTCGGCAGTTGTTAGCCAGGAAAGCAGTGTTGTGCTTAGTTGATTCTGTCAAATATATTACTGGTTAGAATCTTCTGGAAAAAACCGAAATAAATTAAATGTACTGAAAAATATAATCGAATCATCAAATAGATGCATCTTATAAATACAAAACATTTCTCAATAAAGATCCTTCCAGAGCTATGAGTTTGAGCTACTGATGAAAAAGAAAAAAACAAACCCTCTGAAAGATTTTGCAGGACGTCTACTAACAAGCTCCAATAAATCTGAGGGAACTGCCTGTCTGGCTTCTTTCAAAATGTCAACAAGATCGTTAACTATAGGTGCATCATTGAGTGTGCACAAGGTGTACGAAGTGCCCTGAAGAAAAAAAATGCAAAAATGTTTGAAATTTTTTTACTACAAAAAACAAAGCAGCATCTGATCTTTATCACCTTTCATACAGCAAAAAAGAATATTGCTCACGCATACAAATTTATTTTATTGGATTAAAATATTAGAGGAAGACATGCAGTTTTGTCATGGCGAGCAGTTCGTCCAATTCTGTGTATATAATCTTCAATATTCTTTGGACAGTCGAAATTGATAACATATTTGATGTCATTTACGTCTGGAACAGTTTGTTATGAACGAAGCAGTGACATAACAAGATTCATGGGAGCTAATGAAACACAAAGTACTAAGCATACCCAAACCGCGAGCGGCAACATCTGTTGCGACCAGAATCGCACATTCACCATTTTTGAAATCTGAAACACAAAAAAGACCCTCCACACATCACTGCGATAACATAGCTTATATCGAAACACTGGTATTGGAAAGATACCAAACACTGATATCTTTATGTTGCTATCGTTTAAAAAAAGTCCATCTGATTCTCCCATTGGCAGCTGTTCTTGATTTTTAATAATGAATATTTAAAAAAATTGAAGCATATCAAATTGCAAAGGTATAATGTAATTCACATTGAAATCATCTCCTTCCGTTTATGAGAAACATTAAAATCACCGTTCATAACAAAATTCCGTTCTGCTTGAGATTTATCACCATGTAAGCTCAAAGCTGGATATCCCTTCTTGCGAATCAGTCGTGTTAACCAATCAGCTGTACGTTTCATACCAACGAAAACCAATGTTTTGCATTGTTGCTGAATATGCCAAAGAATATTATTTGTTATGTAATGAGAAATAAAGTCCCTCCATTAAAATTAACAGAAAATAACAAGATAGTAATGAACTTCACTAAATAGCATCAAATTTCGAAACAACTGCAGAATTTTGAAAACAACCTCGCTTGACGTCCTGCCTAAAAACTCTAGCAGTTTTTCTTCTTTCTCGTTTTCTTCAACAACTGCGACTAGTTGTATGATGTTACTATTTGCAGCAAGTTTAAGTGATCCAACATTAACAAATATGGGATCGGTTAGAAAATCCTTCGCCAAAATACGCACTTCCTTTGGCCACGTCGCTGAGAACATCAAAGTTTGTCGATCAGACTAAAAAAATTTTTTTAAAGTATCCTTCAAGATTTGACTTGAAAATCTAGAATCGAACTACTCACTCTAATCATAGACACAATTTTGCGTATTTGCGGTTCGAAACCCATGTCTAACATACGGTCAGCTTCGTCCAATACCAAATAAGTGCACCGGTTTAAATTCAAAACACCCGCAATCAAAAAATCTAATAGACGACCCGGCGCTGCTGCTAAGATGTCTACTCCTGCAAGTAAAGAATTTTTTACGCGAAACTATTAAACCATATCTTATTTAGATGCGAATGATCCATAAATTTTTACTTTCACTGATTTACTGCTGCCGAACTAATAAGTCCCCTTATTATCCCTGCGACATATATTACTCAACAGTCACAGTATGTGTAATGAAGACAGAGAGATAATAAGTGTTAACAGCGATTAACAATCGCCTTACATATAATGAACTACCATTTTCACCGAAAAACACCAGATCTCAAGTAACCAAAACACCAGATCTCAAGTAGACCTTCATGAATAGTTCTAGCTTGCTGCTCACGTCCAGAACCACCATAAGCACATGCCACTTTAGAGTGAAAGTTCATTGCCATCGAGCTTATCTGTTGCACCAGCTCTCTTGTTGGTGCTAAGATAAGTACTGCGGGACTTCGAACTTTTTCCAGCTGTTGTTGGTTTTGCATATGTACAATCCCTGGCAAAGTATACTGAAATTTCGAACTATTGGAAACTTTGACAGAAAAATCGAGAAACTGACGGCGAGAAAAATTCCGTATGCACAGGAGTTTTTGAATATAAAAGAAAAACAACAATAAAGCCATCTGAAACATTTGGTTAAAATGTTCTCATGTTGTCCACATATTTTTCAAGGACTTTATAATCGGTTTTCAAACAAGTAAGTCTTGTTTAATCTTAATGTGCTGAATATTTTCCAAATATCACATAGATTTTAAAAAGCAAGTTTATGAACTCACCGCTAAAGTTTTGCCTGAGCCTGTTCTAGCAATCGAGATCATATCATGCCCTGTCAACGCAACTGGCCAAGATATCGATTGTATTACAGTTGGCTTTTGAAAGCACGCCTTTTTCAGTTTCTCTACAACTGCCGGAGGAAAGCCTGCCTCAGTGAATTCGAAAATGGGGCGAGGAGATGACTTCCCCTTTAGGGTGACTTCATTCTGCGTAAACCACTCAGCTATTTCCTTCTGGAGATACGGATTAAAATTATTTAGAATCACAATAACCGAAATTAGGGAATACATGTTGCAACCCGGGCAAATTCAAAAAAAGCCAACAAAAACCGCGACTGTACACTGCTCGGGTAATGCCTGCAGAGGATATGCAACCCCCGCCCGCGACCTTTAACACAATGATTTGATTTAGGCACTTCATCGGCCCACATGTGGCACGTACATTCACACATGGTTCCTATATGCCACAATATTAACATCGCGATAGGAATTGAACCCGTTATCCCTATATTCTGTATGTCGCTCACTCACCACTAGATCAACTACACCCTTGCATTATACCTTTTGTTCTCTAAATAAAAAGCCTGCCTTCCATTCTTCGTTACATACATGAATCTTGACAAAGTAGCAAAACACTAAGCTACTAGTCGAAATAGTGTGTTTCAACAAAAACAATACCTCACTCCTATTTGTAACTGAAGCACTTTCCTTGTAAAGATTTTTCTGAATGGGTGGTAAATTAAGGTGTTTGTAATCGACTTTTGGCATTTCAACATCTCTGTTCCAAGATCCTTAAAATACAAGCAAACAATAAAGAGTTAAATTGGAAAAACAGCTGGGAATTAATTATGACGAATCCACTACTTACTGCATAATTATTTGTGACGACCTTTGAAAGAGCTAAAATTTTAAAATGAATGTAAACGAGTACAGAATCACACATGCAAATCATACCTCCAGAGCTTCGAAAGCGATCAGATAAGACGCCCCTCCGATTCCACTGCTCCCGAACTGTAGATCGCTCATTTCGGCGTTGGGTATCGAAAAATCGGTCCAAACCAACGTTTCGAGGTCGAAAAGTGCCCGGCCGATGTCCCACTTCTCGATTCACATCAATCCAGCTAGAAGGCTTTGCATTGCTAGCTCTGGAATAATATATGGGTTTAACAATGGGTCATAATTCTAGTCAAAGGGCAAACCCTATGAGGGTTCAAATAAACACCGCATAAACATACTTCACTTATGAATAACTACTTTCGGATGGACCATTTAAGGATAAAACAACTGTCCACTGCATGGTTTTTCCCAACTGTCCTCGCTCACTTGGAGCTATGCCACGAGAAGGAATATGCAGTGATCACGACATTCTCCGGACTACCCCTCGCCAGGTGTCAACGAAGGTCGGATTCGTTTACGGTATGGCAGACCGAATACTCGCCCCAATATTTTGAGGACGTTCGATGCTCCGCCAGTGAAGGAAGGATCAGGTTGCAAATTGCAGCCCAACTCCACCAACACCACACACCGATGGGATCGAACCTCAGACTTCCACCCTCCATGAACAACGAACCAAATCGACCATCACTGTAACTTCACTCCACTCATATTTAAAGTGTTTTATAACCGTTTCTCATTTTCTCCTCACTTAGCAATTTCACTTGTAGAATCAGTCGAATACTAAGTTTCGAATTTACTTTTTAAATGTCAGAGGGACTGAGTTTTAAGTTATTAATTTTACTTCGAAATCTAAATAAAATGAAAAAGCAATAACCTGGAAGTAAAGCGTCGTTGTGTCACGTTCTCTACGTCTACGTCTCTCTGTTGATCTTTTGAAGGTTTTCTTGAGACGGACGAGCAATGTGCTGCCCATGCCCTGCACAAGTCACCCCTCCTGATCTGTCGTAGCAAAAGGCCATATGTCAAATCGCTGCTGCTAAACAATGACATCTTCTAGTTCATCCCCGCTCACTGTCCCAGTTAACTTCTGATATCACCATGAAAACATGCTATTGGAAATATGACACTGATATCAATGATACCCCTCAATCTTTAATCTATCACTCTGCAGCACTATTGATATACGACGGCAAGATTAAGTTAGTTAGGAATCCAACAAGATTCAGGAGAGAGGGACTTCGCAGAAAAGTGACCTCCTCCCATTCGAAAACAACAGAGCACCCCGATATCAACCAGCAAACCCCATCCCACGCCATCACTCACTTTCCTAATTCATTATCTCGGCAGTAAGCCAAGATTTAACAAAATGTGGGAATTTAAACATCGTCAGAATGCAGCACTAGATAACGTAACAAATGATATTGATTTTTGCTTGCTGGGTTGAAATGATTTCAAGTCGTTGATGTGCAGCGTGCGGCGTAGATGTGCATGTACAGCGTAATCTATTCATCCATACCGTTCATGTATCCTCTTAGGTAGTTTATACACCGATGGTCATTATCTGATTGTTCTCTTTAGCTTTTGATGTGACATGTCCGCTCAAGACAAGTTCAGGTGCAGTTCTTGGCTTCATCGAGCCATCCCATTACCTGCCCGTGGCTTTCAGTTCGGAGCTTCTTCCGTCTTTCCCATTGTTTTTCAGCTAGAGGTGTTACTGGGGTATGGATGGAAGAAATATCAATAAATTTAGGAGACTCCCAAACTTTAAAAATCATCAGTAATTCCAGATAAATCATGGTTCCAATTATTACCATGACCTGCTCTTCTGTTGATATTTTGCCAAGAATTATAATTGTCGTAAAACATGAGTAGGCTGTAGCATTTAAGCACTATTACATTTCTGCTTTCAAGATCCAAATTTCTTCAAAACCTTCCTTGCTTACTATTTGTTACTGGTAAAAACTTGAAATTTCTGTCGACCTTATCAAATGGGCAATAACTGCTGTCAAAACTCTTATTGCCCTTCCTCATCATATCAACTTCGACAGGGGTGCTGCAAGAAACATTCATTGCATCCTTTGATCTGCAAATAAACCTTGGCCAACTGTACCATACGTTTGTATCTGTACATAAGAACATTAACATTTATGTTGTTTATTTCACCTTTTCACTTATAGAAAGGATAAGGTACCTTGAGAATAACTAGTTTGCACGAAAATGTATGTGGAACAACGAAAAAAAATGCAGCTTTAAACATCAAAGGTCAATTGCTGACCTTGCGTCCATTCTTGCCTCAGTCGGGGACATTCAATTACCAATATATTATGTGCTATGTGTCTGTAAGACACATCAACTCTAAATATTCTGCAACTACGGGTAAAAAAACTTATTGGTTAGGGATATGACAGAAGTGTGCTAAGGGGTGTCTTTAGGTATATAACGAATTCCCAACCGAATGTCTGAACTGGTTCTTCATTCTTAGGGACAGCGTAGTCATTGACCTGAATTCCCGAATCAGCAACTATCATATTTCAGTCTTCTGCAGTTAATTTATAACCAGTGCTAACATTATTTTCTCTATAATTAGTTTGATCGCGTTATCTTCATTGTGTTGCAATTTTT